AGGGGGAAGAATAGGTCCTCTTTGGTCTTAGGTCTTGTTTTTGATCTTCTGCAGGACAAAATGAAGGCACTCTGTCGATGGTGGAAGGAGAACTACTTTCTGTGGTGGAAGAGGACAAAGGCGATGGCTGGACCAGAGTACGGAGGAACTTGGAGGAGGAGGGATACGTCCCCACCTCCTACATCAAAGTCTTCCTGGATAGCAGTGCCAAAGGTGCCATGACCTACATTTGACCGTTATGTGACATTTACACCACCTACACCGGACCTCAGTATGACCCGTAGAACAACCTTCCCTCGGCCGTCCATTCCAAGAACTAAAAGCTTCTACTGACATTTTATTTAAATAATTGTCGGGGTCACAAAGGACTTGATTTGTCTTCACCTCTTTAAAAAATTAAATATTTAGCTAATTCATGTTTGATCACAAGACACAAGTTCAGTCTCCTTCTGCCGTTTTAACTCAGATGGGCTTCTATCACTCATCAAAGAGATCTCATGATCTAATGAGGTCGTTATATAGCAGTTATACTTTGGACTTGCATCCATGATATTCAACCGTTTTGTTATTTATAATTATATATATATTTATATTTATATTCATAAATATGTGATTATGATGATATACATATCTAATTTGTATCGTATAGTTATATCTTATTGGTGAGGACTAGCATTATTATTGCCATGTATAATCAGTAATATTATATAGATGTAGAAATGTCTCCTTCGTGTGCACTACCATATAGAACATATGATATTCATATTCAATTATAAATATATATAATGCATATATAATCCTATTTTTGTTTTTCACAATGATTTTCATACATAATCAAATTATTCATAGAATGCTAATAATGATATTCATATATAATTGTATTCTTGGTGTGGATGGCCCTCAAATTACCTCTCAGATGTCGCTCTTCGACCTGCAGATGAACTTTGACCTTTAAAAAAAGAAGAAAACATATGTACTCTTGACCCCTCCCCCTACGACCTTTCATCTCTGAATGCCACGTTGGTTGCCGTGGTTTCAACAGCAGCTTGTATTTGATGATATTTATGCTCTGCCTGTCTATGTGCTGGAGGGTAACGCAGGTGAATCTCATCTTAGGCTCCGCCTCTTTAGATTTAATGATTATGTTCTCTAACAATCTTTTCATTATTAGACGTATGTCTAATACGTTTGTCTCTTTCAAACAGAAACAAAAGATGTAAGATTCACTTGGATCTGATATCCGATTTGTAACTGATAAAGCATTAAAACAGAAATGATTAAAACACTGTTGGTTCATTTTGGTTACACCCTAAAGCCTAAAAATCTAAATGTTATAGTTATTACTATTAAACACATATTAGTACACAGCAGTATCCTTGTCGGTTTGTGCTGCAGACGACCACCTGTCTCATTCTCATGTACCTGTCTGTCTCCCTCTCTGTCCCTCTGTCGGCCTGCTGGCTTCTGTGTGTCTGTATCTTGTAGGTTTTGTGCAGAGTAGTCGGCTAGTCTAGTAATCCACCAGTGAGGACGTCTCGCCACAGGAAAGGGATGTAAATGAAAGGTAACAGCTCCTCATTGACAGTGTATTGCTTCAGATATCTTGGCCAATCAGATGACAGACTGGTGTCAATGCAAGATGGAAGACAGGTTGTACGGGCGACTGAGAAATGAAGCATTGAATGAGAGATAAGCGATTACACAGATCATATGTCATATTAGAGATCACATGTTATACACGTCCCTTTCCCTGGAGCTCCGATCAATATCCTCTGTATTTATTGAAGAATCAGATTATCACGTTATCAGCATTTTCTGAACATTTCGGGTTTTCCTCGTTATTTGTTTAAATGTGATGAAATACACATGAATGTTTTCATGATATTAATAATTGAAATAGGTATTAAAATAAAAGGAATTCTAATCTTCTGATCAAATTATTTCTTTCTATTTCACATTTTAGCCCAAAATGACGTATTTACGTTTTTTGTGCTTGAAACTTGTTCTGCTGTTAAAGGTCATTTATCTGATTCAGTGACAAACTGACTCAAGATTAGTTGAACCTGCTGTATTTGAACGTTTTAAAATGAATGTTTGTAATAACGTGTCGGTTAAAATGCTTGACGATAGTTTCGATTGGCGTGTACATCTTGTCTGTCAGTGATGTCACAATGAACCCAAGACACAGGAGTTTGAACATTGTGTAAATAGCTGCATTGGTGTAACCCCGCCCCTTGTGTACTACTGATATTAGCCCCGCCTGCAGATTAACCAGTGTGTATTTACCCCCCCTGTGACTGAACCCACACCCTGCTTGTTGTTGATGATGAAGATGCTATTGATCGTTTGAAATGTGAACTTTTTTGCTCCACAGTGAGACATTGATCAGTTATTTTAATTAAAGACGTGAGACTGCTGATCACGCACTTTTCAACTTCCTGTATGTTAACTTTCAAAATAAACCAAACTCCAAAAAGCAGTTGTAAACTATGTCCCCACTCCCCTCCCCCTGCACCCCATCCTGAAATTTCAAAATTAAAGCCCCATGGAGGATATTCTGTAATTCATGTAAACATAACATAGTATGCATAATATCGTCTCTCTCATCCAAAATGTAATTCATCCTGCATCCTCTCCTACTAAACGCCTCACAGGAGAAAAAACTTTACCTTCATTCGGGAGAAAATATGGAAGAAATCCGTCACATTGACATTACATGCTACATTTCATGGGTACAGTAATTATGACATATACATGCGTTTGATTAATATAACAGTTCTTAATCTAGCATACTAATTAATATAATAACTCATAATATTTCATAACACACAAACTACAATTCTAACACGTCATGATTACGTAATTCCTAACGCTAAACGTGCTCTTTTGCTTAAATGCTTAAAAAAACACTTCTCCACGCCGGCCTCAGACGCTGCTGCACCACTACCTCTGTTTGACCCCTCCCCCATGACCTTCCATCTCTAAATGTCACCACGTTGGTTGCCGTGGTTTCAGCAGCAGCGTATCGTTGGTGATATACATGCTCGGCCTGTCTATGTGCTGGAATGTAAGGCAGGTGAATCTCATCTCTTTCCTCACCTCCCTCACCCCACCTGTCCCTTCCTGACCCTCCCTTCCCCTCTGGACCTCACCTGCGCACATCCCCCCCCTGCTGGTTTGACGAGAGGCAGAACGGGGGAGAAGTCACCGTCCACCTCGATCCCGTTCTCTACCACGTGGTCCGCATCTTCTACGCCAAGAGCAAGAATGATGATCCCAGCCCCGTTGCCCCGATCATCCCTGCGGCAGATTTCCCGTTACTGTGGCCGACCACTGCAAGCCCCCCCCCCCACCCTCCAGGCCTCCCTCCCCCACCCCACTGCCAGGCTGCAGGCCTTCTCCGCAGTATCCTGAGCTGTGCTTCCTTGTTAGCTCCCTTAGCTTCTTGGCCAAACAACAACAAAAAAATACCCCAAAACCCCTTTATTGAGCACAAAAACGTTAAGAATAAGATCAAATAAGCTACATTAATGAGAGTTCCACACTCCTCCCTCACAGAGAGAGAGAGAATCTGCCTCACACACTTTGAAAGAGATGTTGTTTCCATGACAACCAAATGAGGAAAATCATTATTCATTTAAAGCTTTTTTTTTATCCTCCATCTGTTTTCCTTCTTCATTTCTTTGTGTCTCGTTGGGACTGAAACATCTTCTCTTCTGTCCTGATCAACTCTGCAGACTCATTCTTATCTGAGCGTTTTTGTTCAATAAGCAGTTTGATCAGACGGGAAGCTGTTCGGTTTATTGACAGATTGATTTTCACAGCTTCGTGTCCGCTCTGATAATATAATACGATAAAACAAACATACTTACGCTTAGCAACAATACTGCACACCACTGCTATGTAATATGGCATTAATCTATACTACGGTACACAGAGCAGAGGGAGGAAGGAGGAAGAGCAGAGGGAGGAGGGAGGAAGAGCAGAGGGAGGAAGGAGTGAGAGCCGAGGGAGGAAGGAGTAAGAGCAGAGGGAGGAAGGAGTGAGAGCCGAGGGAGGAAGGAGTAAGAGCAGAGGGAGGAAGGAGTAAGAGCAGAGGGAGGAAGGAGGAAGAGCAGAGGGAGGAAGGAGTAAGAGCAGAGGGAGGAAGGAGGAAGAGCAGAGGGAGGAAGGAGTAAGAGCAGAGGGAGGAAGGAGTGAGAGCCGAGGGAGGAAGGAGTAAGAGCAGAGGGAGGAAGGAGTGAGAGCAGAGGGAGGAAGGAGGAAGAGCAGAGGGAGGAAGGAGTGAGAGCCGAGGGAGGAAGGAGGAAGAGCAGAGGGAGGAAGGAGTAAGAGCAGAGGGAGGAAGGAGTGAGAGCCGAGGGAGGAAGGAGGAAGAGCAGAGGGAGGAAGGAGTGAGAGCAGAGGGAGGAAGGAGGAAGAGCAGAGGGAGGAAGGAGTGAGAGCCGAGGGAGGAAGGAGGAAGAGCAGAGGGAGGAAGGAGTAAGAGCAGAGGGAGGAAGGAGTGAGAGCCGAGGGAGGAAGGAGGAAGAGCAGAGGGAGGAAGGAGTAAGAGCAGAGGGAGGAAGGAGTAAGAGCAGAGGGAGGAAGGAGTGAGAGCCGAGGGAGGAAGGAGGAAGAGCAGAGGGAGGAAGGAGTAAGAGCAGAGGGAGGAAGGAGTAAGAGCAGAGGGAGGAAGGAGTAAGCTCATAGGGAGGAAGGAGTAAGAGCCGAGGGCGGAAGGAGGAAGATCAGAGGGAGGAGGGAGGAAGAGCAGAGGGAAGAAGGATTAAGAGCCGAGTGAGGAAGGAGGAAGACGCGAGGGCGGAAGGAGGAAGAGCCGGGGGAGGAGGGAGGAAGGAGTGAGAGCCAAGGGAGGAAGGAGTAAGAGCAGAGGGAGGAAGGAGTGAGAGCCGAGGGAGGAGGGAGGAAGAGCAGAGGGAGGAGGGAGGAATAGCCGAGGGAGGAAGGAGGAAGAGCCGGGGGAGGAGGGAGGAAGAGCAGAGGGAGGAGGGAGGAAGAGCAGATAGAGGGGAGAAGGAGGAGGAAGGACAGCAGAATAAAGAAGGACAGACGACTAGATAACTGGGTTCATTAATTGGACACAGATGGAGTCTGAAGAGAATCTGCTGAACGTTTTTCTTCTGCTGCTTATGGGATCAACCTTAACTGTGGTGAGTACTTCATGTTTATTTCTATGTTCTACGGCCTTTTCTAATATTCTGCCTTCTATTTATATTCTATCTTTCTGTTCTATTGTATGTATGTTCTACTATCTTTTGTCCTATTCTACATTCTACATTTTTCTATATTCGTCAATAATCAGTTCAAACGGTTAAGAGCTAAACAAGAGGTTCTTCCCGTTGACCAAAGAACATCAGGTGTATTGTTCAAGTAAAACGTTCTCCCCTAATGATGAGAGCAGGATGAGGGTGTCGGAGCGTTTTCTCAGTGGAACACAGATTGTGTGTGTGTGTGTGTGTGTGTGTGTGTGTGTGTGTGTGTGTGTGTGTGTGTGTGTGTGTGTTTGTGAGATAGAAAGAGAGAGAGAGAGAAGGAGAGGGGAAGAAGCTCAAAACAAAAAAGACTATAACTACAAAATGGCGGAGGTGTTGCTGGGAGGCTGCATCTGGACACCACGGTGTCCTGGTGTAGATGAACCTCTTTGTGTAGGGAAATCTATGGGTCCATGTAAGGACGTCTGTATGCTAATAAAACAAAAAGGTAAGATACAAAGCAAAGTCAATCTTACGGAGTCTCTAGGTCAACCAATGAAAGCTCTACATGGCAGCAGTTACAATCCTCAATCCTGGTTTCCTTCTGGTCTCCTGCCGGACAGGTGGGTCCTTCTGTTCCTGAGGATGGCTGGCAGGTGTACAGTTCGGCTCAGGACTCTGAAGGCCGATGTGTTTGTACAGTGGTCGCTCCCCAGCAGACTGTCTGCTCCAGAGACGCCAGAACCAAGCAGCTTAGACAGCTGCTGGAGAAGGTAGAAGATACTACTACTAATACTTCTAATGATGAAAAACATACTGACAATGCTGATGACACCTTTGCTGATTAGAGATGTTGCTACTCTCCATATCTCCTTCATTTCAGGGTTATATCTCCTTCAGGATTTCACCTTTAATACATTTTTGTTGATTTCCACAGTTACTCTAGAGCAGGGCTGCCCACACCTTGTCGGCTGGCGAGCTAATTTTTAAACGAGTTTGGCGAACCAGTAGTAGCAGTAAATGGAAAAAGAACGCTGCAACGATAAGCACAAAGAGAGGCGATATTTAAGAAAAACGAGCCTGTTATCTGTCAGAAGCGAGAGAACCGTCACAACCATTCCATACATTCTTGGTCATTACCTTACTCGGATGTCTTGCACTGATTGGAGTCAGCCAGGGTGGTTTTGAATGAAATTAAATATGTCCGTTAGTAAGCAAGGATCGTTATATAGAGCTACCAAGTTTTCCCGTGGCCGACCGAGCATGCATGGTGACCTGACGTGATTTTTTTTCCAATGGCGGGCGATCTACCGGCACTGCCTTGGCAATTGACCGGTCGATCGCGGTCAACCTATTGGCCATCCCTGCTCTAGAGTCCTGCATGCGAGTCCATCAGATGAGATGAAAATTCCCCCTTTGGTGTCCAGACACTGGTGGTGGCGGTAGAGAATAAATTGCTCCAATCCTCTGATATGCCGGGTTTTACTGCAGATTGGAGGTGTCAAGGGTGGTGGAGGGGTGCCTTTGGTGCGTGCTGCCATGACAACTGACAGCAACAGAGAGAATAACAACTTTAATGCTTGACAGCGCCGATGCGATTGCTTTACGGAAATGGTGCCCCCGTCCGGTTGGCTAGTAATAAAAGAGCCCGCCCCCAATCAGCTGGCAGTGTTCCCACAGGGGGAAAGGAGGCAACCTGGGAGATCGCTCATCGCACATTACTGTGTGCTGCACTTTAATGCTGATGTACCTATGAGGCTACCTTCGTGCTACTGACACGTCTGGCAAGAATACGCCCAACATGGCAAACTAAAGATCTGATCAGCAACAAGGTCCCCATATACCTTAAGTCTACCTAGAGGACCTTGGGTCTCCCTTACATAGATACACAGGGGCTGCAGGCTGGAAGCAACAGAAGACCGGAGCTGTGCAAATAATATTTATCTAAAAATGAACTATGACTTTGTGATTGTGTTTAGGCCAGCAGAGAATGCCTGGGTCGGGCCTCACATCCCACCACTGATGTGTGTGTGTATATATATATATATTTATGATGTTATTGGATTGTTTAGGTTCAGAATATGAGTCAGTCCATCAATGTCCTGGACCAGAGGACTCAGAGAGATCTGCAGTTTTTGGAGAAAATGGAAGTTCAGCTAAAGGGTCTGGAAAACAAATTCAAACAAGTGGAAAACGGACACGAAAGCAACATCGCCAGACAGTACAAGGTACCGCCCACATTGTGACATGTTTTACACTACCAATCCCCAGCTAGTATGAAGTCAAGTCTCTAACTCCCTGAATAATCCTTCAGGAGAGCAGTCCCTTAGCGATGACATCAGTGATGTTTGGAAGGTTATTGATCTCTGTTGTCTGTTGATCAGTCCATCAAAGCAAAAATGGAAGAGTTACGTCCTCTGATCTTGGTCCTGGAGGCCTACAAGGAGGACGCTCTGCTGGTCCGACAGTTTAAGGAGGAGGTGGCCAATGTGACAGAGTTACTGGGATCACTGCAGGAAAAACTGGGAAGTCTGGACTACCAGGAACTCCACAGTCGAGTGATGGACCTGGAGGACCGGCTTAGGGCCTGCATGCAGAGGCTGGGTGAGTAAACGACCAAGGATAAAAAGACGCAAGATATAGAGATAAGAGATATTCTCAAGTACTCACAAAAACCTAACAGTATTTCTGTGGATTATCAAGCTAACAGGGACTCAATAGGGAAAGAGCAGTTTCTTATTGTATAGTTTAAAAGCTGTGAAATGCTTACGAAATCACAGCTCTGGTATTTGCAAGTGTTACTGTATTTTGCCTGCACTGTGCCTGTACCTATGCCTGTTATTTTATCTGTCCATTTCCCTCATGTCCCTGTCATTATTATTATTCATGCTGTAATAATTTCAGCCTGTGGGAAGCTGACAGGAATCTCTGAGCCAATCACTATCAAGACATCTGGATCGAGGTTTGGATCGTGGATGACGGACCCGCTCGCCCCGGCTGGAGACAGCAGAGTGAGTCAACAAAAAACACCAGTCATAGTTTTATAGACATTCTGCAGGTCAAGGGACCAGAGTTTGTTATCAGAAAAGTGCTACTTACAGTTAGTAAACTGAATAGTATTGACCAGTGAAGGCAGGTAAAAAGGAGAAAAGAGAAGGAACAACATCAGATCCCTACTGCAATGGTGTAGCGATAATTAAGCTTTTCATTAATCTATAATCTACTTCTGAAACAATCTGGTTTTAAACGTTGAATCTCGAGTTGTTCATTGCAACGTAAACAACAAGCAGCAAACCGAAGACGCATCAGCCGGGATATCTACAGAAACCACTAAAATAACCCTCCTCAACACTCGTCCTTAGACTCATGAGTTCAGAGCTACGCATTGTTCAGACTTGTCATTGAGACCAATGGATTCTGAAGTGATCTTCACATGTTATTTCTAAGTACAATTGAACAGAGACCCATGTTGTAGAGGATGGTAGTTTAAGGGATTTTTGGGACTTAATTTATAATTCATTTTGTGTTATGATGAAATAATAATAAGTAAAGTATAAGGTATAAGGGTTATTCAGTATATACATCTTATTTGTATCGTTTTTACACACACAGTCACAAACACAGTGGACAATGGTCACACAAATATTTACACATTTTTAGATCAGGAATCAGGAAACATGTATTTACCAAAACATTTAACAAAACAGATATTTTTTTGCTTCTTTTTTTTTAGGTATGGTACATGGATGGTTACCACAACAATCGCTTTGTTCGGGAGTATCAGTCAATGAAAGACTTCATAACTGCAGATAATTTCACCTCTCATCGCCTGCCTCACCCCTGGTCTGGTACCGGCCAGGTCGTTTATAACGGATCCATTTACTTCAACAAATTTCAGAGTCACACAATCATCAAGTTCGACTTCAGCACGTCCCTTATCAGCCGCTCACGCCAACTGGACTTTGCCGGCTACAATAACATGTACCATTACGCCTGGGGGGGACACTCAGACATCGACCTCATGGTGGACGAGGGAGGGCTATGGGCCGTTTATGCCACCAATCAGAACGCTGGAAACATTGTTCTCAGCCAGTTAAATCCAAACACTCTTCAGATCATCCACAGCTGGACCACCAACCACCCGAAACGCAGCGCCGGCGAGGCATTCATGATCTGTGGAACTCTGTATGTTACTAACGGCTACTCAGGTGGAACAAAAGTGTACTACGCCTACTCCACTAATTCCTCCACCTATGAGTACATTGACATTCCTCTGACCAATAAATACAGCCACCTGTCCATGCTGGACTACAACCCTCGAGACAGAGCGCTGTACGCCTGGAACAATGGCCACCAAGTCCTCTACAATGTGACTCTCTACCACATCATCCAGTAACACCAACGTAGGAGAGGAGTACGATCATGAAATATAAAGATATAGTTTACAAAAATCCTCACAGGCTCTTGTACAAAGTCATTGGGTCCTATCCGTGTTCCTGGGACAGAGAAGTATATTGGCCTAGCTTAGCATAAACTCACAGGCAAAGAAAATCCACCTTCTATTGAAATCAGGTGTGACCGTTGCATGTTGTTAGTGAACCAGTCCATCCTGTAATCAGCTGCTTTATTTTACTGCTAATCCTGCTAAAACGCCTATGTTTTGATTAGACATTTTAATTTTACACCTGTAAAATGTACCAACATGGACATAATACCACGAGATATTTGCTTGTGTGGAGCCGGGCTAGTAGTTTCCCTACACTTCCAGTCTTTGTGCTAAGCTATGCTAAACCTCACCAGGGCCTATCTCCTTACTGGAGCATCTCCAAAGTTTTGGACTGTTAACTTCTATATTAAGTTTGAGTTTTTGCATGAAATCAAGGTCACCTGTTTTGGTTAATGACCACATTTTTTACAAAAGCTTTTGAAAATAAAACACTAATCACAAAGAAATTGTCTTTTACAAGAACAGACAGTGAAATGTTGAAATCTTATCATTTTGGATACTATAGATGAGACTTTGTAAAGACTTAATGATATCAAACTTATTGTTCTTATTCTGAAGTAATAATAATTGTAATGTATTTTCGTACTATTGAGTATTATACAGCGATAAATCATTCACAACAATGTCATTACATAACTCGGTTCATCATTTGAGGTAAATTGACGAGGGCTCAAAAGGACATAATTTCTTCCGTCCACTCTGCTGTTGGTGTGTTGATTGTCATATTTAATCAGGTTCAAAATTGAGCATATTTGAAATGTGGCCTCTTTGAATGACAGGTGACTGTGGTCTCTCATGTGGAGCTGATAGCTGTCTTCTCTGCTACGAAACCTAGCCTCCAGCTTCACTGCCGATCCACAGCGTTACCTATTTTTAGATTTAATTTGTGTCGTTATGGCTCTTCAGGAACCTCTGGGTGAGGTCACATCCATATTTTCTAAAGTGTAAAGTGCTCATATATGGAACTTGTAGGAGTTTCCCTACAGGTGTTTGCATCCTCCTGTGCATCTTTTAGGGATGCGGTCCATGCCTGTTTTAGGCTCTGTTTGGTCAGTTTGCATTGTTTTGAAGTAAGACCTCTGGTTTGTTCATGATCATTCTGTCCAAAAGCAGATCAGCAAGAAAAAGTCAGGATTGATGAAAATGACCCTTCTTGAACTGTGTCTGAATGGAGAAATATGGGCGGGATGAAGATCAGAAGGTGTAAGACATGCATGTCAGTGACGATCTGTCATTAATGTTATTTTCTCCTGCTATCACCATTTTTTCCATTATCATATTTTACATTTCTGAAAATGAAATGTCTTTGTGTGAAGCAGTACTTTTAGACTTTATACACATCCTGGGGTTTTGTGGTTCATTTTATAATGTTACTTTCCGTGTACTGAGATGTCTTAATTTACTTTCATGGTTTACAGTGTTGGCAACTGGTAGAACAGCAGTGATTGTACTGAGCTACAAGAAAGAAAATGATTATTCACAGACTGCGTACAAGTAAATGGATTTGTCCCTGTTGGTATCTTCTTGGATTATATTGGATTTAGTCACCCAAGCACAATGTGATACTATTATTTGTTTTTAACTAAAAATAAAGATGATCCACTTCACATAAACGTTACAGCATTGTTTGTATTATGTTAGAAAAGGATGGTGGTCAGAAAAACTAATTATACATATTCTCTTTTATTTTGGGGTTGGATAATAACCAGGATTGCTATTCGGCAATCATCTACTTACTTACTTATCTCCTGAAATTTTGTGGTGTTAAGTTAAAGGAAATAAGTGTTACGGCATGTTGTGGCAGGCCCAAATGCAGAGACCAGAGCCCTGTTCCTCGTACGTGGTTCAACTATGTCGATCAAATGTCCGATTATCCAGCTCAGATTACCGAGATGATTGACATCAGACTATCTCGGTTCCATGAAGGCGGATCGACGCTCAAACCGTTTTGTTAGTTTGAACCAGATGTGAATCATCAGGATAATCGTCTTTCGTCAGAAGGCGGAAGAGTCGATCCCAGAAAACAGGATTTTTTAACAGTATAACGGCAAATAAACTTAAAGGAAGAGCGTATTTTTTCTCCGCTGACGAGCAGGAGATGATCATGAACATATGATGAGATAATATGTTCATTTCAATCATTTCTGTCAGATGAATTTAATGTATTATACATATTTGATGTTGTTCATTCTGTACATCCATCGCAGTCTGTCCGTCCCTGGAGGATCGTCCCGTGTCTCTAAAGGTTTCTTCCCTTTATTCTTCCCATCAAACACTTTTTCATTGTTTGGGGAGTTTTTCCTGTCCATGTGAAGGTTTCTGGACAGAGGGCGTCACATGTGTACACACTGTAAAGACACATGAGGCTAATCTGCGATGTTGTGCGATACAAAATTAAATTAAATGAATCCTATAATCATGTTAAAGACTGACAGCGCCCCTCTGCGACGCCACAAGCCCGACAAAGAGAGAGTGTGAAGAGGTGTGTCTTTAGTCTGAAGATAAGAAGGCTCTCTGTGGTCCTGGTGTCTTCAGAGACCTCCTTCCACCATTTAGGAGCAGGACAGCAAAGAGTGGAGATCTAGTCCAGTGTTTTGCTCTCAGTGAGGAGGAACAAGCAGTTTATCACATGCAGAGCGGAGAGTGCGGGTCGGGATGTCGGGTTGGACCAGGTCCTGGATGTAAGCTGGACCCCATCCATTCACAGCACGGTACGTGAGCACCATGGTTAGAACTGGATGAGCCACCGGTACCAGTGAAGAGAGCAGAGGAGTGGAGGAGTGAGGGAGAACTTAGGAAGGTTAAAGACCAGTGGAGCTGCTGCATTCTGGATGAGCTGCAGAGGTGGAATGGTGGTAGCAGGAGACCTGCAGGAGAGAGTTACAGTAGTCCAGGAGGGAGACGACAAGAGCCTGAATCAGTACCTGCGCTGCCTTCTGAGTGAGACGAAGACGTATTCTCCTGATGTTGTAGAGTGTGTTGTTGCAGTGATGTTGTCACGCCCAGGTTCCTAGCAGTCAAAGTGGGCAAAGATAGCAATGGAGGGGTAGTAAAAGACTTCATAGAGGAAAGAGCATTACTTTGTCTCAATGATGGTAGTGGCACTAGGGTAGATGTTACTCGAAATGCAGTATCCTGCTTACTGTAGATCTCACCTTGGAAATATGAGTAAGTTGTGTGAATGGGATATATTGAACAAGTCTAACATAGGAAGGGACCATTACCCAATGTTATGGTCATTAAATTGCAGAATCTTTACACCGGAGGGTAATACAATAGAAAGATGGTGTTTTCATTACGCCAACTGGTGAAGATTTAAAGAATGCTGTAGGACGGCATGCAATGATCTATCTTTAGAGGGTGATGTGGACAGCTATGTAGTTACGACGCTGCATACATAATATGAATAATTATGTTCTAAAATAGGTACAATATTTCCCTTTACAAATATACATCAAGAAATTGAAATCCCTGACACTGCATACTTAACCAGGTTTTCAAACGAAAATTATATTAAACAGAACATTATTCATAAGTATGCAGTGTCATAACTACATCTCTGACGTTTATAACAAACCAAACCGTTTGAAAATCGGTTGAAAATTGAGCAAGTATATACACGTACCACTACCAACACAACGTTATGGGCAGTGCTGTAGTGGTAAAATTAGAGGTGGGTAAACTCTGAATTTTTTGTGATCATACAGACCTCGACACGATGTGAAGCAAGGCAACACAAAGCGTCGCGACTCAGTGAAGCTGGCTATATTGCATTATGTTATCAGTAAAAGTCATATACAATCAATGATAATGAATACATGTGTTAGTAGTTTGTAGTTCATTAAATCTATGAAAACGGTGAAGAAAAGTATGACAACACAACACAATTGCAGATTAAGAACTATCTACATACGGAGTCTCCTTTTTACAGTAGTGCCCAGAGGGCCTCCTTGTCCTCCACGTCAGGTCCTGCCTTGCACAGAGGAGCCATGAACCCCAGAACCCCGCGTTCTGGGGTTCATGGCTCCTCTGTGCTTCTCTCTCTATTGGACCTGGTGTTTCTCCTCTCCCTGTGCTCTCTGCATCACTGCCTGTCCTCTCACTGCCTGAAAAAATATGTTGAATTTAAGAGTTAACCAGTTAAGCAGCCTGTCAATTACACTGACAACATAAGTTAAAGGAACACTCATGTACTACCTATGTCATCATAAATAGCCTATACAGCATGTTTTTTTCACATTGAGAACTGACTTGTTTTCTAATCTACGCGTCACCAGGCGTTTTTCTTTTACCGTGCACGACCAGCGAACACAGAGCTGCGTAAAAAGGTTGGGGACCACTGGGCTGATCCGTGTGTTTACACACCTCCTGGATCCTGATTGGTCGCTGCTGCAGCCGCAAGGCACTGATTGGATGCTCACAGATCGTAATACAGCGCAGATGAAAATGATTCAGACTACGGCGTTTATATGTTCAACAATAGGAAACGTAGTCTTAGCTGTTTTAAAATTACACCAAGTTTATTTCGGATTATTCCAACGGAAGAATACAAGGCGCAGGGAACTTTGAGGTGCGTAAACGCTATTTATAGGTGCGTAAACGCTATCTACAGGTGCGTAAACGCTATTTCCCAAATTCCAGAGGTGCGTAAACGGCGTTTACGTGCGTTTACCCTCCACTACAGCCCTGGTTATGGGTGAGCGAGCTGCCCGTACCAAGATGGCCCCCATGTGCGGACGTTCTAGACTCCGCCGTAAAACATCTAGTCTTTGCTTCATACTGCACATGTCACTTTAACTGTAATTTTTCATTCGTTACTTTGTCGTCACTCGTCATTTTGTCACTTGTTCGTTAGTGCACTATTTTTAAATATTTTTTTACTTTTTAAATATTTTTAACTTTATTCTCTTATTTTATACTAACCCATATCCTTATTCTACTAACCCATTGCATTAGCATTTCATTTTATTTTATTACTTGTGCACTGCTGTCTTGTTGTCTATTGTTACACTGTCTACTGTCGCGCACCAACCGCCAAGACAAATTCCTTGTATGTTTGACATATTTTGGCAATAAATGTTTCCTGATCCTGATTCCTGAATCAATACTATCCATTATGACGTTACATTTAATTCAGCTGAGGCTTTCAAAAGCGACTTACAATATGTGCATTTCACCACGAGGGTTCAGACCTAGAACAGGAATCAACTTGGTAGAATTTTTTCATAGAGCTGAACTCTAGTTCTGTTACTAAAGTGCTCCTTATCCAATGTGTAGTCTGAAGAGGTGTGTTTTTACATTTATAGACTTTATTATATCCTAATATCACTGAGGAGCTCATTCCGCTCATACTGGTAAGTGATGCAGGGAGAGGACTGGTGGCACCAGCCGGTAGACCGGCCAGGATGGAGTTAGAGGGATGACCTGAACCCCCTGAGTGAGAAGGGGGCGCATATCGTGACTTCTCCCCCCTCATGAGTTATCAAGACCGAGTGTGATGAGGGTTATTATTGTTATCTGGAGATGAAAAACACCCAAACACATTTGATAATCAGCAATTTATTTGATTTGATTGACAGGGGAGATCCTGGAGCAGGTGAGGGGGGCGGGGCCTCCTCAGCAGGTGTCTGTGTTGGACCTCGGCTGTGGAAAAGGAGGAGATCTGCAGAAGTGGAGGAGAGGAGGAATCAATCACCTGGTCTGTGCAGGTGATCTGTCATTATTTCTTTATTGTTCCGGTTATATTAGCTCAGGTTCTTTACACCTCTTATGACGGGTGCTCACATCTGTTTTATGTGACATAATTTGATGTACTGTGTCTTTATTCTCAGATATCGCTGGAGTGTCGGTGGAACAATGTCAGAGTCGTTACGAAGACATGAAGAAGAAAAGTCACAGCGAGAAAATCTTCAGTGCTCAATTTATCAATGCAGACTGTTCCAAGGTAGACAAACATCATCTAGATCAGTTCACTGCTATCGCTGTAGAACAACATCATCTAGATCAGTTCACTGCTATCGCTGTAGAACAACAGCATCTACATCAGTTCACTGGCATATGTATGTAGAACAACATCATCTAGATCAGTTCACCGCTGACCAAACCCCAACTCCTTTGTCATGTCTACACAGGAGGTTTTCTCAGAGAAGCTGGACAATCCGGAGCTGATGTTTGACATCTGCAGCTGTTAGTTTGTTTCTCATTCGAGAGCGAACAGAAGGCTGACATGATGCTGCGAAACGCATGTGAGCGTCTGAAACCTGGCGGTTTCTTCATCGGAACGACACCTGACGCTTTCGAACTTGTGTAAGAACAAACACCCCCAGGCTCAGTGACTGACGGTGTTTTATATCAATATATGAGTAACTCAAAGCTTGTCAATGATTGTCTGCGTATAAATACACTGACTAGGTCAATAATGCCACTTCTGCTCATCCTCGACGCTTGGTAAACGCCAAGTAAACGCTTGGAGGCGTCGGACTCTCTGTCGTTTGGAAACAAACTCCCTAGGAAGGTGTTCCAGGCACGGCCAGCTGGGAAGAGGCCCCGGGGAAGACCCAGGACTAGGTGGACAGATTATATCTCTGCACTGGCCTGGGAACGCCTTGGGATCCCCCAGTCAGAGCCGGTAGATGTGCCCCGGGAAAGGGAAGTTTGGGGTCCCCTGCTGGAGCTGTTGCCCCCGCGACCCGACCCCGGATAAGCGGTTGAAAATGGATGGATGGAGGGATGGACACTACAAGCACATTTATTCACTGTCATTGATTGTATATGACTTTAACCGATAATATAATGCAATATAGCCAGGAGAGCCTGACACGTTGCGTAGCGTTGCATCGCGTCAAGGTTTGTATGATCACACATTTAATTTTACCACTGCAGCACTGTTTAGGACTGATAGCCTGGAACATGTTGCTGGCTGCTAGGCTACTTCCATCTCATCATCTCCCCTGCAGACGACCACCACTGTGTCCCTAAAAGACCGTGGTTTGTAAAACGTCTAAATGTGGGGACATTGTTGCCACTTGAAACACATCAAATGATGGAGAGTTGAGAGCAAAGTTCAACATGTTCCGCCTCCAAGATGATCACATGTGTGCACTTATTGTAAGTCGCTTTGGATAAAAGCGTCAACTAAATGACATGTAATGTAATGTAGTTTGTGTTTAGAATACAATTAAACAACTGTGTTAAAAACCACACTTTCTAAAGTGATTACTCGTTAACTTATAACATTTAAGAGTTAGTCTTTAGAAGGAAAACAAACTTTAATTATGTCTAATCCTGATTAATGACGTTTCACAATTCAAAGGGAGATTAGAGCCACCATCAGATAGAACCACCATCACATAGAACCACCGTCAGCTAGAACCACCATCACATAGAACCACCATCACATAGAACCACCGTCAGATAGAACCACCGTCAGATAGAACCATCAACAGATAGAACCACCATCCCATAGAACCACCGTCAGCTAGAACACCATCACATAGAACCACCATCACATAGAACCACCATCACATAGAACCACCGTCAACAGATAGAACCATCATCCACAGAAACCAGTGGGGAAAGAAAGAAGAAGCAAAGCACGTAATGCTGGTTTATTTTGACAGTAATAGAGATGTGATTACTATTTATTGTAATAATGATAATAGCAGCAGCAGGTGTCAGCAGGGCCATGGCAGGAACAGGGCCCAGACGGAACTACTAAAGCAGAAAAAGAAAAGTGGCAGCTCCTCAACTATCTTTTGGGGGAAGCCAAAATGATTATTATGAAATCTATTTAAGTAAGAAGGCCAGAGTGAAGACCAGGGAGGGGCAGGAGGCCAGGGCAGTGTGGCTGGTGAACATCAGGGCCAGACTCCGTTTTTATAAACACATTGGAGACGTAGCCGCTTTTAAACAACGTTGGTGTTTTAATGAGCTTGTTTGCTCCGTATTTTATGGCATAGATTGTGTATTTTATAAAACAAAGCAAGGCAACCCGTGATTTTTATCACATCGGCATTTTATTTGTTTGAAATTAGAAAAATTATAAATATGTAAATAAATAAAGTTTTTAAATAGAAAAAATCTCTCTCTCTCTCTCTCTCTCCCTGTCTTTCTCTCTCTCTCCCTCTCTCTCTCTCTCTCTCTCTCTCTCTCCCTGTCTTTCTCTCTCTCTCTCTCTCTCTCCCTCTCTCTCTCTCTCTCTCTCTCATAGGCTTAGTGACTCTCGCCTGGTACACAGCAGATGGTTGTTTCCGTACCGATCAAAGTACATGATGCATCTAAAGTCTCTATAGATTATCGTCTTCTGGAGACAGCGAGGTAACTTTATTAATTATTTCTACCAGTGATTTATAAGTGATTGTTTTTATTATGAGTTTCATCTGAATTGGGAAATAAAAACTAAAATTGATTTAAACTTTTAAAAAGACGGACAGTTTGTAACCATCTTATCATTTGACTTTTTTCATTCTCGAGAGTATATTTATGTATTTAGTATGTTTTTAGTTGTGTATTTAGAAACTTTTGTAAATTGTTTCATTAATACTAATTAAACATGTGTTTATAAAATCGTCCTTATGTATAAGGGCTCTAAATGAACCATATGTCAAAAGAAATGTCTTTATGTATAAATACTCTGGATGGTCCTTATGCATATATACTCTGAATGATCCTTGTGTATAAATACTCTAAATAGTACTTATGGGTTAACACTTTAAATGGGCCTCATGTATAAATACTTAAGTGTAAAGTCACTTTGAGTCAAATGAAATTGAATCTGACAGAAACATTTAGAGACGTTCAGAGATCAGATCAAAGGCTTCACAGCTAAACGAGTCTTTAGTGACACGTGTTTATAACAAGTCTTCAGTGACAAGTCTCTACTAATACGTTTGTACCACCGTGTGCTAATGTTTACCAATATATATTAATGTGTGCTAGTGTTTATTAACATTTACTAAGGATTACCAATGTCTCTTAATATTTACTAATGTTAACCCATTTTTAGTAATATGTATTCATGTTTACTAATATTTCTGTGTAATAATGTAGTAATGTTTACTAATGTGTACTCATTTTTAGTAATATGTATTCATGTTTACTAATATTTGTTTTTAATAATTTAGTAATTTTTATTAATTTTTAATTATATTGTGCATATTTTGATTTATTTGGTCATTTGAGAGTATTAAAAACGAATGATCAAGTTTCACTGCTCTCAAAAAACAAGTATACATTAACAAGGCCTTTTACTATCTTAACAACAAACAATCAACTCATTGTTCTCAAAAATGAAGTGTGAAGAAACAAGCCTAGAATCTTAACTACCAAAAATGGTTGGTGTTGGTGGGTGCTGGTATGGTGTTGTGGTACGCGGTGTGGTGGTGCTGGTATGGTGTCGGTATGGTGTTGTGGTACGTGGTGTGGTGGTGCTGGTATGGTGTTGTGGTACGTGGTGTGGTGGTGCTGGTATGGTGTTGTGGTACGTGGTGTGGTGGTGCTGGTATGGTGCTGGTATGGTGTTGTGGTACGTGGTGGTGCTGGTATGGTGTTGTGGTACGTGGTGTGGTGGTGCTGGTATGGTGTTGTGGTACGTGGTGTGGTGGTGCTGGTATGGTGTTCTGGTACGTGGTGTGGTGGTCCTGGTATGGTGCTGGTATGGTGTTGTACCGCATGTACACGTATAGGGTTCTTGAGAAGGTCCACTGGAGCAAGCTCACAAAAGATCCAGTGTCAGGCTTTGTCTCAGTTCAATTGTGTCTGTGTTTCAGGATGATCATGAACGACAGGTGGACCATCATGAACAACAGCAGCTCAGAACTCGGCAGCAAACAACCAAACAAACACAAGGTAAATGCTATGATAATTTAGGGGTGTAACAATTCATTTTAACAACGATTTAATTCGAATCGCGATTCATGGACGATCTGGGTTAATTTAGAACGATTCGATTCAGTGACTTGAAATCGATTCAGTAACTTTACTGGACAGTGCAGGCAAAGTTCCTGAGATCCCTGTTGTTTCTTGTAAGGAAATCAGGTTTAAATAAATTATGGATATTATAAACAAGCAAACAACAATTAATGGCAAATGTATTAACCTTTTATTTGAATCAAGTGCCATTTTCAAAGTAAACAACAAACAATAATTACACAATGTTTGGATCAATTCACAGAACCCCGGATTTTCAACCACATTGTCGGGTCGTATGTCTTTACAGATAAACTTGGCAATTGTTACTGTGATGTTGAGTTTGGTGCTAAATGTCTCGCTCGCAGTCGTCTCCTCCACGCTGTGTTTTGTTGTTGTTCAGAGTTTCGCGCTGCTGCGTACTGATGACGTCACAGACAGGCAGACTGAATCCAGTAACGTTTAACGCGTCTAAAGTGCTAAAAAACAAACAAACAAACACACATCCACACCGCTTTTGTACTTAAATCCAATGTGCAGTTTCCAAGTATCGATACAATCGATTATGTACCATTTCAATCGATTTGAAATCAATATATGTCGTCCGGAATGCCGATTTGCTGAGCACAGATGGATTCAGTTGGATCGCAGGAATATAAATCGATTAATCGATTCAGTGGATGAATCGTTACACCCCTAATAATTAGCCTATTAGCTCACACCCCCTTTGAGCTCATGAAACCCCTCAGACAGACAGACGGACAGACAGGCAGATAGACGGAGAGACCGACAGAAAGACAAACAATGGGACAGACAGATAGATAGTGAGAAAGACGAACAGACAGACAGCGAGACAGAGAGACAGACAGACAGTGAGACAGTGGGAGATAGATACACAGGAAGGACAGACAGAGTGAGACTGGGGAGAGCGGCAGACAGAGACAATGATAGAAGGTAAGAGAGACAGACGGACAGACAGATAGACAGGAAGGACAGAAAGACCAAGACTGAGAGACATACAGAAAAATGGACAGAAACAGACATAGACAGTGAGACAACATGACAAAGTGACAGAGTCAGACAGATAGAGAGACAGGAAGGACAGACAGACAGATAGACATTGAGTGAGAGAAAGTCAGACGAATAGTGAGAAAAACCGAGAGAAAGACAGAAAGAAAGGACAGAGAGACAGAGAGAGACGGTAACAGAGCTTCAGTGAGTTAAATCCTGTTAATCTGGAGTCTCTAATCTGAAACAGCTGCCTCCTTTACTGAGATCTTCTTAGGATCTACAGATAAACGCAGAGCTAGGATTTACACTGCAGGGGTTACGTTACCCCAGGACAAAACCCAAAGCAACACCCACATCTCCAATAACACCACCAATAGCACCACAAGACCACCCAAAACACAACAAGACAACTCCTACCCCAACAACAACACCCACAGCTCCACAGCACCTCCAATAACACCATAACTACCCAACACACAGCACCACCTGAAGCACCATAACACAGTCAATAACACTCCCGATACCACAAAACCACCCAAAGCACCATTACACCTCCAAAAGAACCTTTGTGCCAATGGGAGGGTTTTGTGACGCATGTGTACAGACCGTAAAGCCCTCTGAGGCTAATTTGTCATTTGCAATTTTGGGCTTTAGAAAATAAAATGAATGAAATGGAAAAGAGTTCGGAGTCAAAAAATGAATGAAATGGAAAAGAGTTCGGAGAGCTCAGCAGAACTCACAAGATAATCTGACAGAGATGGAAGTGAGTGGACCTTAGAGTAAGATACTGGTGAGGGCGGCGGCTGTGAGGTGAAGACCAGGTTAGAAGGGAGGTGTGGACCAGGTTGGAAGCAAGGTGAAGATCAGGCTAAATGTCTTCAACTAAGATCCATTAAAATGGTAACTTTAAGACTCAAGGCATGCTGGGAAGGGAGGGGTGCTAACCGTGTCGTAAGCTCATGTCTGATTGTGATTGTATGTGTGTGCACTCAGAGATGCTGTTGCTTCCTGTTGTGGTCTGTCTTTACGCTGGTCGTCACAGCAGTCATTGTTGTCACAGCAACGCTCATCATCCTGTACCTGAACCAGTATCCTCTTCCCTTCATCACCAGGTAAACACACCTGTCTGTCTGTTTTTTTGTTAGTATTTCTCTCTGACCTGCGTGTCTGTCGCTGCTGTCACGATAACAGGGGCCGAGTCTCCTCCGCTTCGCCCGTGATCTCAACCAATCCCACAGAGTCTGGTGCCCTGGTGTCGGTGTCACGTGTCACAGAAGGAGAGCCAATCAGCATCTTCTTGGACCCAAACTGTCCTGACTACAGCGAGAGCTTCCTGCGCTGGGAGGCGCTGCAGACCTCTCTGCTGCGGACGCTGGCTAATCACAAGGCAGAGGATTGGCAGGACACAGGGTTTGACCACAAGCTGGCCGAGGAGTTAAAGGTACTGTCAGGCCACGCCCACAACCTAAGGCTGGAAGCTGATTCGCTGAAGAGAGGTCAAGGTGTTCTGGACCAGCGACTGGACGGGTTGCAGAGCGAGCAAAGCCGCATCATCCAGGTCATTATATAAATAATAATAACAAATATGTAACTCCTGTAATCTCCTTCCCTCTCCAATTTGTGTGCATAAATATATATATGTTCCCTTTATTGATATTCCATACGTGAACAGGTGCTGTCTGACAGTCAGTCAGGTGTGTTGAAGCTGGTCTCAGGCTTCAGTGATTCTCTACTGAGCCTCCAGAGAGAGACAGAGAATATGAGGAGGGTCAACAAAGACCTGCAGGGTGACAGCAACCCCCGAGGTGATCACCCTATTCCACATTGATACACATTAATATACACATTAAACATTGTAATATACATACGTAATACACCCTCAATATCAGGTTTACCCTCACAACCGGGTCCTGGGGGTCCAGTCAACATGTGGCCTCTCTCTATCTATCTATCTCCTTTTACCCCTCTCTCTCTCTGACTGTCTCTCTGTACTTGTCTCTCTTCACCTCTCTCTCTCTCCCTCTGTCTCTCTATCTGCGGATTTCTGACTCTCTCTAAATTTCTGTCTCTCAGCTCTCAGACCCAGAGACTGCTCGGAGGTCTTGAGTTCCGGTGGTTCTGAGGATGGAGTTTATTCTGTATTTCCAACTCATGATCCTGACGGCTTCATGGTTTACTGCGACATGAGCACTGATGGAGGGGGCTGGACGGTGTGCAACACACAAACTAACACACCTTCATACAGACACACACAAATCACAAAGATAAAGAGTGTCAAAAGTTTTAACATCTCAATTCCACCAATCACATCCCACCAATCGCATTCCACCAATCACATTCCACCAATTACATTCCACTAATCACATTCCACTAATCACATTCCACCAATTACATTCCACTAATCACATTCCACCAATTACATTCTACTAATCACATCCCACCAATCACATTCTACTAATAACATTCAACCAGTCACATTCCAACAATCACATTCCAACAATCATATTCCAACAATCACATTCCACTAATCGCATTCAGCCAGTCACATCCCACCAATCACATTCCACTAATCAAATTAAACAAATCACATCCCACCAATCACATTCCAACAATCACATTCCACTAATCGCATTCAGCCAGTCACATCCCACCAATTACATCCCACCAATCACATCCCACCAATCACATTCCACTAATCACATTAAACAAATCACATCCCACCAATCACATTCCACTAATCACATTAAACAAATCACATCCCACCAATCACACACAAGGTATTAGTAGACGCCCCACCAGCACCATTAATGAATTAATTAATAGAATCCCTGCTCCATTTGTCAATATTTTAATTGATTGTCTTCAGGTGATTCAGAGGAGGGAAGACGGATCAGTAAACTTTTTCAGGGACTGGACGGCTTACAGAGACGGATTTGGAAGAAATACAGGAGAACACTGGCTGGGTACACCTACACACACAAACAAATACACACATAGAGACACACACAGCGACACATACACATACCGTCTCTACCGTCATACTGCTTGTCTGTCTGTCGGGTCTACAGAGGATGTACCCACTCCAGATCCAGTGGGTACGAGTTATGGATCAACATGTCTGTCTTTCTATCTCTCTCTATCTCTGACCCTCTCCCTGTCTTTCAACCCCTACCCGTCTATCTCCCTGCCTGTCTCTCAGGTCTCCAGAGGATGTACTCCCTCACCAGATCTGGTGGTTATGAGTTAAGGATTGACATGTCTGACTTCGACAACACCACAGCCTTTGCTCGTTACGGAGACTTCTCTGTGGGTCGGGACTCAGTGAACCCCGAGGAGGACGGATACCCGCTGGAGGTGGACCAGTACTCAGGGACCGCAGGTATTCACACTAGTACTGATGCTGTACTATGTACATATAAATGCACACAGTACTACCAGGTGTTCTTCTGGCCTCCAGGTGACTCCCTCCTGAAGCACTCTGGGATGCAGTTCACCACCAAAGACCGGGACCAGGACCAGTCAGAGAATAACTGTGCAGCCTACTACCAGGGCGCCTGGTGGTACCGTAACTGCCACACTTCCAACCTGAACGGACAGTATCTGAGAGGAGGCCATGCCTCCTACGCCGATGGGGTGGAGTGGTCCAGCTGGACGGGCTGGCAGTACTCGCTCAGATTCACAGAGATGAAGATACGACCCAATGCTAAACCAGGCTCCTGATCATATGATCCTAAAATATTACATCTGACCTTTGACCCTTAAACCGGATCTATGAGCCCCTGGCCCTTAAACTTTGACCTCGGACCGCTGACCTATAAGCTTGAGCTCTGACCCTTGAAACTAATCGTTGGTCCCAAGTTCTGCCCTCTGACCCTTAAACCTGACCCCTGCCCTCAAACCTCCTCCGCCTACACCTAAACTGTACCTCTGCCCCTTAAGCCTGACCTCTAACCCCTAAACCTGACTGCTGAATCATTAATCTGTAACTTTGAAATTTGACCCATTTTCCGTCACCTGGAGAAAAAAACCATCACTGTGTTATGTGTTTTATAAAAAGTGATAATTATTAGAATAACTATAAGTATAGTATACAATCTTATTTACGTTTGTTTTGTTTCCTGCTGGTTGTGTGTTCTGATCAAATACTTACATGTTGAGTGATGTGGATTCAAAGCATACGGTTCAAGAATTTGTGATTGCTTGAGTTTTATTCTATATTCAAAGAATAAATCACACGTTTAAGCTCTGACTAATTAAACAATTGATCAATAAAGCTATTTTACTTTTATGTTGTTCTTAATATCTCATGAATTGATTGATGATATTTATCGAATATGAATGGTTATAAAAGCCAAGACATTTAAAAGAATAATGCCAGTAGTTCAGTCTCTTTCAAAATAAAAGATAACGTTTATAAAATCAGATTGGATGATCTGAACGGCACCACGCTACTTCCTGGTGCTGACGTGATGACGACACCAATGACCGAGACGACGATTATGACGCGATGTAGATGATGGAAAACCTCCTCCTGTGATTCGCGGGAAAAGTGCAAAATGGCGACGGCCGAAGTTTGAAGTTTAGCGCGACGAAACTAGAGGAAGAGAGAGAGAGGAAGAGAGAGAGACAAGGCGGATGCATGTATGAGAGACAGGACAGATAGATTAACAGAGAGTTGGTGTGAAGACACAAACTGTCTGTCTGTCCTCCCTGGAATAACAACCTGTCTGTCGGAGAGGACACACATACCGGACCACAGGACGTAAGACAGCTTTGCTTCGTTTGGCTCCATATGTTATATGCATGTACTAATATATCATATCTGTACATTTACATGTGCATGTATTATGCATACACATGTTCATATATGTGCTAAACACAAGCTTCATATCGGTAAACCGTTTTTTACAGCTGAGTAAAGCCGTTAGAATTCCACCGCGGTGTGTGTGTGTGTGTGTGTGCGCGCGCGCGCGTCATTGACAGGATGTTACCCGGGTTACTGGTGTCAGGGGGCGGGACCAACCGTGGTTAGTCTGTTATGACGGGAGACTTGATGCGCATGCGCCGACTTCTAAAATCCCCTGACAGTTCAGGAATGACTGACAGCCACAACCTGTCTGGGAGACACCCTAATCCTCATCTTTAAAACTGATCAATATCAATGGAACTGATCAAGTTCTATGAAACTGATCTCTTATATTGATCTTCATAACAGTTTAATAATCGTTCATAAGTTCATTTATTTTTGACTGAAGCTTCTTGTTATTGTTTAGAATTAGTTCATTGACAGTTTACTGTTGTTGAATGTTTAAAGTGAATATTTATGAAACTACTTTTTTTATTGACCTGAATCACTGTTAAAGGCAGAGGAGTCAAAGGGATTCAGGTGAGAACTCAACCTGTCTGTCTCTCTTCCCTTCTCTCTACCTGTAGGATGTTTGAGGACCTGATTGAAGCCTTCTGTGGTCTGGAGCCTCAGGTGGCTCAAGGGGGCGGGACATGTCGGAAAGGCCAGAGCCCAAGAGAGGAGGCGCAGTTTAGTCTGAGTGTTGGACAGTTCGTCCTCTGTCATTGGTCAGATGGACTCTACTACCTGGGCAAGATACAGAGAGTAAGACATCATTTTTTCCTCATTGGCTGGTGTTAGCCTCTGATTGGTCAGTGCTGACATCTGGTCTCTGATTGGTGAACAGGTAAGCCCTCCGCGGCTGAGCTGCTTCGTCACATTTGAGGACAACTCCAAGTTCTGGGTCCTCTGTAAGGACATCCAACATGGTGAGATACAGACTGGTTGTGAGAGAATCTTCAAGGTCTGTCACGATAACTGCTTTTTGTTTATGGATTATTGCACCAAAATGAATTACCAAGCACCAAGCCTGATGCATTCTGCTTCTTATGTCTAAATATTTAGAAGAATAAAACATTCTTTGTTCTTTGAAAGCGCATCCTTGCAGAGACATCCAACCTAGTGAGAGAACGAGAGGTAGTGAGAGAGAGACATCCAACCTAGTGAGAACGAGAGGTAGTGAGAGAGAGACATCCAACCTAGTGAGAGAACGAGAGGTGGTGAGAGAGAGACATCCAACCTAGTGAGAGAACGAGAGGTAGTGAGAGACATCCAACCTAGTGAGAGAACGAGAGGTAGTGAGAGACATCCAACCTAGTGAGAGAACGAGAGGTGGTGAGAGACATCCAACCTAGTGAGAACGAGAGGTAGTGAGAGAGAGACATCCAACCTAGTGAGAGAACGAGAGGTAGTGAGAGACATCCAACCTAGTGAGAGAACGAGAGGTAGTGAGAGAGAGACATCCAACCTAGTGAGAGAACGAGAGGTGGTGAGAGAGAGACATCCCACCTAGTGAGAGAACGAGAGGTAGTGAGAGAGAGACATCCAACCTAGTGAGAGAACGAGAGGTAGTGAGAGACATCCAACCTAGTGAGAGAGCGAGAGGTAGTGAGAGAGAGACATCCAACCTAGTGAGAGAACGAGAGGTGGTGAGAGACATCCAACCTAGTGAGAGAACGAGAGGTAGTGAGAGAGAGACATCCAACCTAGTGAGAGAAAGAGAGGTAGTGAGAGAGACATCCAACCTAGTGAGAGAACGAGAGGTAGTGAGAGAGAGAGACATCCAACCTAGTGCGAGAACGAGAGGTAGTGAGAGAGAGACAGGCACCGTCAATGTGTCCCACCATAATGCTGATTCTGTCCGTCTAATATCTCTCTGGCTGTCAATCACAATCTCTGTCTAATCGCGTTGTAGCCGGAGTGCCGGGGGAGGAGCCTCGCTGCTCAGTTTGTCAGGAGGCGGAGCCAAACGCTGACAACCAATCAAACCCAAACAACCAGATCCTCATCTGTGGCAAATGTGGCATCGGTATGTATGACAGGCAGTGAGACACGCAGTGAGACAGGGAACTGGTTAAACTAGTCATGAAGTCTATGTTTGTAAGAGGACAAGAGTGTCTCCATGTAGAAACCGGTCTTGATTAGGCGATTAATGTCATCAAATATTTTAACGCTGTTAACGCAACTTTGTTTACTTCCGGTCTTCCAAAAGTAAAGTAAAATTTAACCCCGTAAAGGAAACAACCTGAAACAGTGTCACTAGCAAACAGAGCACTTTACGCACCGCTAGCTGCTTGGCTACTTCCATCTCAACATCTACACTGCAGAGGACCACCACTGTGTCCCCAAAAGACAGTGGTTTGTAAACCACGTCCCGTGGGGACATTGTTGGCACACACTCTTCAAATTATGGAGAGCTGAGAGCAAAGCGCACAAGGACAGCAGGAAGAGTTCAACGTGTTCCAGCCGGTAGAATTCTGCCTCCAAACTGGTCAAATGTGTGTAGCTTTGTATCTATAATACACGCTTTCATTACTTGTAATAATAATAATGTGTCTCCCCAGGTTTCCACCAGCAGTGCCACCTCCCTCCTGTAGAGAGCAGCGTTAGTCTCAGTCCTTGGTTCTGTAGACGCTGTGTCTTCGCTCTGGCTGTTCGGGTATAAAACATCTATTGCCTACCTGTCTGTCACAGTCTGTATCTCTCTCTGACTCTATGTCCTTCCATCTGTCTTACTACCTGTCTGTCTCTCTGTTTCACTCTAGCTCTCTTCCTGTGTCACTACCTGTTTGATTACCTGTCTGTCTCTTCTCTCCTCAGAAAGGAGGCGCTCTAAAGAAAGGGCCGATAGCTAAAGCTCTGTCAGCCATGAAGCAGGTGTTCCCCTACGACCTGGACTCTCTGGACTGGGACTCTCAGCACCGGACCAATCACCAACAGTGTTACTGTTACTGTGGAGGCCCTGGAGAGTAAGACTGACCTAGGAGAGGCTCACACACTCACTGTGACATCACAGACTCACCTGGGTTTTGTCTACAGGTGGTACCTGAAGATGCTGCAGTGTTTCAGATGTCAGCAGTGGTTCCATGAAGCCTGTACTCAGTGTCTGCAGGAGTCTATGATGTTTGGAGATAGGTGAGGAAGCTCTTCCTCTGATTGTAATGAGACCGTGACCCCTGACCTTTCCTCTGTCTGTAGTGAGACAGTGACCTCCTCCTCCTCCTCCTCCTCAGGTTCTACCTCTTCCTGTGTTCGGTCTGTAATAAAGGATCAGAGTACGTCCGTCGTCTTTCTCTGCGCTGGGTGGATCTGGTTCATCTGGTCCTCTACAACCTGTCAGTCAGCAGCAAGAAGAAATACTTTGAGCTGGACGAGATCCTCACCTTAGTGTCTGCCAGCTGGGAACCCCTACAGCTCGGGAAGGTACCAGACCCAACCTGGACCGGACTAAACCAGACCCAACCTGGACCGGACTAAACCAGACCCAACCTGGACCGGACCCAACCTGGACCGGACTAAACCAGACCCAACCTGGACCGGACTAAACCAGACCCAACCTGGACCGGACCCAACCTGGACCGGACTAAACCAGACCCAACCTGGACCGGACTAAACCAGACCCAACCTGGACCGGACCCAACCTGGACCGGACTAAACCAGACCCAACAAGCCTTTGCAACCCTGATCTTAACCCTTCTGTCTGTGTTTTAGCTGTCCCACACTCCTCCATCAGAGAGGGGGCAGCACCTGCTGGACGCGCTGAATAAATACAAGAGCAAGTAAGACCACGACTTCTACCGTCAGCGCCAATATATATGATTGTATGTATTGATGACTGTGTGTGTGTGTGTGTTGAGGTTTCTGTGCGGAAAAGAGATCAAGAAGAGGAAATGCATCTTCCGTCTGAGGACCAGAGTCCCTCCAAACCCCCCCTCCAAACTGTTTCCTGAGCGCTCCCAGAGTGACGGAGGGCTGGGCCACAAGAAACGCCCCGTCAGGTACGTCTTTACTCCTTAGTTCTATCTGCGTCCCAGAACAGCAGTGGGTTAGGAAGTCCTGACACCAAGAGGTAGTCCAGTGGTGATTCCTTAAAGTGTGTGTGTGTGCGTGTGTGTGTGTGTGTGTGTGTGTGTTTTCAGTGCTTCTGCTGAGAAGAGGAAGAGGAAGTCCAAGTGGCTCCTAGAAGATGCGATTCCTAATGTAAGACTTTAGTGCTTTGGCTCTACTTCTATTCTATCTCTTTTTTACAAGACTAAACTGTGTGTGTGTGTGTGTGTGTGTGTGTGTGTGTGTGTGTGTGTGTGTGTGTGTGTGTGTATCTAGAACAAACTGTCCTGCAGTTGGACCTCCAACCATCACATGGCAAACATCTTTGACTTCACCCTAGATGAGCTGCAGAGTGTGAAAAGGTGAGACATAGAACAATAATCCACCGATACATGAAGCCATAATCAATCAGTGTAAATATCAGTTGATCTTGTTCTGGTTCAGTTGCTCCAGCCGATCAGTCAGTATTGATCAGGACTCCACTGATGCCTCCACTTCAGGTTCTGCTACAACCAGCGCCTCATATCACTTCAGGTAACCAACACCTCCACCTTTATGCTCCTATGTGGTTAAAGGTTTATACCTACATCTTTTTGTGTTTGTTTTTTACTTCTAAAAAGAACTGTAACTAACTCCAGATCCGGACCCAGAAGCTAAAACGGACAGTTGTGATTCAAATCTGACGAGGCACTCCTATTGGTCGTCTTGGCAGTGGTGGCTTAAATCACAGACCAATAGCATTCGAGTTAAACCCTCCCACGTGATACCACTCGACCAATCAAGTCTTTGCACTCCAGGCAGTGTGATATTGTCTCGAGTGCAGACAGATTAGAGAGGTAGCTGCATATCACGAATAAAAAGACGGACAGAAGAAAAACGATGTATTGAAATTTGAGAAAAAGACAAGACGGAGAAAGTGAGAGAAAGGGACTGGTGAGAAAAATAAGGAACAAATTGCGCTTTGCAAAAAGAGAACAGTGCACAAAGAAAGTAGAGTATTTAATCCTCAATAGACGGACTGGATTCTGTTCATCTTCTCACTGCAGCACTGAACCAGCGTCTCATCAGGCTCAATGAGCATTAACGTCCAGGCAGCAAAACTAGAGCTCAATTCTCTCACTGAGCAAAACAGTATATTGTATAAAACTGTTCAATTGTTAAAATGTGTTTATATTTATTATGTATAATTGGCTGAGACTGTCAAGTCCAAATGTGAAACAGAAAAGGGGAAATTCAAGCTTTTCTTCAATTACAATTTTCACCTTCTATTCGTTTTCTCTTCATTTCAAATGCAGCCCTAATTTTATTTAGTTAGAGAAAATTGTTTATATTTAAATTTGATTTGTTAGTGGAGTATTGATTAAATGCAAACGTTGATACAACTATATTCCTCTATTTAATCACACTAAACACTCACATGATGATCTTCTGGAAGAAATGTTCTCTAACTGGACCTACATTTTAGTTGAATACCCCTGTTATACACTGTACGTAGAGGTCAAAGGATGAGTCGAGTGACCAAAAAATCTTATTCTGATTCTTCATCCTTCAATGTTGTCCTCCACCTTCATCCACTAACTTCATTCTCCACCATTATCCTCCACTTCCTGCTTGTCCATCCTCCTTCTTTATCACCCATCTTTCTTCTTCATCTTCTATCTTTATCCTCCATAGCCTACCGGCACTCTAACCCTTGACCTCTATCCTCTGTGTCCTCAGAAGGAAGGTTGGCAGCCGGAAGAGGAAGTTGCCCAGCAACGGCTACAAATACTGGGCCAGTCGCAGTGAGGTAGGGGAGGAGCTCAGAGGGGAGGAGCCTTCTAGGATGCTTGAAGACCAAGAAGCTCTGACCCACTTGACTGCAGACTCCTCCCACTTCCTGTCTGACCCCACCCAGATCCCATCTGACTCCTCCCACCTCCACTCCTCCATCTCCTCTTATTTTGGAGTGGCGGGCAGACTGACCAACGGGGAGACATACCAGGTGTTGGCTCGCCGCATCACTCCTCAGGGGACAGTCCAGTACCTACTGGAGTGGGAGGGCACTACACCTTATTAGGACGTTTACAGAACAGGTTAGATTCCTCTTCCTCCACGCTCACGGAGAGCTGCTGATTGGTCCACACATTCTGACCAATCAGTTCACTACGTCAAGTTTTAAATAGCGTCTCACGTATGAACTTCTGGGTGACATTTGTCCCCATGAGCCCCTGTGAGATGTCTCTGCATGCTGAGGTGAGTTTGGAGGAACCAGGTATCAAAGCTGATCAGAAGACTGTATTTAGTGATAAAATAATAGTGCCAAAGACCTTAAACACACTCACACAGACTCGCACACCATACCTGCAAACATGTCGCTTTTAGGGGAAATTTGTCCTTTTGAAATGGAAATAGGTCTTCCACGTGTATCCGTCACAATAAAACATCTTTTATGTGACGTAACGAGTCACGTCAAAGCGTCTTCGTCCCTCCAACTTTTCATCCTTTTACTCCAAATCAGTGCTGCCAACGTGGCGACTTTCTAACCCCCCTCGGTGTCAAATCCCAGGGACATTCCCTGATGTCATTGGAGACGTGGTGGTTCTGCACTTCCTGTCCTCAGCAAGTGTCCCAGGAGCCTCGCGGCAGACAGAGAGGGGTCCACACTGCCGATCCTACTGCGCCATTACAACTATGCAAATTAGTCTGACGTCATTTAGCAGCATTTTTGCAGGTATGACACACACAGACTCACACAGGGTGGGACGGTGGTGGAGAGGTTACCTATGTACCCTCACAGGAGAAGGTCTGGGCTTCAAACCCACCCAGCCCCTTTCTGGATGGAACCTGCATGTTCTCCAGTCGGCATGGGTTCTCTCTGCGTTCTCCGGCTTCCTGCCTCAGTCCACAAACATGCAGGATGTGTTCATTGGTGCCTCTAAATGTCCTGTAGGTGTGAGAGTGAGTGAGTGATTGGAGAACAGTCCAGTGGACCGCGGACCCCTCGAGGACACTCACACACAGACCCTAAACACAAACACAGGCACACACACACACACACCTACACACAGTAGTACAGTATTGTGGTCTTTTCTCCGATAGTTTTTTTTCTTGCTCTATCGCCCCCAAGCTGTCAAACAGCTCACTTCACCACCTCTTTCGTCTTTCCCCACCTTCTAGGGAGGAGCATGGGGGTTATAGCCCCTCCCACAAATCATAATTAAAAATATAATCAAAGGAATTTGAACACTTTTCTTCATAAAGAAGAGTCCAGTGCTTCTTGTGGGAGTTTCTTGCACTATTGTCCCATTCAGAATCTATGCAAACACCATTAGTGTTAAATCAGTTAAATGACGTTAGAGGCTAGCTCCACGCTAACTCAGCCCCTTGGTTTGAATGCGTAATGCTAACACTGCTAGTGGTGCCACAGTCACTTTAACCATGACGCTTGTTGCCATAGTAACCAGGCTCCCCTCCTATTGGCCTGTTTTGATCACATGACTGTTTGTTTGGCTTTTGTTCTGTTCCCTACAGCTGACCAATAAGCTGCTGGCTTTCTCTGTAATAAAAAGAACTTGTCTAACCGTGTGTGTGTGCGTGCGCACGCAGCAGGTCTGCTAATGTAATTACGCTAACGGTGCATCAAGAGTCAGTCAGATGGTTCTGGTCAGACCGACGGGTAAGTTGTCTCACAGCCTTCGAAGTGATCAACCACAGCTGAAGAGTGGAGCTCCATGTTCCACATTCATGTCTGTTGGTGGGTGTGTCTCAATTCATTAGGCTGCAACCTTCAGCCTTCACACCAGTGAAGAGTGGGTTAGGGTTAGCTATATTCCACGGATATAAATGTTATAATATATAACATCACGTCTTAGGTTATGAAATGGCTTAAGTCACATGACATCAAAGATGTTGTGTTTTAAAAACCCATAAGTCGAGAGAACAAACTGCTCTTAGTTCTAACTGTCCCCCTCACCTGAACCCCCCTGGGTCCTAAGGCCTTCCAGGTCTGTTCCTTATGAACATCATTGTACACAACGAGCCGCTGCGCTGTTAGAGGCAGCTTGTCTGTCGTTATTAGTGCTTTTAACCTTTAGAGGTTCACTAACATCTTACTGAGGCTGTGACGGTTTTATTGACCGTTCATACTTTATATTGCAGCGACTCTCGCTAATGAAGCTCTGGACACACGTTATGATTTTATTATGAACAAGGAAACAGGCCCCTGTGGGCTGTAGCCTGCGCCGAAACAACTGTTCCTCAATCCGTGAACAACTCTGCTTCCGTCGCCTCAAACATCCCCACATGATGATTAACAAACACAATGTGAGCTGATCTTCTACCCTCAGTAAATGTGAAACCTCACTTACAGAACATGGCAGTCCGTTACACTATGAACAGAAATGGATCAAAGTGAGCTCAAGTAGACAAGTAATGACCCGTAAATATCACTTACTAAGTCAGTACCATTACAAACGTCGAGAAGAAATACACGAGGAAACTGAACTTGCTTTGCTCCTTTTGTTTTTGTTGTGTGATTATAAACTAACTATTTGAGTTTTATGGAGCAGGAGGAAGCAGCATCAAGCTGGAGAACATTTAGCTACTGTAGCTTGGACACATTCTGTAATATCTTGAGTTACAGTTAAAATACCTACATCCTATGCCAGAAAAAAATAAGATTGCATTAATTACGTGAGTTGAAAATGACCAGAAAATGTTCTTCTCTCAGCCTGAAATACATCATGCTCCAAAAGCGTGTCTCTTACTAAATTAAATTAAATAAGACGATTAACATCTCTTTTTTATATGTTCTTTGCATTTTAAGGCTTTTACTGTCAAGCCCAGCAGGTTGCTAGGCAACGGGAGCAGTGGAGGTAATGCTGATGACGCAAGTCCCCCCTAGGACAGACTGTCCCAGGTTCAGGTTATGCGGTTGTTGGGAGGACCCAACCCAGGTCTACAAAGACTGGCTCCTACAAGGATGCAGCTGGGGCTGCGTGGTGTACCGGTATAAGATTTCCCTACGGTGTGAACAGACTGTAACAACTGACGTCGCTTTTCAGCAGCCGGCAGAATTTATTCTCACGCGTCATCGAGGGGCGCCCAGCGGGCGGAGCTACTTGTCTTCGGCTGTCAACAGGCTAAATAGGCTGGTTGATGCGTGTGAGCGTGTCCGCACCTTCGGGAGAGACGCTGCATTAGGGTTAGGGTTAGAGTAATGCCCGAGCCATCTAAGGTACCCTCAGACATGATTTGCTCACCAACAGGGCATGCACGTCACCTGTAGGTTCAGCAGCTGTGATAGAGAAATACCCCTTTTGGGCAATAGCCATCTCGGCCCCACCTGTGTCTGCACATCACATGTCATTTATCTGACGCTTTTATCCAAAGTGACTTACAAGTACATTTCAAACAAGGACACAAACTCAGAAGAACAAGAAAGTGCAATTTCATCGAATAAGCCGATGTACAACTTGCTGTAGATAAGAACCATTATAAGTCCAATGTAAGTGCTGCAGGTAGTTAGTGTGTTAGTGGAGGTAGAGTCTGAAGAGGTGTGTCTTTAGTCTGAAGATGTGAAGGCTCTCTGTGGTCCTGATGTCTTCAGAGACCTCCTTCCACCATTTAGGAGCAGGACAGCAAAGAGTGGAGATCTAGTGGAGTGTTTTGCTCTCAGTGAGGAGGAACAAGCACTTTATCAGATGCAGTTAGGGTCTAGGGTCTCCAGTGCCAAGGGTACATCTCCTGCAGGGGCTTTTCGGTCATGCGGAGCCCCCCTTTTTTTGGCAGAGGGACCAGTCTGTTGCTGCCTACTGTGTCAATGTCGACCTCGGTAGCCGAAATGGTGCCGCCTATAGTCAAATGGTAGAGGGAGACTGGCCCAAATGGAGGAGGGACTGTGGAAACCCAAGTACAGCAGGCACAGGGCCTTTCACCGGGGTCAGAACGGCACACCAGTCAGAAAACAGCTTCCATCTGTTTTTGTCTCTCGGGCGGGACGGGATTCAGAGCAGTAAAACAACAGTAAACGTGCTAGTGTTGATCTATAGTCAACTAAGCACCACATCAGTTAGTCTGGGCGAGAGCACCCTGCACACTGTTAAACTTACAAACAAATGTTACCACTCAAATAATTAGTCAGGCTGTAACACATCCGCAGAGTTAGTACCATGCTAACTGTGATAGCCATAATGTTTATAAAAACAATGTACACAATCAGTCTCGATCTAACGTTAAGTTAGTATCTCACAAGTTAGCCGATGGCACTAACTGGGACGGGCAGTGCGACAGCGTAGTTTCCTCTACGCTCTCGTAGACGCGCCCTTCGGCAGCTCAGCGCAGCAGCGCTCTGCCAACCATAAAAACCAACAGCGGTTGGAAACATCATATCTTGTCTGACCTGCAATCTGGGTTTAGGAAAGGCCACGGATGTACCAGCGCTACACTGAAGGTCCTTGATGACATCATCACCGACATAGACTTGCATATCACTAATTCAGCTTCTTTCTGGGAGTTTTTTGTGCTTTCTCACCTAGCAGGTTTCCGTAGATCGTAGTTCCTTCTGGACGCTGATCCTGACACCTGCTGCCATCATCATCATTATTAAATAAAAATATTTATATATATATATTAATATATATATATATTAATACGATTAATATAAATATTAATCATATTACTAATACTGTCATTATAAACCAACATTACCCTTTTCTAAAGTCTTTGTAATTTCCCTCCCCACAGGCTTCTGTGGATGCTGGTTCTATGTGATGCTTGTTCTATGTGATGCTGGTTCTATCTGATGCTGGTTCTATGTGATGCTGGTTCCATGTGATGCTGGTTCCATGTGATGCTGCTTCTATGTGATGCTGCTCCTATGTGATGCTTGTTCTATGTGATGCTGGTTCCATGTGATGCTGCTCCTATGTGATGCTGGTTCCATCTGATGCTGCTTCTATGTGATGCTGGTTCTATGTGATGCTGGTTCCATGTGATGCTGGTTCTATGTGATGCTTGTTCTATGTGATGCTGATTCTATCTGATGCTGGTTCTATGTGATGCTGGTTCCATGTGATGCTGGTTCTATGTGATGCTGGTCCTATCTGATGCTGGTTCTATGTGATGCTGGTTCCATGTGATGCTGCTTCTATGTGATGCTGCTTCTATGTGATGCTGCTTCTATGTGATGCTGGTTCTATGTGATGCTGCTCCTATGTGATGCTGCTCCTATGTGATGCTGGTTCCATCTGATGCTGGTTCCATGTGATGGTGGTCCTATGTGATGGTGGTTCTATGTGATGGTGGTTCTATGTGATGGTGGTTCTATGTGATGCTGGTTCCATGTGATGCTGGTTCTATGTGATGCTGGTTCCATGTGATGCTGGTTCTATGTGATGCTGGTTCCATGTGATGCTGCTCCTATGTGATGCTGGCTCCATGTCATGCTGGTTCCATGTGATGCTGGTTCTATGTGATGCTGGCTCCATGTCATGGTGGTTCCATGTGATGCTGGTTCTATGTGATGCTGGTTCCATGTGATGGTGGTTCTATGTGATGCTGGTTCTATGTGATGCTGGTTCCATTTGATGCTGCTCCTATGTGATGCTGGTTCTATGTGATGCTGGTTCTATGTGATGCTGGTTCCATGTGATGCTGCTCCTATGTGATGCTGGTTCCATCTGATGCTGGTTCCATGTGATGGTGGTCCTATGTGATGGTGGTTCTATGTGATGGTGGTTCTATGTGATGGTGGTTCCATGTGATGCTGGTTCCATGTGATGCTGGTTCTATGTGATGCTGGTTCCATGTGATGCTGGTTCTATGTGATGCTGGTTCCATGTGATGCTGCTCCTATGTGATGCTGGCTCCATGTCATGCTGGTTCCATGTGATGCTGGTTCTATGTGATGCTGGCTCCATGTCATGGTGGTTCAATGTGATGCTGGTTCTATGTGATGCTGGTTCTATGTGATGTTGGTTCTATCTGATGGTGGCTGTCCCTGCAGTGTCTTACTACTCACATTATTTTAATCATTTTTGTCATGTGAATTGAATGTATTGTTCATCTTTTACATTGTTCATTCTGTACATATGACATCATTGTAGTCTGTCCATCAGGAGACGGATCCCTCCTCTGACGTTCTCCCTGAGGTTTCTTCCCTTTTTCCCCATGGACGGGTTTTCATTTTTTGGGGAGTGTTTCCTGTGCCGATGGAGGGTTTCGGGACAGAGGATGTTGTATGTGTACAGACTGTAAAGCCCTCTGAGGCAAATTTTGGGCTATACAAAATAAAATGTATTGAATTCAAACACTTATCAAATTCACCCTTGTGAAAATCACCATCCTTCCTCTATTTGACTACGGTGATATCATTTATTAAATGGCATCAAAGACCACCCTCAGAAAACACCCTTGACCACCCACCAGTCAGTGTGTTTACATGATGGTATAATTGGAATCTTTGCTTAGTCGGACTATGCTATCTTTCGGGGCAAGTGCTATTATCCTAATATACATGGCAGTGAATAAATAGAATCATTGGCCGAAAGCATGTCATATCCAATACGATAGGTGGCGCTGTTTTCATTACAACTAGTTGTGATACAGCCATTTCTTGACCTCTTTACCACTAACAACAACGACCAACATCAACATTACGAGAAAGATGGCGAACTGAGAGCGAGGTGAAGCTACATCCCTCTACTATCTGTGCGTGATGCTAACAGGAGCACAGCGAATGCGAATGGCGCCATTGGCTGATTTGATAACAGAGAGAAGACGCCGTTGGGATCTCAAGCATGCGCAAAGACGCAAAGTCCAGTTCCTCATCCGATTCACCGTTACATGCCACAATAGTCGAACTATCAACTGGATCGGATGGAGTTATCAAGGGGTGTTAGTCGGATCGTAGTCGGACCGCACATAGTCGAACAAAGGTGTTTACATGAAACGGATAATTTGATTTCAGTCCGACTAAGCCAGTTATTGGAATCCATGTAACCACGCTGACTGTGATCTTACAGATCGGTGGATTGGCCGCCCCTTCATACCAGGCGGCTACAACACTGGCTGCTCGTGGTCTACAAATCCATTTTGGGAATCACCCCCGCTACCTCTCAAATTGTCTGCACATTTCCGACAGCAATCGCTATTTAAGATCCAGTGACTTCATTCGGCTCATCATTCCAAAAGTCCGTACTGTGTTTGGTCATAACTTTCATTTTGCCGCCACAAATGATTTGAACTCATCACAAAACACGCTCAACCTAACAGCCCTCACCTCGCTCAACATATTCAAACATAAGTGGCAACAAGCCATAGTTTACTGTAATGGCTGACCAGCTCTCACTTCTCTCTCTTCCATTTTTACAAAGAACTTCCAGTAATCTGCCTTTTTTGTACATAGTGTTTATTAATTCAACCATCTTGTTTTTAGCCATTTGTTTGTCATACTGTATTGTGTCTGTGGTGTTTGTGTCAGTCAGGCCGGAGCCGGGGAGGAGGACAAGGACGCAGAGAGGTTTGACTGCAGGAGATTTATTCCAATAATTTCATATATCTAATAATACCAAAATACAACGATCCTTTCACAAACACAATACTAACGTGTGTGTGGACATGCACAACTACAAGACACACTGGCACAGGACAAAGGGAGACGCAGACAATAAGTATCCATGAGGGAGGTGAGGGAACAGGAGGAGACAATTAGGAATCAGGGGAGACAATCGACAGGAGACACCTGAGGAATGGCAAGGCACCTGAAACGAGAGGGGGTTTAGACGCCACAATAAAACAGGAAGTATCAAAATCAGACGTAAGACGGGACACAAACACAAACTTCACCAACATGTATGACAGTTTGTGTGGACTGTGCTGCTGCTGCTTGGCCAGGTCAACCACCATCAGATAGAACCACCAGCACATAGAACCACCAACATATATAACCACCGTCACATATTTATAACATATATAACCACCATCAGATAGAACCACCAACATATATAACCACCATCCGATAGAACCACCAACATATATATCCACCATCAGATAGAACCACCCTCATACGTATATAACCGCCATCAGATAGAACCACCAACATATATAACCACCATCAGATAGAACCACCAACATATATAACCACCATCAGATAGAACCACCAACATATATAACCACCATCAGATAGAACCACCAACATATATAACCACCATCAGATAGAAACACCAACATACGTATATAACCGCCATCAGATAGAACCACCAACATATATATCCACCATCAGATAGAACCACCAACATATATATCCACCATCAGATAGAACCACCAACATATATAACCATCATCAGATAGAACCACCAACACATATATCCACCATCAGATAGAACCACCAACATATATAACCACCATCAGATAGAACCACCAACATATATAACCACCATCAGATAGAACCACCAACATACGTATATAACCGCCATCAGATAGAACCACCAACATATATAACCGCCATCAGATAGAACCACCAACATATATAACCACCATCAGATAGAACCACCAACATATATAACCACCATCAGATAGAACCACCAACATATATAACCACCATCAGATAGAACCACCAACATATATATCCACCATCACATAGAACCCCCAACATATATAATCACCATCAGATAGACCCACTTCAGTGTGCATGTTACACGCAGTATATGTTGGAGAAGAGGAGGATAGGAAGAGAGGAGAAGAGACGAGGAGGAGAAGACGGGAGGAGTAGAGGAAGTAGGGCAGTCTCGCTGCAGGGGAGGGGCCAGTGATGACAGAGAGAGCTGCTGAAGCTGCGTAGCATCGGTAGCAGCAAGCTAACAGAGAGACAGACAGGCAGACAGAGACAGAGACAATCGACTGAACATCAGTAGGTTCTCCATCTTTCTTCTCTCCTCCTTTTCCTGCTGCTGTGTCTACTGCTGAAGAAGAACATGTATCCGTAACCCCCCGTCTCCTGTCCCCCCCTCCTCCTCCTCAGCATTCACAGGATGCTTGGTGAGTATCTGATCCTCTGCACAGCCTTTGTCCACTGAATAGTGTGTGTGTATGTGTGTGTGTGTGTGTGTGTGCGTGTCTGTGTGCACGTGCGTGTGCATGTTGGGCGGTTGGGGGTTGATGTCTTCAACCTGATTTGCATGACTATACATGCGTTTCTATGTGTGTGTGTGTGGGGGGGGGGGGGGGGGTGCACACAGTCAGCCGTTAACATTGAGCTAGGCTAAACACGCAATGGTAATCCACACCTTTAGGTTAACAAGGTTAGGAAGCAGCAGTACACACACAGACACACAGACACCCATAGGGAGAACAACTGATCATCCTGCTGATGTGTGTGTGTGTGTGTGTGTGTGTGTGTGTTGTCCACCACCCTTCCTCCACCTATATGAAGCATCAGTCGGATATAAATTGTTCAGCATTATCACACCTTCATATTTTGGGTGCGGACGATGAAAAGTGAATGAAGGAATGAACAGATTCCAGGCCTGAACCATCTGTCACTTTGACTCTTTGCTCTTCTCTTAATAAAGAGTATACTGATGCCCTTGTTAAATTACCTCCTTCAGGCGTGTGATGCAGCAGCTTCGCTGTGGTAGCCAGGAGTCGTTGCTAAGCGCAGCTGTGTGTCATCTCTGGAGCTCAGGATGGACCAATCGGTGATCATCAAACCTGTTCACTCCTCCCTCCTGGGACAGGACTACTGCTTTGAGGTGTGGGCTCTCTAAGCTCACAATGGCAACCTGTATGTCCGCGTTGATCACCCGACCTCTGACCCTAACCTCTGCCCCCGTATCTCCTAGGTGACAACCTCGACAGGAACAAAGTGCTTCTCGTGCCGGTCGGCGGCAGAGAGGGATAAATGGATGGAGAACCTGAGGAGAGCCGTGCATCCCAACAAGGACAACAGCAGGAGGGTGGAGAACATCCTGACGGTGTGGGTCATTGAAGCCAAAGACCTGCCTGCAAAAAAAAGGTAGGGGGCATTACAGCCAGGAGTGTGCTACACCCATAGTCTACTACACCCACAGCTATATTTGTGTACTTCAGGTACTTCTGTGAGCTGTGTCTGGATGACTGTCTTTACGCCCGGACGTCCTGTAAGCTGAAGACAGACAACATATTTTGGGGAGAGCGCTTTGACTTCGGCAGCCTGCCCTCCGTCACCTCCATCACTCTTCATCTTTAACAAAGACACCGACAGGAAGAGGAAGAAGGATAAGAGCAGCTACGTGGGGTTGGGTCAATATCCCTGTTGCCATGGTGACCGGTAGACAGCTGGTGGAGAAGTGGTATTCGTTAAGCACGCCCAGCACCATCCGGGGTAGGTAGAACGTTACTAGTAATGACTCTTAAAGTCGCAAGGATGACGCTCACGCTGCTTCCTATTGCAGCAAAGTCATCTGTGCCGACGGTGCGAGTCAAAGCTCGCTACCAGAGCATCGTCATCCTGCCGATGGAACAGTACAAAGAGTTTGCAGAATACATTAGCTCCAACTACCTGCTGCTCTGCAACACTCTGGAGGCCTCCATCAGCCTGAGATCCAAGGAAGAGCTTGCTTCTGCACTGGTCCACATCTTGCACAGCACGGGGAAGGCCAAGGTAACCACGCCCACTGGCCATGACAACACCTCTGTACATGACACACCTACTTGGTATGACCCCACCCACTGCACGTCTCCACTCCCACTACCACCGAGTCATTTCTGTATATTCTGTTGTTCTGTGTCTGGGGGACACTTTTTGCGGGATTCGAATTGCTAAAGAAAGGACCTCCCAACATCTGTTCCTAACCACCATTCCTTGACCTCTGTGGAGAAGGTCACGGGGGCGAGGAAGGATGGTGAGGAGAGTTGATGAGGAGTTAGGAAAGGACGAGGCAGTGTGTAAGGGACTGACTCCACGTCCAAGCTGCTAGTTGTGATGGACGGAGACGCGTGACGTCAGTCTGCAGCGGCTACAAAGAAGCGTCTGAGATGCTTCACGTGTTGTTACAGTGTGAGTCGACACAAAGGAAAACGTCATCACACAATGATCCGTGTTTCTACGTCATCCTCATTTCTCCTGAAGGACGCGTCACCATCTAAATATTGTGGGACGTAATTATCTCCTTTCCTTGGTAAAGGACGCTCCGGTGGTTCCTATGCTAAAGGAGCTAAGCAAGGAAGCATTGAGGCTCCTTTCCTTAGCATTAGAGACTAGAACAGCTCCTATCATGGCGCCACTTCCACTACTTCACTTCATTTCACTCAGTGAGGAACCTTCCGAAGAACATCTGACATTCTGAATCAAGACGTTATCTCTCTGTTTAAAGTGTAAAAGTCTATTGGACCAAAGCAAAGATCCTCTAGCCAATGTAATGTTAGAGATTCCATCACATGACTCAAAGGAACTTTCTTTAGGACTTCTTGACGGACCTGATGATGTCGGAGGTGGACCGTTGCCGTGACAACGACCAGCTGATTTTCAGAGAGAACACGCTGGCAACAAAGAGCATTGAAGAATATCTGAAGCTGATTGGACAGAAGTACCTGCAGGACGCCCTTGGTAAACAAACATTACACAAAATACAAAAAGGGTGTTAACCAACACGCACATACGGGTACTCAATCTCTTAATGGAAAGACAGGTGAGTGAGACCGACTTGAGGAGTTCTTATTGCTATGTAAAGGTGTATGGTTGTAATAGACGTTTATTGTTGTGATATGAAAGAACGAACGTGATCTAAATTGGACGCCCGCTTGTGGACATCTGGGAGGATTCAGCCAAACGACTTCTCTCGTTCTGGTGGATTTATGTGTCCGATCACAGGCGTTTGTCGGCTGGAAGAACAACCGACTAACATCAGGAAGAACGTTATGATTTATATTCCTTGTTACTTAAAGGAACGATTTCTATTGGCCCTAAACTGGCGTGGAGGAGGAGCAGGTCCTCTCGCCACAACACAAGATCCAATCACATGCAATGTGTGGTCTTCTAACATAATGAACAAAGCGTGAGTGTTGTGTGGTGCTTGGTGTGTCTCTAAGTCTCATCCTTATCAGACCTGCGGCGGCCTGGTTGGCTCTTTCTGCTTTGCCCTCTGACCTTGGACTCCTCAAGACAGTGACTCTCTAAATGAGCACTACGGAAGAGCTTTTGATTATCAGATATACAGGATTTTTTGTGTTTGTGTGTTCAGGTGAGTTCATTAAAGCTCTATACGAGTCAGATGAGAACTGTGAGGTTGACTCATCTCGCTGTGCGACCTCTGACCTCGCTGAGCATCAGGCCAACCTGAGGATGTGCTGTGAACTCGCCTTCTGCAAGATCCTTGACTCATACAGGTACACTGTATATACACTCTACTCATACTGTACACACAATGCACACACACTGTATATACACTCTACTCACACTGTACACACAATGCACACACACTGTATATACACTCTACTCATACTGTACACACAATGCACACACACTGTATATACACTCTACTCACACTGTACACACAATGCACACACACTGTATATACACTCTACTCATACTGTACACACAATGCACACACACTGTATATACACTCTACTCATACTGTACACACAATGCACACACACTGTATATACACTCTACTCATACTGTACACACAATGCACACACACTGTATATACACTCTACTCACACTGTACACACAATGCACACACACTGTATATACACTCTACTCATACTGTACACACAATGCACACACACTGTATATACGCTCTACTTATACTGTACACACAATGCACACACACTGTACTCACATCTTACACACACTTGTATAAAACAAAGTTATTAGAGCCCCTCTGCCTCTAACGCAGGTTCTTCCCCCGGGAGCTGAAGGAGGTTTTTGCGTCATGGCGACAGGAATGCTGTAACCGGGGGCGACCAGACATCAGCGAGCGTCTCATCAGCGCCTCGTTGTTCCTGCGCTTCCTTTGTCCGGCTGTGATGTCACCGTCACTGTTCGACCTCATGCAGGAATACCCCGACGAGCGTTCTGCCAGAACCCTGACCCTCATCGCCAAAGTCATCCAGAACCTGGCCAACTTCAGCAAGTGAGTCTCATATACTTTGTTTACCTGTAATTGTCACCTGCATGCGTACCTGTGCTTGTTACTTGTATCTATAGCTATTTCTTATAGCTATACGTGTACAGGGACACTGAAGGCGTTTCCTCTCACTGGTTGCAGGTTTGGGACTAAAGAAGAGTACATGCTGTTCATGAATGATTTTGTGGAGCGCCAGTGGAGCAGCATGCAACGTTTCCTGCAGGAGATCTCTAATCCTGATGGACTGAACCACACCGCCGGCTTCGATGGATACATCGACCTCGGCCGAGAGCTGTCCAGCCTACACACCCTGCTGGCTGAGCTGGATCAGGTAACACACCCGATCCAGGTGACCCTCGGTCCTTACCTGATTGGACGCCTCTCAAAATGATAGACAACAAAGATGATTGGTCTCATTTCTATTCAGTATGAATCAAATACATGTCCGTCAGCAACCTTCAATGGCAGTAAGGCAATTCAAAATTGCAGTAATGGGAAAATGTCTGGTCGATAAGAATAACTTTATAACCAGAACATAGTCCACACATATATAGCTGGCGGACAGAAAATGTATTTGTGACAATCTGACACCCGTCTGTCTGTCTGTCTGTCTGCAGGCGTGCCTGTCGAAGCTCGGCCCTCTACCTCGGATAATCAGAGAGGTTTCAGTGGCGCTGGCTAACCCTGGGGGCGTGTCCATGTCGTCTCCAGAGCCTCAGCGTGTGGTTTCCCCGCCCCCACTGTCCCCGCCTCTCTCCCCTCCTCTTGCAGCGTGTAATCCCTCTATTGGCCTACAGGGCGGCGTTGGACTGGATGGAGGGTTAGTATCAAGCTTTCAGCTTGGTTCATGTCATATACAGACGCAAGCAACATTGTTTTAAAGGTTTTAAAGGTTAGTTCAGATTCACCAGTCACACAATAATAATGTAATAACAGCCTTTGATAGGACTGTAATAAGACACTCTAGAAATAACATACTGTTATTACACACTGTAATAACAACACTGTAGTATTAACACACTGTAATAACAACACTGTAGTATTAACACACTGTTATTACACACTGTAATAACAACACCGTAGTATTAACACACTGTAATTACACACTGTAATAACAACACTGTAGTATTAACACACTGTTATTACACACTGTAATAACAACACCGTAGTATTAACACACTGTAATAACAACACTGTAGTATTAACACACTGTAATAACAACACTGTAGTATTAACACACTGTTATTACACACTGTAATAACAACACCGTAGTATTAACACACTGTAATTACACACTGTAGTATTAACACACTGTAATAACAACACTGTAGTATTAACACACTGTTATTACACACTGTAATAACAACACTGTAGTATTAACACACTGTAATAACAGCACTATAGTATTAACACAAAATAAAACAACTGTCAAGTCAGACAGGGTTTCATTACAACTAAAACAGATGAAAGGTAATTCCAAATAAAAGTAGTAAAACAGTCTGGAAGGAAACAGGGCGGGGCTAATGTAACCAGCGGGGACAGGTGAGAATCTCGTTAGACAGCACCGCACTGACGGATGGATCAGATCTACAAAGCAGAGGCAGCCGGTAAGAGCGATGAACCCTCCCACAGCGGCGAGTCTTTGTATTGAAGCGTACGGCCAGTCCGGTTAGTGCGGCATTGTACGTCACGGGGATTGTAGCCCCCCGGTAATTAACTGTTGTCCAAACATTGGTTGATTGTCCGGGGACTACTTCTGTTTACTAACAGCATGTTGGTGGAAGCACAGTAAATTATGTTAACTGGCTTCAACTGACACTTAAATAGAATGAGGAAAAGGAAGAGTTGTTGGTCATTGAGGGAAATCCAGTTAGAATATTCAGGTAAATGCGTTAATTCTTATCAAGTGGGGAATCTCCACACGTTTATAAAAGGGGAACTTGACAACAACACTCGGCCGTAATAACACACTTGAAATAACGAATAATAACAAGCTGTAGTAACAACACACTCTTGTAATAACATACTATACAAACAAACTGTGAAAAGGGAAACTTTAATAACACACCGTAGTAATAACTAGTTTTAGTAATTACAGTGATGCATTTTTTTATCAAGTAACCTGTCTCATGAGTGTCTTCATGTCTTTGTTTTTGTGTGTGTCTGTGCATGTATACGTGTGCGTGTGTAGTTTGGTAGACTTCACCAGACTTCCCTCTCCGACTCCAGAGAACAAAGACTTGTTCTTTGTCACCAAAGGATCCTGTCTACAGCCCACGTCAGGTGACCTCTGACCTCTATCCATGAGACCCAATCTCGGTCTGTGATCTTTGACCTCTGAATCTGACCTCTGGTGTTGTGCTGATGTCCCTTCCTGCAGGTCAGCAGGGCTCTCCGGCAGTGAGCTCGTCGTACTCTGAGCCCAATGAGAACGAGGCGGGTTTTGAGATGGCCAATGGGAGCAGGAGGGAGGGGCCTGATCTGACCAATGAGAGCCGCAGTCTGTCTCTGGTCGACTTGCAGGACTCTTCCCCGAGCGACGGCCTCGACGACGGCCAATGGCAGCTCAGGACGGGGCTCCTCCCCCTCTCCTTCCAGAACCCCGTGTATCACATGACTGCCACGTCGCCGAGGCAACCAATGGATGCCACGCCCTCGGACGGCTCGGCGGGTTCGCAGGGAAATCCCGAAGACAGAAACACCATTGCAACCAAACCAGCGTTTCTTACACAGATGTCTGTGGCGCTGGGCGGGGGGGGAGAGGGTGTCGGCCATGTCCAGCAGCAGCAGTGGAGAAGAATACTCCCGACGAGCTTTGTCGGACACACTCACAGGTACGACAGGTGATTGGTCGCTTGTTCTTCAGCTTTTCTCTCCTGATGATGTCATCATGTTGTTGGCCCTCAGGTTGCCCCGCCCCATCTCGTCAGACCACCTCGGGTCCTCAGAGACGCATAGACCAGCCTCCTCCACCCTCCTGTGCTCCTCCAGGACCTCCTCGAGGTCGCACTCCGCCCAGCTTGCTGAGCGGCGGCGCAGGCATCATCCACCCTACTCGCCCTACCTCCGGGAGCATGATGTCATCGAGTCCCGATTGGCCGAGCAGTGGCCAGTCGCGACTTAGACAGACATCGTCGTCATCTAAGGGAGACAGCCCTGAGAAACAACGACCCACTGCCAAGGTGTTGCGCGCTGCCCTAACCATGGTAACCTACTCTGACCTTTAACCCCTCGCTACTGCTGTAACAGTGTGTAAATGTCTCTGTGCTCAGGCCCCTTCTCCATGTGCTTTGGACCGGACTGCCGCCTGGCTGCTCAACATGAACTCCGCCTCCTCCTACGGTGAGGCAGAGGATGATCGCCATGACGACGCCCTGGTAGAGAAGGTAAGAGACCACTGGTTCTACTGGTTCTACTGGTTCTACTGGCTCTGACTCTTGTGTGTGTGTGTGTGTGTGCAGTACCAGCAGGAGATTGCCTTGCTGCAGGAGAAGTTGCGAGTTGCTGCGATGAGGCAGGACGAGTGTGAGGCCCGACTGCTGGTCCAGGATCAGCAGAACCAGCGCATGCTACAGGAGTACCAGGTGTGTAACCTGAGACCTGATCCACCAGGAGTCACTCCTGCATTATCACTGGGAATGACTCGACCTCCCAGCTCTTTCAACATTCAAATACTGTAACTTCGTACTTGAGACTCGTGACTCTGTGTGTGTGTGTGTTTCAGGTGCGGTTGGAGGACACAGAGGGACGACTGAGGCGGTTGCAGGATGATAAAGATCTTCAGATGAACAGCATAATCAGCAGGTCTGTTTCCCCTGTCGGTCTCACTCACCTGTCCGTTTCACCTGTCTCTCTCCACTCACCTGTCCGTCTCACTCACCTACTCACCTGTCTGTCTCCCTTATCTATCCCTTTCTACTCACCTGTCTCTACTCACTGGTCTGACCTATGACCTTTGTAGGTTGATGGCAGTGGAGGAGGAGCTGAAGAAGGATCACTCTGACATGCAGGCTGTGGTGGACTCCAAACAGAAGATCATTGAGGCGCAGGTACCTTTCTATCTTTCTGTCTCGCAGGAGAAGAGGATATCCAGTCAGTGTTTTATTGTAATGAGCTGACCCCTTCTTGTCTGTCTCTCTGCCTGTCTGTCTCTCAGGAGAAGAGGATATCCAGTCTGGATGCAGCTAACAGTCGTCTGATGGCTGCTGTGACTCAACTGAAGGAGCGGTACGCAGTGACATCACAGAGGAACGGCCTGTCTCCAAGCAACGCCTCGTCTCTGCAGATCACAGAGAATGGTGAATTCCGGAACTCCGGCAACTCCTGAACAACCGGCTGCTCCTCTCTGATTGGTTCTCTAATCAACCAATCTCAAACCTGTCAATCAACTCTCACCTCGCAGAGTTGGACCTGACCTCCAAACTATTTCAACCCCTGATGCTAGGTTTACCTTAACAATGCATGTTTCCTTTTTGAAGTTAGTCTGGCATCATCTCTGTTATTTCGTGTTACTGTATCCTGAAACCTCCGACAAAGTGCACGCCGACACTCCACCTGTACATGTCTCTGGACTACCTGGAACAACTACCAGTGTACGAGTCTGGACTAACTGGTACAACTCCACCTGTACGTGTCTCTGGACTAACTGGTACACCTCCACCTGTACATGTCTCTGGACTAACTGGTACACCTCCACCTGTACATGTCTCTGGACTACCTGGAACAACTCCACATGTACAATCTGGACTAACTGGAACAACTCCACCTGTACGTGTCTCTGGACTAACTGGAACAACTCCACCTGTACATGTCTCTGGACTACCTGGAACAACTCCACATGTACAATCTGGACTAACTGGAACAACTCCACATGTACATGTCTCTGGACTACCTGGAACAGCTCCACATGTACATGTCTCTGGACAAACTGGAACAACTCCACATGTACAATCTGGACTAACTGGAGCAACTCCACCTGTACATGTCTCTGGACTAACTGGAGCAACTCCACCTGTACATGTCTCTGGACTACCTGGAACAACTCCACCTGTATGTTTTTCTGGACTACCTGGAACAACTCCACCTGTACATCTCTCTGGACTACCTGGAACAGCTCCACCTGTACGTGTCTCTGGACTAACTGGAACACCTCCACCTGTACATGTCTCTGGACTACCTGGAACAACTCCACATGCACAATCTGGACTAACTGGAACAACTCCACCTGTACATGTCTCTGGACTACCTGGAACAGCTCCACATGTACATGTCTCTGGACTAACTGGAACAACTCCACATGTACAATCTGGACTAACTGGAACAACTCCACCTGTACATGTCTCTGGACTACCTGGAACAGCTCCACATGTACATGTCTCTGGACAAACTGGAACAACTCCACATGTACAATCTGGACTAACTGGAGCAACTCCACCTGTACATGTCTCTGGACTAACTGGAGCAACTCCACCTGTACATGTCTCTGGACTACCTGGAACAACTCCACCTGTACATGTCTCTGGACTACCTGGAACAACTCCACCTGTACATGGCGCTAGAATAACTGGTTTAACTGGACTAACTCGAACAACCCCACCTTCATATGGCTTTGGTTTAACCATAATAACGCTTTATATAAAGCTTGGGTCCAAGTGTTGTTGTCACTCTGTCTGTATATGGCTCAGGTGTTTATTTTAAAGTTACATTTTAAAGAGATGGCACAAAAATTGTGAATATATTCATCATTTCTAGGCTCTCTGTATAGACTTTGTCTTAAAGAAACAGTAAGACACTTTGGAGGAGCTGTGGAACCCAGGAACTGTTAGCCTTACTCAATGTCTTGGTCGCTCTGGGCTTCCGTACTTCAGAGAATTTGACGTCAGTTTGTATTTCAGCTTATTTACTTATTTTAATGTTAACATAAGATTTGTTGTAAAACAGTAATCACTAGAAATTGTGATGAATAGTTTGTGATGACACAAACATCTGCTGTCCTGAGTTCAAGTGACCTCTACGGATCTTTAATGTGGCTTCTATCTCCGTTTTTGTTCATTATTTTCAAGAGATGCTCCAATAAACTATTAATATACCAAACTGTTGGCAACTATGGCAATGAACCACAACTCACACACATCCATCCAGACAGGTGCTATGCATCACAACAAACCACAGATATAAACAGAAAGTAATGTCACTCTGTTTCATGGTTCCAGCCGTGTCTGCCGATGTCACCATTCTGATTTCATCCAATTTGCTTGTGGACGCAGAAATCCCCTCTACTACACTAGCCACATAGCATGCCACCACACTATGTGTGTCTGTCTCTGTGCACATGCCTGCCAGTGGACTGCGTGACAGGGTGTCGGCAACTCTGCCACTGGGTTGAATCTCATGAGCCTCATGAGGAGACGCTGACATCGTATAGGTACATTGTCCAGGCTGTGGCTATTGATGAGGGGCACTAGCGGCTTGTGGTCGGTGATTAGCTTTGAACTGCTTCAGCCCATTGAGGTATCGGTCGAATTTCTCGCACGCCCACACAGCAGCCAAACCTTTCTCTATTTGGGCGTAGCGCGTTTCTGCTTGAGTGAGGCGTCTGGAGCAATATGCCACCGGTTTCCACTGCACCCCGTGGAGCTGAAGGAGTACACCCCCCAATCCATAACTACTTGCATCCGCTGACACCGCCGTGGGCTTGCTCAAGTCATAGAAAGTAAGTACTGGTGCAGTTGTCAACAGCCTTTTGATATGTTTAAAACCTGTTTGCCGTGTATGGCTCCATGTCCATGTATTCTTATCCCACAGGGAGCTCGTACAGCGGCTGTCCCACCGTTGAGAGTTCGGGGACGTATCTTCCGAGATAATTTACCATTCCCTGTATCCTTCTTAACTCTCTGCTGGTGGTGACAGCTGCCGAATAGCTTCCACTTCGTCGGGGTCAGGTAAGATCCCGGAGCAGTCAATAAGATGCCCGAGGAACCGCAGCTGACTCTGCCTGATGGAGCACTTCTCGAGATTAAGCTTCAGACCAGCTGTCTTTATGCGCTGCATTACCTTCTCCGGGCGACCGTCATGCTCCTTCTCTGTGGCCCCATAGACCAGGATGTCATCCATGAAGATCTCAACATCCTTCAGCCCCTGGAGGGTCTCCATCATCTTCCTCTGGAAGATTTCCGGTGCGCTCGTTATCCTCTGGAGTTCCTCCTCTCCCTTTTGCAGCATAGGGAGGGGTACGGGTCGTGTTGTATATACAGCGTACGGCTGAGCGTCGTACTCACCATAGGCTCACCATCGATTCTCCTCAACACATTCATTTCCACAGACGGCCTGTTGAGAAGGTCATTTACAGTATGTCCACGGATGACATATGCTGTGAGTGGGTGAGTCTTTCCTTTGTAGGTCACAGTGCTCCGGACCTGTCCTATGCACTGCAGTTCACCGCCTGGGCTGTCGAATGGCATATCTGCAGGCTCCAGTGGTCTTTTGGGGAAAAGTGAGGGGTAAGACTCTTCATGGATGATGCTAACATCCGCCCTTGTGTCAATTTGAAGTCAATTGGTGTAGAGCCCACCATTACATCACATCACATGTCATTTATCTGACGCTTTTATCCAAAGCGACTTACAATAAGTGCATTTCAACCATAAGGACACAAACTCAGAACAAGAAGAACAAGAAACAAGAAAGTGCAATTTCCTCAAATAAGTCAATTTACAATTTGCTACAGATAAGTGGCGTTACAAGTACAATTTAGGTGCTACGACAAAGTCAACTACCAGCAACTCCACCAGCAACTGGACAGCCCATTGCTCTGGTGACCTGAAGAAAGTATGATTGCTGCTGCTCTGTTTGCTCTGTCACCTCACTCACTGCCCTACTGCTCCTATACACTCTGTGTCCAACTTTGTTGCATGTATTGCATGTGGATTTTCTGGCTGGACAATTTTCGTCTTTACTGTGCCACGCTTTCCCACACTGTTCACATTGTCCTTTATTTCCCTCTTTTGGCTTACCGTAGTGGTGGTGGTCTTTGCTGCGCTCGTGGGCGACTTCCTGTGTCAATCCCGATGTCTCTCCTTGCGTGCTGACTTGCGAAGCGACCTCCTCCGACTGCCTGACCGTCTCTATGTCAGCGCTGGCGTCAGGTCCTTCGTCAGCTGTGACTTCCGTGAGACGTCTTTGTTGATACCGCCAGCGACGCGGTCGCGGATATTTTCGTCTCTGCTCGCGCCAAACTCACACTGCTCCGCCAGCTCGTACAAGGCCCTGATATACGTCTCCGCTTTCTCTCCCGGTCTTTGCACACCCAGATGGAAACATGCACATTCGTGTACTACATTCCTACTCGGTACAAAGTATTCATCGAACTTTCCAAGCGCGATAGCAAAGTCGTCTCTATGTCCGTGGCAAAAGATGTTCTCCGACTCGCTTCCCATAGCGTATATCAGGCTGCTGACCTGCACGGCGCCATCCTCTTTGTCCAGCTTGGTCCTAAACCTCACAAAACGCTGCTTCCACTCCGGCCATTCTCCGGAGCTTATTGAAGAAGACGTTTGTTGGTGGATTGAACTTCGCCATGACTCCGCTTTTACTTCTGACACCGTGTAAATTAATGGAGGCTTCGTTGTTAGCTGTACTGGTTTGTGATGCATCACCGAGTGTGTCACTTTACAGGCACAACATGACTCCCCTACATCCCATAGCATGTGTGTAGCAGGTGGCACCATGGGGTGGCACTCTGAATTCAAGGCTTTGTCCCTATAAAAGAGGAAGTGGCACTTTGTGAGGGAATGCGTGGGAGTGTTGCTGGACCCACAGCAGTGTGATCGGGTAAATATGCTTCTACGTTGCTTTTTCATATATACCGGTTGCATATTTTAAAGGACTTTGCATGGCAGGATCGGGATGAGAGCCGCTGATCCAAGCAGAGAATGAATGAATGACTGGATAGGGGAGTTCGACAGGTATATTGTACTTTTAAGTATGAATTAAAATTCTTTGCTGTTGGTACTTTTGTATTCTTGTGTTGCGGTAATCATCCCGCTACCTGCTGTCCTTTATTAGTTTTGATTTTGTTTTCCGTAGTTAGTCCGTTCCTGGTGCATTGTATTTTGTTCCCTGTATGATACAGATGTAATTCAATTCAATTCATTCAATTCAATTCAATTCATTTTATTTTGTGTAGCTCAAAATCGCAATATACAAATTTGCCTCGGAGGGCTTTACAGTCTGTACACATACGACATCCTCTGTCCCGAAACCCTCACATGTCACAGGAAAAACTCCCCAAACAATGAAGACCCTTCCAAGAGGGAAAAAAGGGAAGAAACGTCAGGGAGAACGTCAGAGGAGGATCCGTCTCCTGATGGACGACTACAATGATGTCATGTGTACAGAATGAACAATGAATGAGACTATATGACAGAAATGATTCAAGTAACTGTGAGTAGTAAACCAGACGCACAGCAGGACCACTGCAGGGACCACCACCATCACATAGAACCACCATCAGATAGAACCACCATCAGATAGAACCACCATCAGATAGAACCACCATCACATAGAACCACCATCAGATAGAACCACCATCACAAAGAACCACCATCACAGAACCACCATCACATAGAACCACCATCCACATAGAACCACCATCACATAGGACCACCATCCCATAGAACCACCATCAGATAGAACCACCATCAGATAGAACCACCATCACATAGAACCACCATCACATAGAACCACCATCCACATAGAACCACCATCCACATAGAACCACCATCACATAGAACCACCATCACAGAACCACCATCACATAGAACCACCATCGCACATAGAACCACCATCCACATAGAACCACCATCACATAGGAACCACCATCACATAGGACCACCATCAGATAGAACCACCATCACATAGAACCACCATCACATAGAACCACCATCACATAGAACCACCATCCACAGAAGCCTGTGGGGAGGGAGAGCACAGAGACTTTAGGAGAGGGTAATGTTGGTTTACGAGTACAGTAATATGATTAATATCTAAAATAATAATGATGATGATGATGATGGCAGCAGCAGGCGTCAGCAGGGCCACGGCAGGTGTCAGGACCAGGGTCCCGAAGGAACTACGGAGACCTGCTAGGGGAGAAAGCACAATTAGTCATGTGCATTAATAAAAAGTAAATTATTGTAGAACGAGAGCGTGAGAGGAGCTCGGTGTGTCCTAAGAAGTCCCCCGGCAGTCTAAGCCTATAGCAGCTTAACTAAGGGCTGGTCCGGGCTGACCTGAGCCAGCCCTAACTATAGGCACAATCAAAGAGGAACGTTTTAAGTTTTACTTTAAAAGAGCTGACCGAATCCGCCCCCCGGACTGAAAGTAGAACCTGGTTCCACAAAAGAGGAGCGTGATAACTGAAGGCTCTGGCCCCCAGCCTACTGTTTAAAACCACAGGAACAACAAGTAACCAGCATCTATGGAGCGCAGCTGCCTTGTAGGGAAATAATGTGTTACAAGCTCTTTAAGACAGATAGATGTAAGAGCGGACTAACTACTTTCATTTTTGTTTGTTTGTCATTTGGTCACTTTCCCTACATTTCGCGGTACTTTCTGCAGTGCTCTGGGTAGACAACCTGATCTTGTGTGAACTAACCGGTTGGTCGGCTTTGCAGTGCTCTGCCGTGTACACAGTTGTGCAGTGCTGTGTGATTTAAGCGGGTTTGGCCGCCATGTGCTGCATGGATCATTCAGGTGTCGCTCAGAGCTTGTAATGTGTCAGAGTTTATGTTAAACTTGCATTTAATAAATGTTGTTAAACTTTATTTGCTTCCGTTTCTTATATCCAAGTTAACATAAACTACCGTATATGACAGAGACCAAAACCTTTTGATCCGAGACCAAAAGTTTTTGTTTTGCAGGCAAAAACAATCGTTTTATAAGCAAAACTAACAAAATATTTTACTTTATATTTTTACAAACTTTATTTTTGTTTGCATAATAAAGACACAAATCTACCCTCATATGATTGGACCGAGAAGACGGTGACGCAGATGGAGCATTATTCTGAAACTGATGTGATCGAATTCGTTGTTTTCTTTTATTCTGAAAGTTCTCCCCGGATGTTTTCGTTTTGTACTTCCGTTTTGACACTGGTCGATCGGATGTCAGTATAATTTTTAACATGGTGTAGCAAACCGGGAATTAACTGGGTTCAACCGGGTTTAACCGGGTTACCGGGCAGCGGCTTTTGGCGGGCAATGGAGACCTTTAGCAGGTTGAGCAGTATGCTGCTGCACGCGCTGGAGACGGTGAGTTAGTGGCTAGCTGACTTTAGCTCACCTAGCATCTGTTAGCTCACTTAGCCCACCTAGCCTCTATCAGATCACGCAGCCTCTGTATAAAGGTAGTTTTAGTTAAACACAAACTCAAGCTAAGTTAGGAGCCAACAGCTAAAGCTAGCTTGTCCAGGTGTTCTCTGTCTACCTGCAGCAGCGGTGTGGACGTGGAGGAATGTGTCCCACTTCCGTCTCTTTACCGTCTGTCTGTCTGTCTGTCAGCGGGAGCCCACAGTCGACCTGTTGGAGTCCTTTGTGAATCATTGGAAATCGATAACTAATTATTACATCAACAACACCGAGTGAAGTTTTCACCCTCCCCCACATTTATTACCTGGTACATGCAAATACCCATTAACCCCCGGGGAGTTACAGATAGATTGATTACCGTCCTGTGAGGACAGGACAGACATCCCCCTGGTGTCTTCAGACAGATGCTAGGACATCATGGTGTACGAAGAGGAGGCAACAGGTAAGACACAGGACAAGTACTTCAGTCTGAGTACTACACTACTACACCCACAGTACAACTACTACAGTAGTACACTTATGTTACAAGTAATATAGTCTGAGTACTACATTATGCTTACAGTACAAGTACTTCAGTCTGAGTACTACACTACTACATTATGCTCACAGTACAAGTACTTCAGTCTGAGTACTACACTACTACATTATGCTCATGGTACAAGTACTACAGTCAGTATATTTATGCGTATTGATCTGTCATGCATTCATCCCGAGTGTTTCCTCATCATTAAATCAGCCTGACACGTGTCTCTTGTGTCTGTATGCGGCCCCCCGTCGGCTGCTCTCTACGCCCTGCTGCCCCCCGGTAAAGCCTCGTTTCTGCTTCTGCGTTTTAAGAGCGACACGCAGACACAAGAGCCCCTTACCTGTCCCTTACCTGTCCCTTACCTGTCCCTTACCTGTCCCTTGCGTGTCTTTTCACACCTCCTTGCGTCCTTGCGTGCGTCGACCCATCTTAGCGTCTAAAGCGGCGCAGCCTCCCGCAGCACCAGGCTGTGATTGGTCTGCTGACTACGTCCTTTACGGAGTCTCACGTCTCCGTTTTCACAGTAATTGAATTGCTCTAAAACACACACAAGCCTTTTTGAACCATGAATTGAAACGAGTGCGTCGACACGGCGTCGCGTAGAGACGCAGACGCAAGCGGCGGCCATGAGGGAAACACTCTCATGATGCGTTCATCCACAGGTGGAGGAAACTGGAGCCTGTCTGAAGTATCTGCTACAACACAAACTGTTGGAGACTCTGTGCACTCTGGGTAAAGCTCAGGTATCAATAAGCCCCATTTTATAGAATAATGATTCAATATGATAAATGGACTGTACTTGTACACGCTTTTCTAGTCTTCTGACCACTCAAACCTTTAACACTACATGACATCATTCACCCATTCACACCCATTCATACACTGATGACATCATTCACCCATTCACACCCTGATGACATCATTCACCCATTCACACCCATTCACACCCTGATGACAGGAGAACCACACACAGTGACACCTGCCCATCAGTCACTAACATCCACACACTGTAGTCGCAGCTACAGGAGCCATGTTGGTTAAGTTTCTTGCCCAAGGACACATGGACATGCGGGTTAGCAGAGCCTGGGATCGAACCCCCAACCCTCTGATTGGAGGACGACCTGCTCCCCTCTCACCCACAGTCGCCCCAATAGATTGATAAGTTACTCTTTGTGGACTGACCAAACATCCCCCTTCCTCCTCAGTATCCTCCAGGTATGGTCCAGCAGGTCTTGTTGTTCTTCTCTAGGTTCTTGTCTCAGATCCAGAGGCCTCTGCTCCAGCTGGTGAACGTCTACAGGCCCGTTCAGGTGGGTTTGAGTGTGCAGCTGGAGATGAGATCATTCTCATTATTGGGTCCCATGACTAGAAGCACAGGTAAAATCACTAATAACCAATCAGTTCTCACCAGCTGGGTTTCATTTGGGTGAGGACCCGGCCTTCTGGTCTACGTGGGCCGGATCCTTAAAAGACCGCATAGGCTGAACCAAGCAGGCTCTCAGTCTTTTTACTGTCATATTAGATTCAGATCAGTTAAGCCGTGAACTTTTAGCTAAAAGTAACAGTTGAATCTTAAGGAAGAGGAAATCAATCAATACTGTCAATAAAAACCACAACAGCAAACACATTTGTTAACTGTCCCTGCAGTGGTCCTGCCGTACACCTGCTTACTACGCTACATATCTGAATCATCTCTGTCATATGAACTGAATGTATCGTTCCTCTTCTACGTTGTTCACTCTGTCCTCATGACGTCATCGTAGTCTGTCCATCAGGAGACGGATCCTCTGAGTCTCACTGAGGTTTCCTCCCTTTTTCCCCATGAAGGGTTTCATTGTTTGGGGAGTTGTTCCTGTTCAGGACAGAGGTGTGTATGTGTACAGACTGTAAAGACCTCTGAGGCACATTAGTAATCTGTGATTTGGGGCAGACACAAAATAAAATGAATTGAATTCAACTAAATGTATAGTTGGTTTATAATCACACCACTAAGCAACAAGTTCAGTTCAGTGTATTCACCCGCCTCCATCCAGAATAAATGAAATCCTCATCGGCCTACAATGCATGATGGGATATGCTGGGCCGCATAGGGTGGATCAGACGTGTCCTCCCCATCGGCCCCCGGAGGGCTGCGACGAACAGAACGTGACAGCCGAGTCGCAGCCAAAGTGACACTTGAGGTTGATGAATGAGGAGCAGCCCGAGGAGGAGGAGGCCGACCAAATAAGACACAAGCCGTGTCTCAAGTCCGCTGGGCTGCGTCCCTGAGGACGCATACGTCCCTTCGGCTGCCACTCGGCTGTCCCGTTCCGTCGGTAATATAATTAACTCGAATATCCACCGATGTAAATGTTCTCTTATAATATCTAACAACACTCGCTCTGGTCACGGGACGCTGGTAACCGATGCTTTTAAATACATTACTACACTAATACTAACACAAGTCACATGAATACACATAAGACTAAATTATTATTCGTAACTCCCCCATACAGCCCCTGACCCCCCTGGGTCCTAAGTCCCTCCATGTTTAGTGAAAAGTCACTTTAATGACTTGGCTGACTAACATCCTACCGACGCTGTGGTGGTTTTATATATAGTTCAAGGCTTAACTGATGCCATTTTTATTTAAAATAGCCCTGAAGAACACCCTGAAATATAGCGTGCCCTGGAGGAGAAGCGTATCTTAAATAAATAAGATCATCTTCCCGGGCGGCACGTTGTTGAGGTGGTTTTCACCGTCTCCTCACAGCTAGAAGGTCCGGGTTCCACTTCCTGTGTGGAGTCTGCATGTTGTCCCCGTGTCTGCGTGGTTCTCTCTCCAGGTAGACCAGAAGGCTGGAGGCCACTAGGGTGTTGACACCCAGGTGCAGCTACTGTAGAGTGGCCCTTTCTCAACACCTAAGGCGTGAATACACTCCAGTCCTGACTCACGGGTTCAGAGCGGACCGCAAACAGCAGCTGACTTGATGACGTCACCACGTCAGCTGTTCTGCTAATATATTTTAATACAGTTCTTGACTGTTAAGTATTTCACTATTATTAAGCTTTTGTTTTGTTTTCATTTAAAACTAACTAACAACGGTGTATAATGGAGCACCAGAGTAAATATATATATATATATATATCAAATAATTAGGCAAAATACCTCAATGGATCTGATCAGAGTTATACACAGTGCAATAGTGTTATAAAGGTTTCATAAAGTAAGAGGAGGTTGGATACAGTAACAACAATTAGGGCTACAATCCACACACACACTCAAACATCAAGAGGCCGATAATCAGTGTCCTCGTACAGTTAAATGCACAAACATCACTATAAATTAAATTGGCGATGTACCTCAACCTCTTCTGTTTCTACATTAATAGTATTTTATGTAAATACTATAGTGATCAATGAGGCTAAATATCGTATGATAGATGACATCATTAGTACTTGACATAGTATGTAATATCCTATAAACAGTGATCGTGGAGGCTACAGTTAGATAGGTGACATCATCAGTGATTAACATAGTCTTTTTTATCAGATATTAAAGACTAACAAATTATAGAACTTAAAATGCACTTATAATGGTTCTTATCTACAGCAAGTTGTAAATTGACTTATTTGATGAACTTGCACTTTGTTGTTTCTTGTTCTTCTGAGTTTGTGTCCTTATGGTTGAAATGTTCTTATTGTAAGTCGCTTTGGATAAAAGCGTCAGATAAATGACATGTGATGTAATGTGATGTGATGTAATGTGACGCAGGCATCAATGGTGCTACATTTAGATTTACATTTGAAATAAATAGAAACATTTTCAAGCATATGCAAGCAACTGACCAGACATTACATATCTTACAGAGAAATATACAATAATTCATATGTGGAAAATATGTATTTTTTTAGTATTACAGTTCAGAGATTCTTTGAAGACGTCCTGCTGCCGGTTCAGTCTCCTCAGGTCCTTTGTGCATTAAAAGAATTATGAGCGGTCTCAGCCAGATGGCGACTTTAGAATTGGAACAGTACTCGGGCTGCGACCGATGACGTTTCACGAGAACATAGAGAAAGGCCTTTGTCTGGAGCGTCATGGTGACTTCCACTTTGCTCCGCCCCCAGAAGCTGATTGGTCTCTGTGCACTTCCTGGTTCCCAGACTGAGGCGGAGGAGGCTCAGTTCTTATTGGTTGTCTGCTCTAGGGTTAAACAGGACCCGCCCACGCTCAGAAACATCTTACAGGTAACAACCACTAATGATATAACAATTCTCTCAATTAGTCCATTTTATTTCATCTCTGCCGTCAACTTCTGCTTTCAGATTGTGGATAAACCAGCAGCCACGGCACTGGCTTCTGACCAATCACAATCCTCCAACCACAGGACGGAGCCACCGCCACCCCCCAGCCAATCAGATTCATCCACCGGCAGCCGCGTCCAATCAGAGTCCGGCTTGCTTTGGGCTCTGCTTCAGCTCGCCAGCAGTGCGGTCAGTTATCTGGTTACGACTCAGACACCTTCAGACGTCATGTGTCTGCTGAGACATTGATCTGGTATCCAGCAGCACCTTCAAGAGTCTTGAGTTCTCTCTGACCAGGATGTGTCTTTTAACTCTCATATCAATTCAATTCATTTTGTATAGCCCAAAATCACAAATTACTTAATTTGCCTCAGAGGGCTTTACAGTGTACACATGTGACATCCTCTGTCCTGAACAGGAAAAACTCCCCCAAAAATGAAAAACCCTTCTAAGAGGGAAAAAAGGGAAGAAACTTTAGGGAGAACGTCAGAGGAGGAGGAGGATCCCACTGCCGGGACGGACAGACTACAATGGATGCCATGTGTACAGAATGAACAATGTATAATACATTCAATTCCACAAAGAAGACTTCAAGGACGGCCTTTTTTCATCGTAATATTACGAAAATCAGGAACTGGATGTCTCAAAGTGAGGCAAAAAAATGAGTTTTTTACTTCTGCAACAATGGAAGTAGACGCAAGACCTTAGGGAGAACGGCAGAGGGGGTATATAATATATAATAACGCTGTATAGATGATAGATGTCATCTGTACAGAATGAAGAACGTAAAAGATTCTCAATATGTTCATTGTATATGACAGAAATTATTCAAATATTTAGAATTTTAAGCCAGATATCAAGGAGGACCACTGCAGGGACAAACACCATCACATGTAACCATCTGCCTCCCGCGGGCCCGACAGCTATAGCCTGCTGGACAATGGGGGTCTGTTTTACATAGACAAAAAAAGTCAGTCCTTGAAGTCTTCTTTATATGCGAGTTGAAGGTCATATCCTGGTCGAAGAGAACTCCAAGATTCCTGACGGTGCTGCTGGGTACCAGAACAATTCCATCCATAAAAACTGTATCACGTGACAGCTGGCTTCGAAGGCGCTCTGGGCCTATCAGGATAACTTCCGTTTTTTAGTTTAGCATCAGGAAGTTGCCGGTCATCCAAGTTTTGATGTCTCCAAGACATTCTTGAAGTCTAACTAGCTGGTCCGTCTCTTCTGGCTTGATCGACAGATACAGTTGAGTATCGTCTGCATAATAATGGAGGTTTATGTGGTGTTTCCTGATAAGATCGCCCAAAGGATGCATATAAAGGGTAAATAAAATCGGTCCAAGTACAGAACCTTGTGGGACTCCGTGATGAACATTGTTGGTCTTTGAGGATTCACCGTCTACAAGCACAAACTGGGATCGGTCCGATAAGTAGGATTTAAACCAGCTGAGTGCAGTTCCTTTGATACCAATTAAATGTTCTAGTCTCTGCAACAGGATACAATGGTCAATGGGATCAAATGCGGCACTGAGGTCCAGCAAGACAAGAAAAGAGATGAGTCCTTGGTCCGATGCAAGTAGAAGATCATTCGTCATTTTCACCAGTGCGGTTTCTGTACTGTGATGCACTCGAAATCCTGACTGGAAATCCTCAACAAAGCATTGTTTTGTAGAAAGTCACATAATTGATTTGGGACGGATTTCTCAAGGATCTTAGAGAGGAAGGGAAGATTTCATAATATCTAATAAGGACGTGATAACTAAAGGAAAAACTTCCTTAAGCAGCTTGGTCGGAATCGGATCCAAGAGACAAGTAGAAGATTTAGACTTTGGACTGTAGTTGTGGCTGTCATGTGGTTGTTGTCGTCATGCTATTGTGGCTCCACAAGGGGGTTCTTTTCTTCATGATGTTTTCTCCACAGAGGGGCTCTGTGGCTCTGAAGGCCTTTGAAGGCCTCCTGCTGCTCTCAGCTCTCCAGGATGAATCTTCAGGGGAGATTTTGTCTGATCAAACCCTGCTAGGAGAGCTGCTGGCTGGGAGGCTTCTTCAGCTCTACTCCCTGCTGCCTATGGAGGCTCTGGACCCTGGAGAGGTGCAGAGCTGGCCCCACACACCATGGAGGTACACACTCCTAGTACACAGTATGGTGGTACACACAAGTAATACACATCTAATACACCCCATGCAGGTACACACTTAACACGCACTGTGCATATAGACTTTGTTTATACTCTGCTGACAGACCTGTCCATCATTGTGACGGGTACCCGCCCTTTCTTCTGTCTTTGTGCTTTTAGTTCTCAGTTCTCTCGCTGGAGCTCTGATCTCAGGTCAGTAGCGGCTGCCTCTGATCACATGACCAACTTCTTCTCTTGGTTGGACTTCCTGGATCACATGATGGAAGAAGCACCTCAGGTACACATACACACATACACACACACACACACACACACACACACACACACACACACACACACAGACAGACTAACACCTGCACACTAAATAATCTGTTGTTCGCCAGATGTGTCATACACTATTTCAGTGTGTGTGTGTGTGTGTGTGTGTGTTTGCAGGTGTTAGCACGGAAGCTAGCTCACTGTGTTCATCAGATTTGGATGTTTGACGTTCTTCAGCCTCAACTTCTACACATGTAAGTGTGGAAGCCGCATCCTGTCTTTGCTAACTGTAGCTGCAGCACAGCTCAGGTGTGTGTGTGTGCTCCAGGTGTGAGCAGGTGGTCCTGGTCTCCACCTCTATCCTCTGTGCGGCTGTGAGATTCGTCCGGTCGAGGTCTCTGCTGGATCAGCTGGTTCACTTCCTGCTGAGGACAAACACGCTGAGTCCTCTGCTGCTGCAGCGCTGTGACCACATCTCAGACCAGGTGAGTCCACTTATTATAGCGCAGCTAGAATGCAATAATACACATATATATAATATACATACGTGTGTGTGTGTGTGTGTGTGTGTGTATGTAAGTGACATGTAATGTATTTATTATGGCTGTCAATAGATTTAATAAAATAACTAATTCATCTCACATTTTGAAATGCTTTAAACGCGATTAATAGTCTTCTTTTTTTCTAAAGACTTAAAAGTAATCAGTAATGAAATCCATCATTTGACGTGTTTGAAGTGTCAACAATGTCCCCACATGCAGGACGGTTTCAAACCACGGCCTTTTAGGGACACAGTGGTCCTCTGCAGGTAGAAGTTGAGATGGCAGTAGCCTAGCAGCTAGCTCAGCCTAGCAGCTAGCTCAGCCTAGCTAGCTGCTAGATTAATACTTTCATTTTGACAGTGCTAATATACACATATAGAATCCTACCTGATCTGCAGGTGAGAACCCCTAACTGGTCCAAGTTGACCTCTCCGTCCCCAGATCAGTTTTGCGTCTCTGTCTCTGGTGGACGAGCTGCTACAGAAGCCTCACGAGGACGTCCTGGATGTGCTGGTGTTGAGTTTCCTGCAGAGTCGTAGTTACCTGTCTCCACAGGAGGACAGGTGGACCGAGAGCAACGAGGCCCACGAGGACAGCAAGTGAGTCCAGCTCCCTGTGAGACGCCACATGTTCAAAAGCACATTATAAAATGCGTGTGTGTGTGTGTGTCCGTCCAGTGGTCTGGAGGAGGACCCATTCTTCTCAGAAAGCTTGTTGTTCTCTGAAAGTCAGCTGATCCTCCCTCCTCCTCCTCGCTGCTCCTCTTCCTCAGCTCCTCTCTCTGGTCTGGGATCAGCTGCTAATGTTGTTAACAGGTAACACACACACACACACTTTCTTAAATAATTTCTAAAATGAATGAACTAATAGTTAAAATGTTAATTCCAACTATATATACATACTAATATGTTCAGAAATGTTGTTTATATTTATTGGTAATTACGACTATAACAATTATTTCTGTCCATCTGCCTGTCTGTCTCTGTCTCTCTGCTTGCATGTGTCTGTCTCCATGTCTCTGTCTCTCTGCTTGCATGTGTCTGTCTCCATGTCTCTGTCTCTGTGTCTGTCTCCATGTCTCTGTCACTCTGCTTGCATGTGTCTGTCTCCATGTCTCTGTCTCTCTGCTTGCATGTGTCTGTCTCCATGTCTCTGTCTCTCTGCTTGCATGTGTCTGTCTCCATGTCTCTGTCTCTTTGAGTAGTTTCCTGTGTTTAGTTCCCGTTCAGGTTCGATCAGCTCAGCTGATCCAGGAGGGCGGGTACGAGTCCTACGTTCACGACGCCCACACACAGGTCACATGACACACACACGTTGCTATAACAACAGATCCAGGTGGCTTCGGAGCAGCCGCTCTGGTCACCATGGTGACGTGATGTTCAGTCCTCACGAGGACGGATGTTCCTCTGCTCCCCCCTCAGGTCACGGAGTGTCGCGCTCTCTCTCGGTCCTGGAACTGGACCCTCAGTCTACCTGCACCCTCCGCAGGTGAGGGGGAGGAGTTCTTTGAAGGTCCCCTGCTCAAGGTTCTGTTGGACCGACTGGGACGCGTCCTGGAGCAGGTAGACGTCCACTTGTCTGTCCTGTGTGATGACTTACCTGTCCACTTGTGTGTCCTGTGAGGAGGACTCGTCTCCGTCTCAGGTGAGTCATGGGGTCTCTTGTGTGTTTCAGCCCTACGAGTTGAACCTCAAACTGACTGCGGTTCTCTCCAGACTTTCATCCTTCAGCCACCCGCTTCTCCACGAGTACCTGCTCGACCCCTACGTGCACCTGTCTCACTGCTCCAGGTCGCTGTTCTCTGTCCTCATCAGGGTGAGACATGCAGACAGACACGTCTCACTGCTCCAAGTTAGTGCAACAGACTGTTGAACTCAGACCTGTCTGTCTCTCCCCCGTCCCTCTCCCTCTCTCTGTACCTGTCTGTCTCTACCCGTCTCTCTCCCTCTCTCTGTACCTGTCTGTCTCTACCCCGTCTCTCTCCCTCTCTCTGCACCTGTCTGTCTCTACCCGTCTCTCTCCCTCTCTCTGCACCTGTCTGTCTCTACCCGTCTCTCTCCCTCTCTCTGCACCTGTCTGTCTCTACCCGTCTCTCTCCCTCTCTCTGCACCTGTCTGTCTCTACCCGTCTCTGCGGCGGTTTGTCTCTCAGTTGATGGGAGAGTTGATGCAGAGCATCCAGCGAGTTCCCGATCTGACGGACAGACTGTTGGACACCAGGAGAGACCTGCTGGGCCTCAACAACAACAACACCACCAGGTAACTGAGAGAGAGACTCGTGGTCTTTGTGGCCGTGTAGAGCTTCCCTGAGCGTCCCGTATTTATATGTGTCTGTGGATCTGTCCTCAGACTGGAGCACTTGACCCTGCTGAGAGGACTCGTCGTCCTTGAGGAGTTCTGTAAGGAGCTCGCCGCCATTGCCTTTGTCAAACTGCCACTGGGCCGGCCTTGAGAAGGACTGCTCTGTCTCTGCCTTAGTCAGCTGTCTCACCTCACACGGTGGTCACTGTGACATCACAGTGACATCACAGTGATGTCACAGTGACGTAACCGTGACGTCATAGCTTGCACTCAAGCAGCTGTATTGTGGATCGGATGTATTTCAGATCAAAGGTGTCATCACCACTTCATGTGTTCCAACTATGCAATCATCTACGACCCTTATTGATAATAGATAACCCATCGAGCTGACCTTTGACTTTTGACTTTTACTCTCTCCTGCCGCCTCAGGACTAAGTGATATTAACTTTAATATTTAAATGCCTCTTTTTCCCAAATGATAAACCAATGTAATTTGCATTTGTTCTCGTCAATAAACAGAGAATCAGACTTTTATTGCTGTTGATCTTCTCCTTCATTCCACCAACGTATTGATCATTAATAATCATGAAGTGTCTTACATGAAATATTAAAATGTTTCAAGACTTCGGAGAAATCCTTTTCATAATGTATTGTTCATGAAACAAGTGGAGTCCTGGTTTTGCTTCTGGGTGGTAACAGGAAGTCACAAAGAAAAACAGCAGCACTATCACAACTATAATAAACACAATGATACGGATGAATATCAATAAGAGGATCGTGTCGGACTCCGTGTTATTCTGATTCAGTCCCGGGCTCTTATTGTGAAAGCCCGTACCGGAAGCGCGGATTCCTGTCTGCAGCGGAGGAGAGCAGCAGGAGAAGAAGAGGAGAGCCGAGCTGAAGGTCACATCCAGAGCATCATCTTCATCCTTCTCCTCATCATCGGTACCGAGAGCTGATCGCTTATCGCTGAGCGGACGTGAGACCGGCCTGTCTGCCTGATTCTGCTCCGCTGTCTCTGCGCCTGTCTCGCCGCCATGGGGAACCGCGGCATGGAGGACCTGATCCCGCTGGTCAACAAGCTGCAGGACGCCTTCTCCTCCATCGGACAGAACTCCAGCCTGGACCTCCCGCAGATCGCAGTGGTGGGGGGGCAGAGCGCGGGCAAGAGCTCGGTGCTGGAGAACTTCGTGGGCAAGTGAGTCCGCCTGTCTGTCTGTGAGAGGGAGCCGCCCCGCTGACGGGAGGCCGGCTGACCCGCTGAATAAATCAACTGCTGCTACACGATGAGGTTATAAATACAGCAGAGGAGCTATTTAATTCTATCATTTATATGTATATATATTATATGATGTAGTCTAAGATATAATGCAATATAATATGTAACATAATATAATAATGACATTGGAAATGATTGACTCGTGGGTGTGTGAATGTGACTGTGACTGGAGACCAGTCCAGTGGACCCAACAAAATGTAATATGATATGACTAAACTATCTGTGAGTGTCTCAATAGCCAGGATCATTTTTTACATGTGTCCAACCAGACAAATGGGCGGTCCAAATGTTACAAAACACATTTCTTTGTAAGATATTGTTAAATTGTGTAGCTGTACCGCTGGCCGGCTCGTGGGGAGGGCAAGGGGGCGCTGTGCTCATGTGATGTGTGACATCTGATTGGCTACAGGTAGGTCCATGTTGAAAAAGAAAATCCACACAAATGTGAAGCCATCCGCAAACAAATAAAAATTGTATCACAATTATTGCAACTGATCTGATCCACAAATCCAAAGTTAGCCTTCAGTTAGCGTCACGGTTAGCACAGCTAGTGCTAAAGAGCTAGCAGATGATTAACTAGCTCTGGTGTTGATCTATTGATTATTGTCCTCCTGGTCGAAATACCACAAAAAGAGGACCCAAGATGGAGCCTTGAGGAACTCCTCCCATGGCGATGATGTTTCTCTCTGTGGAGAGTGCTACTGGTCCACTTGTGACAGGAATAGCTCCTTCTAATCTATAATAATAATAGAGGATATCATATATATATACTGTATATAAATATATATTTACACTATTTTATTAAGTATTTATGAAAATAGAATTAGTGTATCGGCCATCAGTTTTTTTCCTTAGGTCAGCAATTCTCAACAACAGAGCCTGAAGGCAACATTTTTTAGGATTTACATGGTAATAAGCTTTTGGGCGGTAGAAATCTCTCAGCTCAACACTCTCAAAACACATTAAGGTCCCTGTGAAAAAAAAAGTTTTTTAAAAGCAAAATCGCAGTAAAGACGCTAAATTGACTCTGTGAGATTCAATTTAAACTCTAAGCTGGTGTTTATATCGTCCCAATCTTGTCAGTGTTAAATCAACACTCAACGAAGTGTTAACAAGTTAACTCGGAATAAGTGTCAAAGATCAATCTGTCCAGTGTTAAATACATTACAGGTCATTTAGCTCACACGTTTATCCAGAGCAACTAACATTGCATTTTTAACCCATGCTTTTTACATTTTAGCCTGGGGAGCAATTAGAGATTAGGTGTCTTGCTCAGGGACACTTTGACATGGAGCAGCCGGGAGTTGAACCACCAACCTTGTGGGTCCCGGTTCACCCTCTCTACTCCGTGCGCCACAGTACGTAGAGTTAAAGTGACACTAAGAGGTGTGACACTGTACAGTTACATTTCTAACCTATCAAAGAGTCAATTTAACTCTAAGTGTCGACAATGAATCTGATCTCGACTCTGAATAATGACTCCAGCTCCTTCATACAAATGACTCTGTAGGAGTTCAATCAACTTTTTACAGTGTGATTTCAACTCTGCACTTCAACACTTTTGCCGAACACCGGAAAATTAAATCTAAGAATTTTGCCGTGTACCTGCTCAGGTACTCTTCACTACCTGTTCACATACTAACCCCTCCCCCACCTTCCCGTCTCAGAGACTTCCTCCCTCGGGGTTCAGGTATCGTTACTCGTCGTCCATTGGTTCTTCAGCTCATCAACTGTCCAACAGGTGAGTTTTCCTGTTGTCATGGTTGCGCTGTCATCATGTGTCCGCTCATGTGTATTGATCTTGAGAATTCATTTAATTTTATTTCGTACAGCCCAAAATCACAGATTACAAATTACAGTCTGTACACATGCAACATTCTCTGACCTTTGACCCTCACATCGGAACAGCTCAGGGCGGACAGACTACACGGATGTCATGTGTACACAATGAGCAATGTAAAAGATGTACACTACATTCATGTGACTGACCATGTGTATGGACATGTGACTGATCATGTGACTGACCATGTGTATGGATCATGTGACTGACCATGTGTATGGGTCATGTGACTGACCATGTGTATGGGTCATGTGACTGACCATGTGACTGACCATGTGTATGGGTCATGTGACAGACCATGTGTATGGATTATGTGACTGATCATGTGACTGATCATGTGACTGACCATGTGTATGGGTCATGTGACTGACCATGTGTATGGATTATGTGACTGACCATGTGACTGACCATGTGTATGGGTCATGTGACTGACCATGTGTATGGGTCATGTGACTGACCATGTGACTGACCATGTGTATGGGTCATGTGACAGACCATGTGTATGAGTCATGTGACTGATCATGTGTATGGATTATGTGACTGACCATGTGACTGACCATGTGTATGGGTCATGTGACTGACCATGTGACTGACCATGTGTATGGGTCATGTGACAGACCATGTGTATGGATTATGTGACTGATCATGTGACTGACCATGTGTATGGGTCATGTGACTGATCATGTGACTGACCATGTGTATGGGTCATGTGACTGACCATGCGTATGAGTCATGTGACTGATCATGTGACTGACCATGTTTACTGATCAGAGTATGCAGAGTTCCTTCACTGCAAAGGGAAGAAGTTCATCGACTTTGATGAAGTTCGTCAGGAGATCGAAGCAGAAACGGATCGAATAACCGGACAGAATAAAGGAATCAGTCCGGTTCCAATAAACCTCAGAGTGTACTCGCCCAACGGTAACGCACAATACACACAATACACCCATAATACACACAGAGACACTCCCCCAACGGTAACGCACAATACATTACCTCGGCGTGTCCCCGGATGTCTCTGTGTCCCTCAGTCCTGAACCTGACCCTGGTGGACCTCCCTGGGATGACAAAGGTTCCGGTTGGCGACCAGCCGGCGGACATCGAGAACCAGATCCGAGAGATGTTGATGCAGTTTGTGACCAAAGACAACTGTCTCCTGCTGGCGGTGTCCCCGGCTAACTCTGACCTTGCTAACTCCGACGCCCTGAAGATTGCTAAGGAGGTGGACCCCCAAGGTGAGCCCTCCACCCGCCAGAGCTCCACCCGCACCTCCTCCTCCTGGTCTAGGTCCAGGTCCAGATCCCAGTTTCCACACAGCCTCCATGGTTTTCCACATGTGGATGTGTGTGATGTCGAACTTGTGTGCAGGTCTGAGGACCATCGGTGTGATCACCAAACTGGACCTGATGGACGAGGGGACAGACGCCAGGGACATCCTGGAGAACAAGCTGCTTCCTCTACGTCGAGGTGAGGAGTTACCTGAAGGTGTTTAGAGAGAAAAGCAAGTCTTTGTAAAGACAGAAACAAATCAGATAAGAACACAAAATCTTGTGTTCATTGAATAAACTCTAAACATCTGCTTCTTATACCGAAACCAGATGTTTCTCCAGTCCGACTTCAATTAGGAGAACCAGAGAACCTCGGCCCTGATAGTCTCATTTAAAACAAAGAGTAGAACTTTAGTCTTGATGTGATTTTTAGATATTAGATCAGATGTAACATGGTGGAGAATAAAACCGAGGGTGGAGCCCTGAGAACCCCCCCACAGGGGTCCTCACGTGATGAACTCTGACCTCAGGTTACATCGGGGTGGTGAACCGCAGTCAGAAGGACATTGATGGGAGGAAAGACATCACGGCGGCTCTGCAAGCTGAGAGAAAGTTCTTCCTGTCGCACCCGTCCTATCGACACCTGGCCGACCGCATGGGCACCGCCTTTCTGCAGAAGATCCTCAACCAGGTGAGCACACTCACAGGGCTTCAGGGAGGAATGTAATCCACTCTTCATCAATAGTGCACGGATATGAAGCGCAAGGATACACATCATGCTGAAAGGCTGTGTGCCATGTATGAGGACATTGTAAAATGTCTTTAATTAACCTTTTAACCGTTTATTAATCAGTAAGGTCTCAACATACGGCCTGGGATGAGTTTGTGTCTGAGCAACATGCTGCTGCTGCTGGAGGCCTTTAGACTTTAGAGGCCGGCAGACCCAGACTGTGTGTTGCTTGATAACAAAAAACTCACATGCTAGATTTAAATATGCACTTTGTTTTATTAAGAAACATGAAAACACAATGAGAGCAGACGCGCTGGCCAGAAAGATGCAGAATAACAATCTTACTGACTTCTGGAAGGAGGTCACGATCATAAATAATAGCAGGACTCCCCTCCCTGAGGGGGTTAGTTGTCCACAGAAGATTGCTGATCTATGGCGTGAGCACTACACTAAACTATTTAATTGTGTTAAAAGTAACACCGTTAGAATCAATAATACATATAAAGGTCTCAGACATGATAGTTGGATCAGTAGATGTTTATGATTCCATCCACATGCTAGACAACAACAAAGCGTGTTGGATGGATTAGATTTCTGCAGAGCATCTAAAACTCAGTCCATTACTACATGTGTCTTACTGGAATGATGGTTCACGGTGTCCTACCCAACTCTATTATGTCAGTACTGTTAGTGCCTGTTCTTACAGATGAGGCACTGATCTCTGTATCTATGCTCTTTGTCTCTAGATACACACGTCTTAAATCCTCTGTATTTTTATGCTTCATTGATGCTTCTAAAGCTTTTGATTGAATTTGTCATGAAACAATGTTTATGAAGCTGCAGCGAGAGGGACAAGAGAAACCTCTTGTGTTCTGGTATGCCAATCAAACAATGTCGTGTCAGCTATATGAGCTATATTTCTATGTTGGTAACGGAGTTGGACAAGGAGGAATTTTCTCTCCCTTTTTGTTTAATGTTCATATGGACGACTTATCAAGCTGAATAAGACAAATACAGGCTGACTTGTAGGTGGATCTATTGTCAATCATCAGATGGTTTGGTGACGCTGAGGGTGTGCTCTCAGTATGAGATCATGATGTAAAATATAATGCAAAGAAAAGCCACATAACGATAGTCAGAAGTAATCAGGGCAGGAAATGAACCTTGTATCTATGTGCCAGTCCCCTTGGTGTTTGTGAGGAAATAAAATCTGGGCCATGTCATTTCTGATGATTGGACAGATGACAACGATATACATCGACAGCGCTGTAAGATATATTCTCAGGCCGATATGTTATTAAGGAAGTTTTCTACGTGCTCAGACTCAGTCCAACGTTCCCTGTTTAGAACCTACATAACACCATTGTACATGTGGGGGTCTAAGGAGTCTACAGAGACTGGAAGTAGCTCACAATTCTGCTCTCAGATCGCTGCTTCATGTGGCACAATGTGTCTAAGCACCTACCAACCTGTGAGGCGCTCGAGACAACGGATGTATGTTTCATGTATGTTTCATGTGTCGACTGAATCTGAGAGCGGTAGAGAGACTCTGGTCAACCCTCTGAAGAGACATTAAGACGACATGGGCACAAAAGTCTTCATACTTTTTAATCAGCTGTATTATGTGTGTTGTATCTTCTTGTTTTTCTCTCTTTTTTATAGTTGTATGTCTGTTATTTTATATAATAACGATTAAAAAAATAAAGATTAAAAAAGAAAAAAAATAGATCTCAGAGCGCCAGAGAGCCACTCACCTCATGAGCTCATAGCCGTACCACCTCAAACACAGCGAGGTGGGACGGTTGTTGGTTGGAGGTCAGCGATCACCTCCCTCTGTAACCCAGTAGAGCGTTTCTTCACTGCCGTTAGCAACTGACCAACCACATACGGGACACGCTGCCGGCGCTACGCAGCAAACTGCAGAGCCAGCTGCTGTCCATCGAGAAGGAGGTGGAGGAGTACAAGAACTTCAGACCAGACGACCCGGGCCGCAAGACCAAGGCCCTGCTGCAGTCAGTCCTGCACACCAACACCAGTACTGCACACTGAGTCACGCCAGCGTGTACTGAGACCCGTGTGTGTGTGTCAGGATGGTGCAGCAGTTTGCTGTAGACTTTGAGAAGCGGATCGAAGGATCTGGGGATCAGGTGGAAACCTACGAGCTCTCAGGAGGAGCCAAGATCAACAGGATCTTCCACGAGCGCTTCCCCTTTGAGATCGTCAAGGTAAGTCTCACACGCAGACAGACTCACCCGACCTGTGACCTGTGGAACACGCTTAGACCACGTGTGTGCACGTCTGTCTGTCTGTGTGAGCAGCTGGAGAGTGATGAGAAGACGCTTCGTAAGGAGATCAGCTACGCCATCAAGAACATCCACGGGATCAGGTGAGGTCGCCGTGGTGACGCTCTCGCCGGGTTGCCATGGTAACACCGCCCCCCTCATGTGTTATTGGTCGCTGAAGGGTGTGACTGATGGTCTGTGCTCAGGACGGGTCTGTTTACCCCCGACATGGCGTTTGAGACCATCGTGAAGCGCCTCATCGCTCAGATCAAAGAGCCATGTCAGAAGTGTGTGGACATGGTTATCAACGAGCTGGTGAACACCGTGAGGCAGTGCACCCAGAAGGTACAACCACCACTACTACCTGCATGGGGGGGTTATGTCGGGGTGACGGGGGGGCGCCAGCACTCATTCAATGCTGGGGAGACAGTGTTTTGTACGGTAGGGTTATGTCATGTATTACATCCTGATGTACTTCTCTCTTCCTGCAGTTGGCTCAGTTTCCGATGCTCAGAGAGGAAATGGAGAGAATCGTTACTCAGCACATCAGAGACAGAGAAAGTCGCACCAAAGGCCAGGTATACGTGAGCCACCGACACGTCTGTCTGACCTGCCTGTCAGTCTAATTCACCTGTTGTACCCTCAGGTGATGTTGCTGATCGACATCGAGTTGGCCTACATGAACACAAACCACGAAGACTTCATCGGCTTTGCAAAGTAGGAACATGTTCAAAAACCAGAAGACTCTCATTTCACAACAAACATACTGATCTCTGCGTCTGTCTCTCTGTCTCTGTCCCTGTCTGTCTGTCTGTCTGTCTCTCTGTCTCTGTCCCTGTCTCTGTCCCTGTCTATCTCTCTCTGTCCCTGTCTGTCTGTCTGTCTCTCTGTCCCTGTCTGTCTGTCTGTCTGTCTCTCTGTCCCTGTCGGTCTGTCTCTCTGTCTGTCTGTCTGTCTGTCCCTGTCTCTGTCCCTGTCTATCTCTCTCTGTCCCTGTCTGTCTGTCTGTCTCTCTGTCCCTGTCTGTCTGTCTGTCTGTCTCTCTGTCCCTGTCGGTCTGTCTCTCTGTCTGTCTGTCCCTGTCTGTCTGTCTCTCTGTCTGTCTGTCTCTGTCTGTCTGTCTGTCTCTCTGTCTGTCTCTGTCCCTGTCTGTCTGTCTGTCTGTCTCTCTGTCCCTGTCTGTCTGTCTGTCTCTCTGTCTGTCTGTCTCTCTGTCTGTCTGTCTGTCTGTCTGTCTGTCTCTCAGTGCTCAGCAGAAGAGCAGTCAGATGAACAAGAAGAAAGCAGCAGGAAATCAGGTGACTTTTCCTCGTCGACTCTTTTTACTATTTTACAGATTTTCTCAGTTGCTTTGCAACATTTCCCAGATTACAAATGAAAAGTTCAGAACATCTCAGCTCATTGTGTCATTTAAAAAGCAGTTTCTCATTTCTTTGACCAAGTTGCAAAAAGGGATGAGTATCGTTTGGCTTGTTTCCGATACCGGTGCCTAAAAACTTATATTAAACAATATAAACAATATATTAACTGTAAATATAAATAGATAAAAAACACTTGGCTTCAAACGTTTTAACTTCAAACTATGAACATCACATGAACGGTTTACGGTGTAATTGTTTCCGTCTGTACGAAGTATGGAATGGACAAGGAAACTGCCCGAGAGAAGAGGAAGAGGAAGAGGAGTTGGGAGGCAAAGCAGAGGAAGAGGCAGAAGAGGCCGAGGACATATGTGTCTTCCTGAGGGGAGAAGAGCCACGCGTGATTGGTCCATAGACCTCTTTACTCTCTACAGGCATCTCCTGCCTGAACAAGAGAGCGGCACGTCGGAGACACACGGCCGAAGTACGTGATGGTTTGGGACGATCGGCCAACGTCATCAGGCGGCGGTTTGCGACCCCCCACAGCATGCCGATGGCGTTCCTCCCACGCTCCCCCCCGCTCTTTAACCCCATTGAGGGAGGTTTCTCTCCTGGAGATGGACAGTGTGTGCACAGATGAGCCTCCTGTAGAGGCTCTAAAAGGTTCCTCCCATTCAATGTGATGTGGATGAGAATCTGTGGCCCAACAGGAGGTGTCAGGTGTTAGTAGCTCCTACAGCACTGCAATGCTCCCACTTCTACCTCTAATGACGTGTCAACATGTGAATCCTGTCAGTCTCTGTCAGCAATCAATCTTCCACAAACATACGTGTGCGTTTACACTGACAGCATGACTCAGCACGTTGACTGTCAATCACACGAGGATGTTCAGGGACACACATACTTACTTATGATGATCTAAGGATTTGGAGCAAGACACTGACTCCTGCAGGTAATCCCTCTTATTTTGCTATTTGCACCAATTGTTTTGAGGAATGCACGTGCTGATTTGCAAATGCCGAGAATCATTCAAGAAACGTACAAAGCAACTGAGAAAAACTGTGATTTAACAAATCTATGAATTCTGGGTAGTTTCACAAGACAAAATCAGTTGAAAGTGTAAGAGAAACAAGAACACGTCATTTAGATCTGGACTCTGGTTCACATGCTCCTCTTGTCCTCTCTTTTTCTCTCTGTTACCACGGCAACCAGGACGAGATCATGGTCAGTGGGTCACAGTGTGTGTGTGTGTGTGTGATGACACTGATTTACACCTGAGTCAGCAGTAGATAAATACTCAAAAATCAATGAGCATCTGTGTGCGCGTGCGTGTGTGTGTGTGTGCGCGTGCGTGTGTGTGTAGGTGATCCGTAAAGGTTGGCTCACCATTAACAACATCAGCATCATGAAGGGAGGAGCTAAAGAGTACTGGTTCGTCCTGACAGCCGAGACTCTGTCGTGGTACAAAGACGATGAGGTAACACACACACACACACACAGACACACACACAAATATATTGTCATGTGATGCTGCTCACATAACCATGTGACTATTAGATTGAACATCTGGACCAGCCCCTCCAGTCTAGATGTTGATGGACTAGGAGAAGAAGGGAGGAGGAAAGACCCGGGTCCATCAGAGTTCTGCCCCCGAGACCACAATGAGAGGAGAAGATGATCCTGATCATGTGTTATTAATTATTGCTGTTGGTGGTGGTGTTGTTGTCTCTACCTGCAGGAGAGGACAAGAAGTACATGCTCCCCTGTGGGACACCCTCAAACTCAAAGACATCGAGGAGAGTTTCATGTCCCAGTAAACACATCTTTGCTCTATTCAACACAGAGCACAGGTGTGTGTGTGTGTGTGTGTGTGTGTGTGTGTGTGTGTGTATTTACAGTAATAATTAATATTCATGTTCCAGGAATGTCTATAAAGATTCTCGTCAGTGGAGTTGGCCAGTGAGTCTCTGGAGGAGGTTGACAGCTGGAAGGCTTCTTTCCTACGAGCCGGAGTGTACCCTGAACGCACCGTGGTACTACTACATCACTACTACACTACTACTATACTACATCACTACTACTATACTACATTACTACTACATCACTACTGCTACACTACCACTATACTACATTACTACTACATCACAACTACACTACCACTATACTACTACACTACTACATCACTTCTACTATACCACATCACTGCTACTATACTACTACACTACTACTATACTACATCACTGCTACTATACTACTACAGTACTACTATACTACTACACTACTACATCACTACTACTACACTACCACTATACTACATCACTGCTAGACTTCTATAATACTACATGACTACTACACTACTACTATACTACATCACTACTACTATACTACATCACTACTACTATACTACTACACTACCACTATACTACTATACTACTACTATACTGCATCACTACTACTATACTACTACACTATACTACTACACTACTACTATACTACTAGAGGTCAGCAGACTGCTGTATTGAGTTTCACAATAAGATATCCAGCTCCAAATAGCACAATAAAAGCTCTCATGATCGCCCAGCATTCCCCGACCGTCGCCCCAGTGTTTTTTCTACGTTCTCTCATCAAAGTAACTTTCCTGCAGTAGTTTTGGGGCCGTATTTACGGTACACTCGCTCGCTAGCCAGTTAGCTGCTTTGCTCAGCATTGGGCTATTATTTAAATACATTTTCAAAATAAGAGCGTCTTAACCATATTGTCTGTATCCTTGAAGAATTCACAACAATACTTCTCCATCACTAATACACTACTACATCACTACTATAATACATCACTACTATACTACTACATCGCTAATATTATACTACTTAATAACGGCTCTACTATACTACTACATCGCTAATATTATACTACTTAATAACGGCTCTACTATACTACTACATCACCACTATACAACCACATTACTACTACGTCACTACTAAAGTACTTCTAAACTAAACTAGCAGTGGTTCACTTCACTACTAAAAACAACAGTACTGCTACATAATCAATATATTATTACTGTATATATAATATAATATACAAAACACACCATGGTACTTACTGCTTCTACATCATTACTATGTACTAATATACAAACTATGCAAACAAGCTAATATGGACAAAACTCTTCTTCTCCTGCAGGACAAAGACAAGGTGAGTCTTCTCACACACTGACTGAAGTGTTATTTTGTCCACCTCATTGAGACAGGTGGACAATACGGTGGACAAAAAAACATGAACACCTCAGCCTGATTCAGGTGTGTGTGTGTGTGTATATGTGTGTTTGTCTCTGAGTGTGTATCTTTTTATATGTGTTCTGTGTGAGTGTCTATGTGTGTGTATGTCTGTCTGTGCTTGTGTGTCTGTGTGTTTGTCTCTGTGTGCTTGTGGCTGTTGTTACCTGCCCCCCCCCCCCCCCCCCCCTCCTGGTGCAGGTGGAGGTGGAGGAGGCGCGGGGGGACGGGCAGATCCACAGCTTGGACCCTCAGCTGGAGCGACAGGTGGAGATTGTGAGGAACCTGGTGGACTCTTACCTGTCAATCATCCACCGCACAGTCAGAGACCTCATCCCCAAGACCATCATGCACCTGATGGTCAACAACGTATGGCGCGCACACACACACACACACACAGGAAGTGAGGTCACCAATCGCATGACCTCCTCTCTGGTTCCCAGACAAAGGAGTTCATCCACTCAGACCTGCTGGCTCAGCTCTACTCCTGTGGAGACCAGAACACCCTGATGGAGGAGTCCCAGGAGCAGGTGAGCAGACAGACGGGTGGAGACACAGACGGACAAGGGGAGGGAGAGATGGACAGTTGAGACGAACATAAAGTGCTAAATGTAAAAGATCCCCCCCCCCTCTTTCTCGCTCCCCTTCTCTCTCTCTTGCTCACTCCCTGTCTGTCTCCCTCCCTCCCCCCCCTCCCCACAGGCTCAGCACCGTGACGAGATGTTGAAGATGTACCACGCTCTTCGTGAGGGTCTCCACATCATCGGTGACATCAGCACCTCCACCATCACCACGACGATGCCTCCGCCCGTCGACGACTCCTGGCTGCAGGTGACGGGGATGCCATCAGGACGCAGGTAGCTTAGCAATGGATCAGGTGTGACGGGGCTGGGTGGGCAGGTTCCCTGTCACTCAGGGTCTCTGCCGGTCTCCGCAGGTCTCCCATGTCCAGTCCAGTACCCCAGCGCCGGGCCCCCCCCGGGACTCCCCGTCAAGGTGGGCGCTCCGCCTCTGGCCCTCCGTCCCGTCCCGCCATGTCACCTGATCCTGGAACCCCCTCCATCCCCTCCCGACCCAACCGAGCGCCCCCTCCCGGAGTCCCAAGGTACCAACACACACACTGACTGAGGTCAAAGGTCAAGCCGACTCTGGTTCTGAGTGATGCTGAGCTGATCAAAAAGTGCGGTAAATTAGTAATTATTTATGTTTATTGTAACATTATTTATTATTCATTATTATTATAGCTATTCATAATAATATTGTAGGAGTTATTTATATCATTAGCACTTTTATAATAATAATATGATTATTTATACTATTGTTATTCATAATATTGTTGGAGTAGTGTTACTCCGCAGAGGAGAATTTCAGTGACAATCAGTATTTCTCATCATCAACTCTACTACAGAGTTACTACTTCTACGGCAACTACTACTCACTCTAGTACAGGGTTACTACTACTAATCACTCCTTCGCCACTCCTATATCACTCCTTTGTTCCTCTATCACACGTTCATCACACCTATATCACTTCTACATCGCTCCTATATAACCCCTTCATCACTTCATCGCTCCTTCCTCCTCCTAGACTTCATCTATCACTACTTCATAACTTCTCTATCTCTCTATCACTCCTCTATGACTCCTTTGTCACTCCTTCATTGCTCGTCTATCACTCCTTCATCACTCCTCCATCACTGCTTCATCGCTCCTCTATCACTCCTTCATCCCTCAGCTATCACTCCTTCATCACTCCTCTTTGACTCAGCTATGAATCATTCATCAGTCCTCTATCAGACCTTCACCCCCTCATCGTATCAGTCCCTTCATCAGTCGCGTATCAATTCCGTCATCAAGCCCCTTCAACACTCCATCGTCCTCTATCATTCCATCACTCCTCTATCACTCTTCATCACTCCTCTATCACTCCTTCATCACTCATCTATCACTCCTTTATCACTCATCTATCACTCCTTTCATCACTCCTCTATGACTCATCTATCACTCCTTCATCACTCCTCTATCACACCTTCACCCCCTCATCTATCACTCCTTCATCACTCATCTATCACTCCTTCATCACTCCTCTATGACTCCTCTGTCACTCATCTATCACTCCTTCATCACTCCTCTATGACTCCTCTGTCACTCATCTATCACTCCTTCATCGCTCATCTATCACTCCTTCATCACTCCTCTATCACTCCTTCATCACTCCTTCAACACTCCATCGTCCTCTATCACTCCATCACTCCTCTATCACTCCTTCATCAGTCGTCTATCCCTCCTCCATCCTTCCTTCATCAGTTATCAATCTCTCTTGTCTACTTGTCCCGCTGTCTGTCTGTCTGCTTGTGTCACTCTGTTTGTGTGATTCTGTTGTAACATTTCCCTATAATGATAATCAGGCAGCTCTCAGACGTGTTGCTGTCACAGCAGGGAGCCCCTCCCCCATTCCTGCCGCCCTCATTATGACCATATATGGTTATTTTTTCAGAATCTCTATCAGTGACCAGTGAGGAGTTCACCAATGGTACGTCAGTCTCTCATCGTCCAATCAGATCACTTACCTCACCATTTCATTGCATCCCCCCCCAGCATCACAAGGAAGCATCGCTACTGAAATTACATTAGCTCTATGATTGACAGCTCAATCTAAATGTTACCGAGCTGTCTGTCTGACCTGCCAGTCTGTCATTCTGACTGCTCAAACATGTCCTTCTTGTGGTTTACTACTAATTACAACAGCTTTATGCCACATTTCTACTTTACTGTACTTTCAACATAATATATTTCTATACTTGACTCCACTTCTAACATACTATAATTCTCCTCTCACTGGTTCCCTGTGATTATCAGTGGTTCATACTGGATCAAACCGATACTTTTAAAACGATATCGGTGCCTCAACCGATACTACCGAGACATTTTTTTTATTGCCACGGCAAATTTCTTTCTTCAAATTGAACAATATATTAACTGTTCAGACAATACTGTAAGCATAAATAAATAAAAAACACTTTTACTACAGCTTCAAACTTTTTAACTTCAAATTATAAACAATATATTAACTGTTTACAGTGTTTCTCCTCTGTAAGCACCTGAAGTGTTTATATATGTTAATAGGAATTCAGGGAAGATTAATAATTTAATATTTGATTTATGCTCATTGTGCAGGAACATAAGATATGTACCATATATTAGAAAGCATTTGTTGGATTGACGCTCCTTGTTCTCTCGCTTGATTGACGTTTGGATTGCAGCAGGTGCAACAGAGAAGAGCTGCATGAGGCACGAGAGCCAATCGCTTTCTACCGTGTGACAGAATGTATTATTTCTATATTTATTTAACGCTTTGCTGTGTAAAATAAAGAAAAAAACTGGTATTAAACGATCTGCTGTAATTCGCGTGAGGAAATAACATCACATGTTTGCAGCTCAATGCGGCTTAATGACAAACAGAACCAAAGGAACAACACTACACCCTCGGTTAACACTTCGGGGTGGTGGTTCATACCGGTTCTCAGTGGTTTCCTGTGATTAGCAGTGGTTCATACCGGTTCTCAGTGGTTCCCTGTGATTATCAGTGGTTCATACTGGTTCTCAGTGGTTCCCTGTGATGATCAGTGGTTCATACTGGTTCTCAGTGGTTCCCTGTGATTAGCAGTGGTTCATACTGGTTCTCAGTGGTTCCCTGTGATTATCAGTGGTTCATACTGGTTCTCAGTGGTTCCCTGTGATTATCAGTGGTTCATACTGGTTCTCAGTGGTTCCCTGTGATGATCAGTGGTTCATACTGGTTCTCAGTGGTTCCCTGTGATTAGCAGTGGTTCATACTGGTTCTCAGTGGTTCCCTGTGATTATCAGTGGTTCATACTGGTTCTCACTGGATCCCTGTGATTAGCAGTGGTTCATACTGGTTCTCAGTGGTTCCCTGTGATTAGCAGTGGTTCATACTGGTTCTCAGTGGTTCCCTGTGATTATCAGTGGTTCATACTGGTTCTCAGTGGTTCCCTGTGATTATCAGTGGTTCATACTGGTTCTCAGTGGTTCCCTGTGATTAGCAGTGGTTCATACTGGTTCTCAGTGGTTCCCTGTGATATAGCAGTGGTTCATACCTGGTTCTCAGTGGATTCCCTGTGATGATCAGTGGTTCATACTGGTTCTCAGTGGGTTCCCTGTGATGATCAGTGGTTCATACTGGGTTCTGCGAGTGGTTCCCTGTGATTATCAGTGGTTCATACTGGTTCTCAGTGGTTCAGGTTTGATGACTCGTTGAACCTTTAACCCTTCAGCCTGATAACTGTGTTGTGTTGTGTTGTGGATTCACCTCTTATGTTTGTCTCTCCTCCCAGTCGTTCCAGTAAAGGTAGCCCCGCCCACGGAGAGAGCCCCCAGTCTTCTATTGAGGGTTAGCTTGAACCTAGTGTCTGTTCGTATCTACTGGTCTGTATTGATGATGTGTTACTGTGAACTTCAAGTAATAATGATATGGATTATCAGCACGTTATGACACATTATAGCAAATTATCAGCAATATTGTGTGTTTTAATATGTGGTCCAGCTGTCAGGACATTGAGACAGGTCAGGCCTGTCTGTCATCAAATCACAACAGTGGCAGAAACATTTTACTCAATGATCAGGTTCATAAAGCACTGAAGAGCTCCCACTCCTCTCTGGATGTTCCAGCTGATCTGGGATAAAAACGAACTTTCACTTGATTGTTTGTCTCTCTTGTACAAATGCTGATGAAATGTTCTTGTTTATGCTGAAATGTTTTGGAAATGTTGGATTTTTTTCAGTGTAAAGTTACATAGATTTTTTTTACTTTTCATTTATTCTTATATAATGAGATATGTATTTATTTATTTCATAATATGTTGATATTATTGATCATAGTTGTCACCTTTAATATGGATGTCCAATTGGCGCAGGTGGGTAACATCGTCCACAAACCGTATCACCCAAAGGCCGCCGAGCTGTTCCGCTGTGACTAGAGGTCCCACGGTGCAGTGCAAGCGGCGAGTTGGAATTAAGCCTTACATCTTCAGAATTAAAGGTTCAAACTGGTTAAACTGGTTTTTGATTATTGTAACTCTAACTTGAATTTTAAATTTCTCTAACTAGGTCCAAACGGTTATAACCAGGTCTAGCTGGTTCTAAGTGGTTTTAATGGGTTCTGACAGGTTCCAAATGGTTCTAAATAATTTTAACTCTTTCAAGTTTTATCCTATTGAGACAGTTAGCAGTTTAATGCTACAACAGCCATCGAAAATCTAGTGAGTCTGTAACTTCCCATTTTATTTAATGTCGTTAAACAGATTAAAATTCTGTGAGTTTTTCTGATAAGATCAATATCGTTTTGATTTAATTTGTTGTTAATATGTAATGTATTATATTATTTATATTTTGTCTCAGAAAATATTTCCATGAAACCCACAAGGAAAGAAATAAGTGTTTTACTTTCGATCGACAATTCAAATGAAAATAAAATGTGAAGCAATATTGATAGTTAGTTACATTCCTCTGTGGTGTTTATTTGGGTTTATTAAATGTCATTGAAAGTGTTGCTAAAGAATGAATCCAGGAGATTTTGAGAGTTTGTGGTCCCACCATCAGCTTTTAGTTGGAAATATTAACGACAAGCTTTATGAATCTGAACTGTAACTGCTGATCTATTTATTCTGCCTGTGTTCGTTGGTAATGTGATGCCGATTATGTTGTATTAGTCCAGCAATGTGTAAGCTAGCTGTTTGCTACCCGTTAGCAGAATATGTATGTGTTCACATTCATTTAAGCATGCGAGTTTAAGATTTAACATAGTTTAGCTGAGGGATAGCAGAGCATTACTTGAGCGCTAGCTGAGGGATAGCAGAGCGTTACTTGAGCGCTAGCTGAGGGATAGCAGAGCGTTACTTGAGCGCTAGCTGAGGGATAGCAGAGCGTTACTTGAGCGCTAGCTGAGGGATAGCAGAGCGTTACTTGAGCGCTAGCTGAGGGATAGCAGAGCGTTACTTGAGCGCTAGCTGAGGGATAGCAGAGCGTTACTTGAGCGCTAGCTGAGGGATAGCAGAGCGTTACTTGAGCGCTAGCTGAGGGATAGCAGAGCGTTACTTGAGCGCTAGCTGAGGGATAGCAGAACGTTACTTGAGCGCTAGCTGAGGGATAGCAGAGCCGCTGAACACAGCTCCTCACTGTGATCATAGAAACTTCAGTGTTTGGTATTGATATAAATGTTTACAGAATATATAAAGATGGTAATGTACCATATATGTGTAAAGAGGTTATTTATTAACCAAAATATGCAGCAACCCAGACTCTAGTGTGTAGTAGTGTTGTGTATGTTGGTGTCATGTAATCGGGGACGCTTTGACATGAATAAAGTTTGTTTGAAGTTGAAGAGACACAAGTCGTCTTTACTTTTACACAGAATGAGTAAACCGAACTATATTAAGTTGAGGTTCCAGTGAACACAGGTGTGCTGACAGCTTCCTGCCAGCAGGTGGAGCTGCAGGATGACTCCTCCCCTCCTCTCTGAGAACAGTTAGACTGACGATAAGTGACACTGGCTCACAAAGAGGAAGAAGAGGAGGAAGGAAGCAAGAAGAACGACACAGAGGATTCAACGCTACCAGACGTGTCTGACCTGCAGACATGTCCTCCCGGGCCGAGAGTAAGACAGGTGAGCTTCTCCTTCTGCAACAGAAGTCTAACTCACTTCCTGACAGTTTCCTTCAGAGATTGTTTCAATCTGAGAGGCTTTTATTGTTGATGATGATGATAATTCTCCTCTTCCTCTCCAGCTTCCCAGTTTGTGTCTCTCACCATGAGGCTGAAGGATAAACTTCACCCGCAGAGGATCAAACGCTTTGAGCAAATCAAACAAACCCCGTCACAGACACCCAAACCATTAGATCTGAACCTGCAACGCACTCTGCAAGAAAAGGTAAACACACATATATATACACACACGCACACACACAAACAAGAACAAAATCCTACATTCACCATTTCTTTTGTGTGTGCCTGTGTGTGTGTCAGTCAGTGTGTGTGTTGGCGGATGAGCAGCGGGCCGTTATTAGCTCTCTTCAGTACTTCAAAGCTCTAGTGGACAGACTGGGAGTGGACAAACAGGTTCTGGACCAGTCTGTGGTGGGCGGTCTGTTGGGTGGGGCATCCAGCAGAGTCCTTGAAGCGGTCCAGACTCTGGTCCAGTTAGAGCCACACCTACACAACAGGTAGGGACCTCACCTTTGACCCCAATCATCAACAGAGTGACCTGTTGTCTCCTGACCCGACTTCTTCTGTCCTCTGCAGTAAGACCGTCACTTCCTGTCTCACTCGTCTCTACCTGTCTCTGGCTCAGCTGATTCGCTGGGCCGATGAGGTAATGCTGCAAGGTATCGCCCACGGCAACCAGGACTCAACAGCCAGCGTTACCTTGGTGATCAGGGCAGTGCTGGACGGGGTCAAGGTGAGAAAAAAAATTATATTCTGGTGTTTTCGTCATAGAGTCCTGATCCACATCTTCACTGTGTTCTGTTCATGTCCTCTTTGTGGCCTATTCATGTCCTCTTTATGTCCCATGTATGTCCTATTCATTTCCTCTTCATCCCCTATTTGTGTCCTTTTCATGTCCTATTCATCTCCTGTTCATGTCCTATTCATCTCCTGTTCATGCCCTATTCATGTCCGGTTCATGTCCTATTCATGTCCTGTTCATGTCCTATTCATGTCCGGTTCATGTCCTATTCATGTCCTGTTCATGTCCTATTCATCTCCTGTTCATGTCCTATTCATCTCCTGTTTAATGTCCTATTCATGTCCTGTTCATGTCCTATTCGTGTCCTGTTCATGTCCTATTCGTGTCCTGTTCATGTCCTATTCATCTCCCGTTCATGTCCTATTCATCTCCCGTTCATGTCCTATTCATCTCCTGTTCATGCCCTATTCGTGTCCTGTTCATGTCCTATTCATCTCCTGTTCATGTCCTATTCGTGTCCTGTTCATGTCCTATTCGTGTCCTGTTCATGTCCTATTCGTGTCCTGTTCATGTCCTATTCATCTCCCGTTCATGTCCTATTCATCTCCTGTTCATGCCCTATTCATCTCCTGTTCATGCCCTATTCGTGTCCTGTTCATGTCCTATTCATCTCCTGTTCATGCCCTATTCATGTCCTATTCATCTCCTGTTTCATGCCCTATTCGTGTCCTGTTCATGTCCTATTCATCTCCTGTTCATGCCCTGTTCACGTGTTATGGATGTCCTATTTACATCCTCTTCATGTCCTGTTCTTCGCCTCTTCATGCTCTATTAATGTCCTGTTCATGTGCTTTCGGTGTCTTCTTCATGTCCTGAAGTCTATGAAGTCTTGTTCATATTCCGTTCTTGTCCTCTTCTAGTTATGTTTACTGTCTCTTCAGGTCTTGTTCATATCCTATTTATGTTGTAATCACGTTGTATTTATGCCTCGTTAATGTTGTATTCATGTCCCTTTTATTTCCTTTACATGTCCTATTTGCGTTCTATGTATGTCCTGTTTATCACCTCCTTATGTCCTAGTCATGTCCTATTTGTGTCCTCTTCATATCCTGTTCGTCTTTTGTCCTGTTCATGTCCTGTTCTTTGCGTTACGTTCTTCGCCTCCTTATGTCCTGTTCATCGCCTCTTTGTGTCCTATTTATGTCCTACCCACGTCTTATTCATGTCCTGTTCATGTCCTCTACGTCCTATATATGTCCTGTTCCTGTCCTATTCATGTCCTACCCACGTCTTATTCATGTCCTGTTCATGTCCTCTACGTCCTATATATGTCCTGTTCCTGTCCTATTCATGTCCTACCCACGTCTTATTTCTGTCCTGTTCATGTCCTCTGCGTCCTATATATGTCCTGTTCCTGTCCTATTCATGTCCTACCCACGTCTTATTCCTGTCCTGTTCATGTCCTCTGCGTCCTATATATGTCCTGTTCCTGTCCTATTCATGTCCTACCCACGTCTTATTCATGTCCTGTTCATGTCCTCTGCGTCCTATATATGTCCTGTTCCTGTCCTATTCATGTCCTACCCACGTCTTATTCATGTCCTGTTCATGTCCTCTGCGTCCTATATATGTCCTGTTCCTGTCCTATTCATGTCCTACCCACGTCTTATTCCTGTCCTGTTCATGTCCTCTGCGTCCTATATATGTCCTGTTCCTGTCCTATTCGGGTCACGTCTGTTGTCTATTCATATGCTAACGACAGCAGCTTGTGTTGTTGTTCTGATTTTTTATCAGGAACTTGTGCGATTGGCTGCAGAGAGACGAGGCGACTCTGCTCCATTGTCTCCTGTCCAATTTGGGGTCACCGAGGGACAAACTTGTGTGTTTGATGACGTGGTGAAATCAGAGGGGACGTCTGCAGGAGCTCTTGCAGAGGAAGACGAGGAGAAAAAGAAGACGTCTTGGGCTCCTCCTAAACCCCCAATGCCCCTCACAGAACTCATCTCTCCAGTGTCCCTCCCTGTTGTGTCCCAGCCTCCGGTGTCCTTCCCTCATGTGTCCCTCAATCACGCCTCCCAAACTCAGATGGCCCTCCCTCCTGCGTCCCAGCCACAGGTGTCTCTCCCCCGAGTGTCCACACAGGGGCTCAGGTGAGTCTGTTATCACAGTTACACAACGATCAATAGATTTCGTACTGATTGTCGTTCTCTTTTACTTCTTTCTGGCTTCTTTTTTTCTTAAGCGAATCCACGCAGCAGAAATAGAACTTTGGATGAAACAGGAAGTAGATAAAAGACTAAAGATATCACATGTTGTCCCCCGCTTCCTGTCTCAGAACTTCCTGTCTCTGTTTTGCTGAAAGAGAGGACGGAGAAGTCGGACAGGAGTTTTTTAATGTGACATCACTTTCCTGCTGGTTGGAGATGTTGATAATATATGCTGCTGTTAAAAAGCATTACATCATGTTTCTGACATATAAGTATAATAGTAATAATACTAGTATTTAACCTCTACTGCAGTAAAAGCATTAATTGCAGTACTGTACTGTGTACTGTGCACAGTACACAGTACAGTACTGTGTTGCAGTACTGTGATAATACGAGTACTTGTATATCAGCTTCATATATGCTCTCAGTACTAAAGGTATAAGTACTAAATAGCACATGTCTGTCTGTCTGCCTGTCTTTTAACATTTAGTCCTCCAACCTTGCCGCCTAAAAGACGTCAATCTATGGGCCCCGCCCCCTGCAGGGTCGCCATAGTAGCACCAATGAGACGAGAGACTGAAGTCAACAGACAGAGTCAACAGGTACACGTCTCATAATTACATTACGACGGCATCTTTGTTTTTGTTCTCCACCCAAATACAAGGGCGGAGTGCAGGCAAACGGTGTGAAAACACACTGTGAAAGAGTTCAAGTTGACCATGACAGACACCTGTCAATCAGCGTGTAGCCCCGCCCTAAAGCCTCCCCTGCTTTATGGTCTGTTTGACTCTAAATGGACCATAATTCACTAAATGAACATCACGCTGTGTTGACGAAGACTTGAAAGTAGAGACTGAAACCATGAACTGGTGTTTACAACGTTTACTGAGGGAATAAATCAAGAGAGAAGTAGAGTCATTTCCTCATAGACGTCTATGGGAGCAGAGGAGTCGCCCCCTGCTGGTCACTACAGAGAAGTAGAGTCATTTCCTCATAGACGTCTATGGGAGCAGAGGAGTCGCCCCCTGCTGGTCACTACAGAGAAGTAGAGTCATTTCCTCATAGACGTCTATGGGAGCAGAGGAGTCGCCCCCTGCTGGTCACTACAGAGAAGTAGAGTCATTTCCTCATAGACGTCTATGGGAGCAGAGGAGTCGCCTCCTGCTGGTCACTACAGAGAAGTAGAGTCATTTCCTCATAGACGTCTATGGGAGCAGAGGAGTCGCCCCCTGCTGGTCACTACAGAGAAGTAGAGTCATTTCCTCATAGACGTCTATGGGAGCAGAGGAGTCGCCTCCTGCTGGTCACTACAGAGAAGTAGAGTCATTTCCTCATAGACGTCTATGGGAGCAGAGGAGTCGCCCCCTGCTGGTCACTACAGAGAAGTAGAGTCATTTCCTCATAGACGTCTATGGGAGCAGAGGAGTCGGATCATCACAGAACCGTTTGAGGTCTCCTCTCCGGCTCTCTGATGATACATACAGCTGTTATGAAATACTTTGTACTGAGTAGTATTAGTAGTATTAGTACTGCTATTGTATACATTTTATTTAACAGCAATCAATACATGTCAAAGTATTAAAGAATGTACAATTATGTAAAATATGTGTTACAGGAGGACGCCGGTTTGAAGTGCGACTCTTTTTCTTCTGCAGAGTCTGCTGCTGAGAACACACACTGTGGTAGCACACACACACACACACACACACACACACTGTGGTAGCACACACACACACACACACACTGTGGTAACACACACACACACACACACACACACACACACACTTCCAGTTAGCAGCATGGTGTAAATTACATTATTTCCTGTCAGTTGACAGAAACAGGAAGTAGGGTTGAGTGCTGCTTCCTGCTGAGTCTTTATTTGTATTCAAACTAAAAGTTATTATTTGACATAACATCATTGTTATTGCTATTAACATCATGATGATTATTATCATCGTCATGATTACTCTCATTATAATAATAATACTTTCAATACTTATTTTTATTATTATCATTAAATGGTTTCATTTTATGATCACTTTTCATGATGAACAGTTTTTCCCTTTTAGGTGAGAATAAAGTGTTTTTGTATCTCAGGAGAAGAAGAAGAAGATCCTGACTACAACTTTCTGCTCACTGACTCCTCCTCCTTTGAGCCTCCTCTTCCTCTTCCTCACCCATCATCACTCCCCCCCAACCTCCCAGAGAAGAGACGCTGCAGTACTGCAGGTCTGTCTGCCTGTCTGTCTGTTTTTTCTGTCTTTCTGACTGTCTGTCTGACTGCTGTTCTGGATTACAGGACCGACCCTCTCCCAGCCCTCTTCATTTAGCTTTGACCCCCCCCCCCATGAACAGAGGCCCTCCCACTGTGATGATGACATTGGACCTGATGAGTTGGGCTCCTCCCCCAAGTCTCCCAGCAAGACGCCCCCCCCACTCCCTGAGAAGAAACTACACAGTGAGTAAAACAATCATGAAGCTAAGCTAGGCTAACGTTTAGCCACTGGTTCCAGTGGTAGAGCTAAGCTAAGCTAACGTTTTATTGATCTGTCTGTCATTCTGTCTGTCTGTCTCCAGTCCATCAGTACCTTCAGTTCTGTTCCACCTATAGCGCTCAATCAGCAGCCATGTTCTACCAGCGACCTTTGACCTCTGGCCAGCGATACAGTAGCAGGCAGCGGGAGCTGGAGACCACCTACCGCCTGGCGCACACCCACCTGGACACACAGACATTAGACTCCACCCCCTTACCTGAGCTACTTCCTGCTCCAGTTCTACCAGCAAAGAAGAGACAACAGGTGACTGGCTTCCAAACACGTACCTGAGGCCTACACACCTCTCATTGGTAGAACCATGTCCTCAGCGCTCTGATTGATGAGTGGACTTCTGTTCTTACCTCCATCAGGATCCAGGTGGACCGTACGAGGAGGACCCGGCATCGGACAGGTGAGACACAGACTGAGCTCAGGACGTTACTCTTCTTGGCCTTTGGTTCTACATTTCAAACTCTTATACAATACATGCATAAATATTGGGGACATTTTCCCATAACAGTGCCAAAAAGACGAGGGACATGTGTTGTAAATCTTTCCTACACTTGTAGAGGACCTGTCGACCTCTCTAATCTTATATATTACACATTATTTGTGGGGAAATGGCCAAAGGATTTTTGTTGACGTCGATGTGTTGTGCGACGTGACGTGTTGGCGTCATGCTTTGAAACGACCTCACCCTGAGAAAGGGACAAATTTCTTGGTTCCTATTCTTCCTTCGTGGATGAAACGAGTGCTCGGGGACCGACAAGGCAGAGAATGTCTCCCTCAGCGCCTCTGTTGTGCAGTCTCCAGCAGGAGGCGGAGCTTAAGAGGAGGAGCAGGGAGCTGCAGGAGGAGGTGCTGCTGACCGACGGGCAGGAGGTCCTCCGCAGGATCATAATGAAGCCTCAGGTACCTCATCCAGCCCGCCGGTCCTCTGTAGCTGTCTCTCGTTTGGTCTCTTCTCCTCCTCAGGCTGCTCTTCATTCAACCTCATGCGTCACTTTGGCTGCGACTCGGCTGTCGGTCGGTTCGTTGCGGTGAGGAAGGACACAGATAAACTGCTGACGCAAGCAGGAAGTCCCCCCGTCGGCCAGACCGCTTGGTTCAGTCTATGCGGCCCTCGAAGGACCCAGAAGGCCGGGTCTCACCAAATGAGACACACGTGGTGTCTCTCAGAAGGAGGACAGACCTCTAATCAATCTGACTTCTGTCCCTCTTAGGGGGAGGACGGGCCGGATGTCAAAGCAGCGTCTGCTGAGATCCTATTGGTCCATGCGACAATGGCTCACAGCGGTGTGTAGTGTGTGTAGAACAGGTTGTGTATTGTGATGGTTACGTGGGATGTGTGTATAGAAAATGTTGTGTTTTATGATGGTTGTGTGTGTTGTGTGTGTATGTAGAACAAGTTGTGTACCGTGAAGCCTTCCTCTCCACCTTCAGGAGCTTCATCAGTCCCGAAGACGTCATCATCAAACTGCAGCACAGATATCCTCTCTCAGTGTGTGTGTGTGTGTGTGTGTGTGTGTGTGTGTGTGTGTGTGTGTGTGTGTGTGTGTGTGTGCTAACATTATTTGGTTAGGTTAGGTTGATTTACATTATGAATCGTTCTCAGTGAACTTACTAGCGTGAATGAGTAATAAGAACATTGTTTATAATGATACACTATATATATGTATATATATATATATGTATATATATATATATATATATATATATATATATATATATATCTTTAGATAACCTTCTTCCAGAGAATCTTTAACCTTTAAAACATACAAACACTTGTGTAAACAAAGGGACCCTGAGCGCATCGCCGCTGCCAACAACACCTTCCACCTGCTGGTCAGCGTGGTGGACGAGCTGTGGTGAGACACACACAGACAGACACACACAGACAGACAGTTGAACTCATCAGAGTTTTAAGTGTCTATCTGTGTGTGTCTGTGGCTGTGCACAGTGCCATAGAGCTGGACTCTAACCTGCTCCTCCTCCTGATGGACCTGGTGTTCAGCCTCCTGATTGGCGGAGAGCTGAGACTTGCTTGTCTGCTGCGCTCCAACATTCTGTCCAAGCTGGAGCAGAGGTGGCACATGATTGGTTCTCCTCAGTCGCTCCGCCCTCTCGCAGCTAAGGGCGTGGCTGCAAGGTAACCGTCACCTCCGATGATTGACAGGTGTGTAATTCTGTGAGACCTTAATGTCTCTTCTTGTCTCTCAGACCAGGAACTCTTCTGGACTTCAGGAGTCAGGATCTAGCTGAACAGCTGACTCTGCTTGACTCAGAGCTCTTCTGCAAGATTGAGGTACACCTGTCTGTCTTTCTCTCACCTCTCTGTCTTTCCCTCACCTGTTTGTCTCTCTGTGTCTCACCTGTCTGTCTGTTTCTCACCTGTCTAGCTTCCAGAGGTGTTGCTGTGGTCTAAAGAGCAGAATGAGGAGAAAAGTCCAAACCTTAAAGAGTTCACACAACACTTCAACAACGTCTCCTTCTGGTACACAACATACTACAACATGCTACTACATGCTACACAACTTGCTACACTCCATCTTAAACTGCTTATCCGGGGTCGGGTCGCGGGGGCAACAGCTCCAGCAGGGGACCCCAAACTTTCCTTTTTACTGGGCCACATCTACCAGCTCTGACTGGGGGATCCAAGGCGTTCCCAGGCCAGTGCAGATAGAATCTTTCCACCTAGTCCTGGGTCTTCCCCGGGGCCTCTTCCCAGCTGGCCGTGCCTGGAACACCTTCCTAGGGAGGCGCCCAGGGGGCATCCTCACCAGATGCCCAAACCACCTCAACTGGCTCGCAAAGGAGCAGCGGCTCTACTCCGAGCTCATCACGAATGGCTGAGCTTCTCACCCTAAAGGAGACGCCACCCAAAAGGAGACGCCAGCCACTCTCCTTTTGGCCGCTTGTACCCATGACCTAATTCTTTCATGACCATAGGTGAGGGTAGGAACGAAGATTGCCCGGTAGATTGGGAGCTTTGGCTTCCGGCTCAGCTCTAGTCTTTTCATCACAACGGTGTGGTAAAGTGAGTGCGGTAAAGCGAGTGCCGCTGCTCGGATTCTCCGGCCAAACTCCATCTTCCCCTCAATCGTGAACAAGACCCCAAGATACTTAACCTCCTTCACTTGGACACATTCCCTAGCCGGAGTTGGCAATCCATCAGTTTCCTGCTGAGAACCATGGCCTCAAACTGTAGACCCTCCTCCCCCTGACTACGCCTCGATATCCTAATGGAAACCTTTTGACTCCAACGCCGTGCCGGAGCCGTTACGCAGCCGTTCCGGAGTTGGTGGAAATTGAGGGTTAGAGTAGACTTTACCGGGAGGCTCAATAGTGTGATACCCCTGTAAACTCTCCCCCTTTGTGAGGTGAGTCACCACCAGCCCGGTCTGCTACTCTTTTGGCACTGTCCCAGACTCCCACGCAATGTTGAAGAGGCGTGTCATCCATGACAGCCCCCCAACACCCGTTGCTTTCAGCATCTCTGGACGGATCTCATAAATCCCCAGGGCTTTGCTACTGCGGGGTTGTTTGACTACCTCAGTGACCTCCACCAGGCAAATTGACGATTATCCCTCCTCCGCCTCCAGCTCCGCCTCTAGCAAAGAGGGCATACTGCTTGGATTCAGGAGTTCCTCAAAGTGTTCCTTCCACCGCACCGATAACCTCCTCAGTAGTGGTCAACAGGGTCCCATCCTTACTGTACACAGCTTGGATGGTTCCCCGTTTCCCCCTCCTGAGGTGCCGGATGGTCTTCCAGAAGCACTTTGTCCTTTTCCATTATTACTCCTCCCACACTCGCTGCTTTGCCTCCTTCACGGCAGAGGCACCCGCCCTTCGAGTCTGTCGGTACACTGCAACTGCCTCTGGAGTCCCACTGGATATCATAAGCCGAAAGGCCTCCTTGGACGGCTTCCCTGACCACCGGTGTCCACCATAGGGTTTGAGGGTTACCGCCCCTTAATGCACCTAAACCACAACTCACTGCCACAGCTTCAGCGATGGAAGTTTTGAACATACACCACTCTGGTTCAATGTCCCCTACCTCCACAGGAATGTGAGCGAAGCTCCGCCGGAGGTGTGAGTTGAAAATCGATCATCAATCTTTGGCCTAGGGTGCTCTGGTACCACGTACACTTATGAACATCCTTATGTTCAAACATGGTGTTTGTTATGGACAACCCAGACTGGCACAGAAGTCCAATAATAAACGGCCGCTCGGGTTCAGATCAGGAAGGCCGTTCCTCCCAATCACGCCTCTCCATCGTCGCCCATGTGCACATTGATGTCTCCCAGTAGGACTATGGAATCTCCTACTGGAGCCCGATGCAGAACTCCATTCAGGGTCTACAAAACGGCTGAATACTCCGAACTGCTGTTTGGTGCATATATACAGACAACAGTCAGTTTTTCCCCCCACAACCCGAAGGTGTAGGGAGGCGAGCCTTTTGTCCACTGGGGTAAACTCCAATGTAGCAGCACTCGGGACACTGTGAGTGTGCATCCCCACATCCGCCTGGCGCCTCACACCATGGGCCACTCCATCTCCTATCCAGGAGTGTGGTTCCAGAGCCGAGGCTGTGCGTAGAGGTAAGTCCCACCAGATCCAACTGATACCCCTCCACCTCCCGCACAAGCTTTGGCTCCTTCCCCCCCAGAGAGGTGACGTTCCACGTCCCGAGAGCCGGCATCTGCCGCCCAGGTCTGTTCCGTCTTGACCCCCCACTGTCACTGCCATCCTTGTAGCAGCGCACCCGACCCCATCGGTTTCCCCCACAGGTGGTGTGCCTATGGGAGTTAGAGGGTCTGGCCCCAAATAGGGGCCCCGGGCTTTATCCGGGCCAGGTAGCTCCTTCCCTCTTCCATTTTTTCATAGGGTCTTTTGAACGATTCTTAGTCTGCCCCCCCCTTGCTTGAGACCACTTTACCATGGGTAACCCTACCAGGAGCAGAAGGCTCCAGACAACACAGCCCTCAGGTTAATAGGGACACACAAACCTCTCCACCACGATAAGGTGATGGTTCAACCTGATACACAACATATTACACAGCCGGATGCACAACTTGCTACACAACCTGATACACAACACACAACCTGCTACTCAAAATACTACTGATAAACAACCTGTTTGTGTGTGTGTGTGTGTGTGTAACTGATGATAAATGTGTGTTTGTGTTTTAGGGTTCGTTCCGTCATCATTCTTCAGGATAAATCCCAAGACCGAGAGAAACTGCTGCTGAAGTTCCTGAAGACCATGAAGGTAACACACAAGACAGACACACACAGATGCACTTGATACCATATTCCATGTACACACAGTGACTGTGTGTTTGTGTGTATTCCTAAAGCACCTGCGGAGGCTCAACAACTTTAACTCCTACCTGTCCATCCTCTCTGCGTTAGACTCCGCCCCCTTGAGGCGCCTTGACTGGCAGAGACACACTGCTGAGGTCTGAATGTTGTTAGAGAATAACAACAATTATAATTATTATCATGTAGTGTTATGATAGTGTGATAATAATAACAATAATAATAATAATTAGTCGTGTGTTGTGTTTCAGGCTCTGGAGGAATTCAGCTCTTTGATTGACAGCTCGTCGTCTTTCAGAGCCTACAGAGCAGCTCTAGCTGAGGTGGAACCTCCGTGTATACCCTACCTGTAAGTTAATACCCTATATACCCCACTACATATACCCTACCTGTAAGTTAATACCCTATATACCCCACTACATATACCCTACCTGTAAGTTAATACCCTATATACCCCACTACATATACCCTACCTGTAAGTTAATACCCTATATACCCCACTACATATACCCTACCTATAAGTTAATACCCTATATACCCCACTATGTATACCCTACCTGTAAGTTAATACCCTATATACCCCACTACATATACCCTACCTGTAAGTTAATACCCTATATACCCCACTACATATACCCTACCTATAAGTTAATACCCTATATACCCCACTATGTATACCCTACCTGTAAGTTAATACCCTATATACCCCACTACATATACCCTACCTATAAGTTAATACCCTATATACCCCACTACATATACCCTATCTATAAGTTAATACCATATATACCCCACTACATATACCCTACCTATAAGTTAATACCATATATACCCAACTACATATACCCTACCTGTAAGTTAATACCCTATATACCCCACTATGTATACCCTACCTGTAAGTTAATGCCACATCACACCTGTCTCTCTCTAACGTGTCTGTCTATTCAGGGGGTTGATTCTCCAGGACCTGACTTTCGTACACCTTGGGAATCCCGACACGTTGATGACATCACAGGGTTCAAAGGTCAACTTCTCTAAACGCTGGCAGCAGTTCAACATCCTGGACACCCTGAGAAGCTACCAGCAAGTGTTAGTCTAGTATAATTACATTATTATTTTTAAGTTTATATAATATAAATTAATATTGGTACATCTGTAGTACTACTTATCATAGATTTAGTATAATTTTCTACATCTATAATCATACTTAAAAAGATATGTATTATACCAGATCTATTAGAAGTAGTTTTGTAGGTACTACTTATTACAGATGTGACTTATTACTGCATCTATAATACCACTTATCTTTCTCACTCTGCAGTCCTTACACGCTGCAGCCTAATGATGACATCATATCGTTCTTCAATGACTTCAGTGATCACCTGGCAGAGGAAGCATTGTGGGAACTTTCGCTCAGGCTCCGCCCACGAAATGCCCCACGAGCCAATCAGAGATGACGGACCGAAACAAACCTAACCCATGCTAACCTGCGTCATAAAACGCTAACTTGTGTTAGTTCCATGCTAACAGGTAGATATTGAAGGTTGAGGTGGCCTAATTTAGCTGTTTACAAGCTAGGATAATTATGGCCAACAGTCTGCTAGCATGCTAGCATGTGCTCATCTATGCCGGCAAATTGTTCTCGCCTTTTTATATTAACAAAGGTTAGCTGACGTTAACCTGGGGCTAGTTTGGATTAGCCGGGTGTCTGACTTCTGTACAATTATTTACATCAATATTTGAATAAACATATTTTGCTTACCAGTTTAATAATCTACTCTATAAAGTAACGTTAAATAAATGTAGGGCAGTATAAAACACCTCATTACTGTACTAAGTGTGGTCCACCACCCATCATGTTAATACATGTATGTCACTGTAATCTTTTTGTATTCTTCTTCATCCAATATCATAATACGATGTCAGAACCTGCCCCCCCCAGAGCGGGGCTTTTATGCCCCTTCCTGTTCTGGGACCAGGTGCACTGCTTTGGGCAATCTGCTCTCCAGGGACAAAGGGACAAAAGCATTCTGGACGTGATTAGAGACGGGGGACGTGATTAGAGACGGGGCCATCACAACAATTATGATTCTAATAAGAAGAGCCAGATGAACAATAGTATAAACTTTATTATTAGGGTCCTCGCTACGACGAGTCTTGGAGGAACCTGTTGTATTTCAAGGAATTATTCTTATTATTCTAAGGACCCTTGTGTGTCCCCTGTGTGTCCCTTGCGTGTCCCCTGTGTGTCCCTTGCGTGTCCCTTGCGTGTCTTTTCACTCCTCCTTGCGTGAGTCGACCCATTTTTGTAGACTAGCGTCTAAAGCTTTGCAGCCTCCTGCAGCAGCAGGCTGTGATTGGTCTCTGACTACGTCCTTTAGAGTCTCACGTCTCCGTTTTCACAGCACAATACGGCCGTTATTAAAAGGAAGAACGTTTACGAGAGAACGGATCAGATTGAAGAGCTTTTAAATATGAGCGCTTGTACAAGCCGTCATTGGCGGACTATGAGGACGCCGGATGGCCTCTGATTCATGGAGGGAGATCTCCACAAACGAGGGGACAAAGTCGTGGAGGAAAATACGGGACAAATGTGTCCTTGATGAAAAGCAGCAGTGTGGATGCACGGGGCAATAAAGTCTATGATCAATAAATAAAGCAACCAGCGACTTCCACACACAAAGACGTGACTCTCCAGGTCGTCTTCTACAAAACACGTGACTCCACCTGTTGTTCTGGAGGTGAATCGCTCTGCAACACACGCAGGACTTTACAACCAGGAAGTGAAACCAGCGCGTCAACACGTAAAGACGCAGACGCAGAATATGGTGGCCCTGCAAGAGCAAAACACAACAGCAAATAGGAAAACACAACAACAGACTGAAAGGGGAGGGCCTTATAGCAGGAAGCAGAGGACGGACCCTTCTCAGTGGACAGACGGACTGTCTGTCTTTTAACCCTCTTAATTCGAAGCCTTTCACCAGCGACGGAAAGTGACACGAAGGATTCAAACTACCGTGACTCTTAACTATTTGCACAATCGCATCCTGAAAGCTGAGAAATGCTGCTTTTTAGATATTCTGTCAATCAATAAATCAGTGGGGGGGCTGAGAGGCTGTGATGAGGGAGGAAGTGACGCAGCAGGAAGTCACGGAGAGATGGCGATGTTTTACGAGTGTCTTAAAAGTGTCCTTATAGTGTTTCACCATTGTTTAAATAAAAGGGGGGGGGGGGGGGTACCCCGGTGGACGCCGCGGACGCTACGGCCGACCGGAGTCCGATTCCTTGGCGTGAGGAATTGGATGTGTGGCGGGAGTGTGTGACACTTGAGAGCTCTGTTTCATTTCCTGTTAGCAGACAGACAGACAGACAGACAGTCCATCTGTCCAATCAGAAGGGTCCGTCCTCTGCTATAAGGCCCTACCTTTTCCGTAAGGAGTTCATTTCGTTGTATTTTCCATATTTACCGATGTGTTTTGCACTTCAGGGACCACCGTAGCAGAAGCATGCGCCAGCCTTAAGTATAGAGAAACGATCAGCTCCACCTTTAGTGAGCAGACAGCATCAACCAAACACCGGGCACATCGAGCGGCTCAGCGAGCAGGCAGCAGCAACCAAACACCGGGCACATCGAGCGGCTCAGCGAGCAGGCAGCAGCAACCAAACACCGGGCACATCGAGCGGCTCAGTGAGCAGGCAGCACCAAACAAACACCGGGCACATCGAGCGGCTCAGCGAGCAGGCAGCAGCAACCAAACACCGGGCAAATCGAGCGGCTCAGTGAGCAGGCAGCAGCAAACCAGGAGAAACGAGTCACGAGCAGCGGAGGAGCTGAGAGTTAGTCCTTTACCGGCAGGATGGTCTGACTGTTAACGTTCTGACGTCACCAGGTGGGTTGTAGGCAGGAATGTAAGCTAACAAAACTCTGGCAGCTAATTGCTAACGGTGGTGCTATTGCTAACGGCCGATTCAAAGATTTGTATTGTCAGCTACACACGCGCTGTGTATTTTGCCTTTTCTGGAAAGCCAACCAATTTTAAAATAAAAATACAATATTTACATAAATGTTCATGAAATAAAAATGAGGTAAGGGGAAGTGCAAAACTGAGCAGGTTGTAAAAGAAAAAACTTACAATATAAATGAACAGTAGAGTAACAGTAAGTGAACCCTAACAAGCTAAAACAGTCAGGTTATAGAGTCCTCTCAGCTGTTGATGCCTCTAATGGCAGTGGGGAAAAGGAGTTTCAGTGTGGTGGTCCTGCATTTGACCTCCTGCCTGAGGGCAGAAGTGTGAACAGACCATGTTGGGGCGGTGGGGTCTCTCCTGTGAACCCTGCGGTGGTAGATGCTCTGCAGAGAGGGTGGTGGGGTCTTGGTGATCTTATCTGCTGTCCTCACCTCTCTCTGCGGTCCATGGTGGATGTGCTGCCGTACCACACGCTGATGCAGCTGGTCGATACGCTCTCCATGATGCAGCTGTAGAAGTTGCTGAGGATCTTGGGAGACATCCCAAACTTCCTCAGGAAGTACAGCCGCTGTTGAGCCTTCTTGACCAGCTGCGTTGTGTTGAGTGTCCAGGTGAGGTCCTCACTGAAGTGGACCCCGAGGCATCTGAAGCTGCTCACCCTCTCAACTTCAAGCTCCTGGATGAAAAGTGGTTGACGAGGTCTCCTCTCCTTCCTCATGTCCACTATCAGCTCCTTGGACTTGTCAGTGTTGAGGGTGAGGTTGTTATCCTCGCACCATGACACCAAGCTGGCCACCTCCCTCCTGTATGCCGCTTCGTTCCCCCAGTGATGCGTCCCATCACTGCGGCGTCATCAGCAAACTTCAGGACGATGTTATCCTCGTGGGAGGCGACACAGTCGTGGGTGAACAGGGTGTAGAGGACGGGGCTGAGGACACAACCCTGTGGGGTGAAGATGCTGGCTGAAGGCCAGTGAGAAAGTCAAACAGCCAGTCACAGAGGGTGGGATGGGTTTGTGGGGGACGACGGTGTTGACGGTGGTAGCTCTTGTTTCCTGGTGAGAGGAGTAGTGGAGGGCAGCTGCTGAGGATCCACTATGCTGCTCTGGATTGATCCCGGTGTGTGTGCCTCTCTGTGATGGAGCTGGAGGTCTCGAAGCGGGTGTAGAAGGCGTTGAGGTCCTCCGGCAGGCGCTGATGGAGCTGGTGGTGGTCCTGTGGTGGTCCGCACTCATAGGTGCATGAGTATTCATGCATTTGTTAATACATGTTACAGCGATTATGACAGTTATTACTGATCAGGAACAAGGGGAGCAGAAGTGACCTCAGAATCATTGAAGTGCTCATGATCCACGTGGTGTTTTCATCCTGTCTCGTGTCGCTAGGCTGCATCCTTAAGGACGCGTCCCAATCCGTCGGCTCCTCCGAACGCGGTCCTCTAGGAGCCGCTTTGGAGGACACGTCTGATCTGTCCTTTGCACATATCCCAGCATGAAGCGCGGGCCGAAGGAGGATTTAATTTATGTAACGGGAAGTCATAGAAATTCACTTGATTATCGACCGATAAAGGTTATAATATAACATCACATCTTAGTTCATGAAATGGATAAAGTCACGTGCCGTTGGTGACGTCCTGTTGTTAAACGCACATAAGACAGTAAAGTGATGACGTTAACTCCGTTACCCCCCCGTACGGCCCCTGAGCCGGACCCTCACCTGAACCCCCCGGGTCCCTGTGCTGTTCTTCTGAACATCCATGAACTACACACGTTTAGAACAAACACACAACCGGCAGCTCGTCTGTACTTACTAGTGAACCGGAAAGATCACTTTAAGTCAGTGACGTCACAGAATAAATACACAACGATGCTCAACTCGCTTTTCCTTTTGTTGTGTGATTATAAAGTAACTTTACATTTAGTTGTGTTCTTCTCTCAGCCTGGAACAGATCACGGTCCGGAGGAGAAGCTTTTCTTCCTACATTAGATGAAATAACATCATCTTCTGCTTCTGGACTTTGTCATTGTTTTGGCTTTGAAGACTCTTACGGTCAAGCAGCAGGTTGCTAGGCAACAGGAGCAGTGGAGGTAAAGCTGATGACGCAAGCGGGAAGTCCCCCCGTAGGACAGACCGTCCCATTTCAGAGACCGTCCCAGTTCAGCCTGTACGGTTGTTGAGGACCAGCCCCGGTCTCCGAAGGCTGCTGAAGGATGCAGGCTACAAGGATGCAGGCTACAAGGATGCAGGCTACAAGGATGCAGCCTGCGACTTTGAGACACAGCTTCTGTCTCAAATGTCCCTATTTCACCTCTCACTCACCTGTCTTGTGTCTCAGGTGTCTTCTACCTCACCTGTCTTGTGTCTCACCTGTCTTGTGTGCAGGTGTCAGTGATGCTGCAGTTCCCCCTGGTGGTGACAACTCAGGTTGACCTGGTCCTGGTTCTGGTCTCCCTGCTGGCCCTCTGGACCAGACTCAGTCACCTGAGCTACCCCAACGCTGTGGTGTAAGTGTGTTTGATTTACCCCCCCCTCGCCCCCCCCCCCCCCCCCCCCTCCATGATGTCTTTGCCTGCGTTTAAAGGTTTGATGAGGTCTACTACGGTCAGTTCGTGTCTCTCTACATGAAGAGAGTTTTCTTCATCGATGAGAGCGGGCCTCCGCTCGGTCACACGATACTCGCCCTCGGAGGTCAGTAACCACGACAACCATTGTGTGGGCTCATCTGTGTGTCGGGTGACTTTATTAATGTGTTTGTTGCAGCGTACCTGGGAGGGTTCGATGGAAACTTTGTATGGAACAGAATCGGAGCAGGTAGGAACTTCAGTTACCGCCACATTGGACCAGCTGAACCCAT